TAAAACAATTTAAAAACTGTGATGAGATAAAAAAGGAGCAAGACATTTACGGGGATTTATGAGGTTGAACTTCCCATGGGGGGGGGGGCATAGTATCTATAGTATCTATTCCAGGTATGAGTAAACTTGGGCCCTCCAGGTGTTTTGGACTCCAACTCCCGCCATTCCTAACAGCCAGTAGGCTGCTAGGGATGGTGGGAGTTGGAGTCCAAAACACCCGGAGGGCCCAGGTTTGCCCATGCCTGATCTATTCCATCAGATTTGGAGGGAAACCCAAAGGCCATCCAGTCCAGCCCCATTTTTTCATTCAGGAAGACACAATCAAAGCCCTCCCAACAGATGGCCATCCAGCCTCTACTTAACGATCTCCAGAGGAGGAAACTCCATGATAGTATCTATTCCAGGTATGAGTAAACTTGGGCCCTCCAGGTGTTTTGGACTTCAACTCCCGCAATTCCTTACAGCGCCTACTGGCTGTTTGCCCACGCCCAGAGGCGGCCCTAGGTAATTTTCAACGGTAAGCAAACAGTATTTTGGTGTGTCCCCCCCCCCCCCCAAACCAATCACTGATATATATTTTCTGTTCGTCGTGGGAGTTCTGTGTGCCATATTTGGTTCAATTCCATCATTGGTGGAGTTCAGAATGCTCTTTGATTGTAGGTGAACTATACATCCCAGTAACTACAACTCCCATATGTCAAGGTCTATTTTCCCCCAAGAGCACCTCATGGGCCATCCAGTCCAACCCCCTTCCAAGAAGCAGGAATATTGCATTCAAATCACCCCTGACAGATGGCCATCCAGCCTATGTTTAAAAGCTTCCAAAGGTCTATTTCTCCCAAGAGCGCCTCAAGAGTGCCCCTGGGCAAAATCAACTATACTGCAAATGCTTACTTTGCGTAATGCGTTGAGCCGCCCCTGCCCACGCCTGGTCTAAGCACTCCCAACAGATGGCCATCCAGGCTCTGTTTAAACACCTCTAGAGAAGGAGGCTCCACCGGATTCCCAGGGACTACCCTTCCCTGTTGAGCAGCTCCAACCTGTTTAGGTGGGATCTCTTTTCCTGTCATTAGAATGAATGGCTCCATTATGTCCCAGTCTCTGCAGCAACATATTTTGTATTTCCTGCAGTTTCTGGAGCAGCTTAGATTCAATGAGGAATGAAAGAATGAATAAATGTGTTGTCGAAGGCTTTCATGGCCAGAATCGCTGGGTTGCTGCAAGTTTTTTCGGCTGTTTGGCCATGTTCAAGAAGCATTCTCTCCTGACGTTTCACCAGCATCTATAGCAGGCATATAAACCCCACTTGCCTTGCTTCCAACGGACCTCGCAACCTCCGAGGATGCCTACCATAGATGTGGGTGAAGCATCAGAAGAGAATGCTTCTGCAACATGGCCAGACAGCCTGGAAAACTCACAGCAACCCAACTGCCTGAATGAATGGCTCTGAGATGGTGAGAAGCTCCCAACTGCCACCTTGTGGGCCTTTGCAGGCATTCCAGTTGCAGAAGGAAACTGGCACACTTCCCTGTTCTTTTAGCCAGCTGAATAACAATAATAATTGGGTTGGTGTGAGTTTTTCGGGCTGCCTGGCCCTGTTCCAGCAGCATTCTCTCCTGACATTTCTCCATCATAGGATCTGATGTGAGTCAAGCAAGTGGATTTTATATATCGTATATACTAGAGTATAAGCCGACCCGAATATAAGCCGAGGCACCTAATTTTACCACAAAAAACTGGGAAAACTTATTGGCTCGAGTATAAGCCGAGGTTGGGAAATGCAGCAATTACTGGTAAATTTCAAAATAAAAATAGATACCAATAAAATTACATTAATTGAGGCATCAGTAGGTTAAATGTTTTTGAATATTTACATAAAACTGTAATTTAAGATAAGACTGTCCAGCTCTGATTAAATCATCAGTGTAATCTTCAGTGTAAATGTGCTTATGTATCCTTCCAATAATAATAAAGACAGTAAAATAATAATAATAATACACTCAGTTCTTGTGGGTTTTTTCGGGCTATATGGCCATGTTCTAGAGGCATTTCTCCTGACGTTTCGCCTGCATCTATGGCAAGCTGCATCCTCAGAGGCTCTGAGGAATGCCTCTAGAACATGGCCATATAGCCCGAAAAAACCCACAAGAACTAGTGATTCGCCATGAAAGCCTTCGAATAATAATAATAATAATGAAATCCAGCATATATACCTCATTTGCTGTGTCATACTGTGTTTTTGTGTCAGGATAATAATAATAATAATAATAATAATAATAATAATAACAACTAGCTGTGCCCTGCCATGCGTTGCTGTGGCCTATAGTAAGAATTTTTGAAGTAGAGGTAGATATCTGGACTATTATGAAAGAGAGGTACCTACCTATTCCTTCCCCCTTTTTCTTCCCCTTCCCCTTTCTCTCCTTCCTTCCTTCTCTATCTCTTTCTTTCATTCCTTCTTTCGGTCTTTGGTTTCATCCTTCCTTCTCTCTAACTCTATTCTATGAGTCTATTTAAGTAGTAATATATAGTAGTAACATTATATTATATAGTAGTATATATAACAATGATAAATATAATATAATATAATATAATATATGTATAATAGTAATAAATAAAGTATTGTAATTATATATATACACACACACACCAACCAGTGATCCAACATCCATCCATGTGTATGTGTGTGTGTGTGCGCGCGTGCGTGTACGTGTGCATGTGTGTACACTGCCATACTATCCAGTCCTAAGTAGATAATCTGGATTTTACATGGCAGTGTGGAAGGGTTGACTTTGGGTGCATCTACACTGTAGTTTTAATAAAGGAGGATGAAGCTGGTGAGGGGAGGAGAAAAAGGAAGGAAAGAAAGGGAGGGAAGGGAAGGGAAGGGAGGGAAGGAGAAGGAAGGGAAGTAGAGAAAGGGAAGGAAGGAAGGAGGGTAGGAGGGGGTTGGACCGGATGGCCTTTAGGGCTCCCTTTCAACTGGTTGGCCATCTGTTATGAGGGCTTTGATCGTGTCTTCCTTTACTGCCAAATGAGGTTGGGCTGGATGGTCTTTGGGGCTCCTTTCCAAGCAGTGTCCCTATGATCCCCATCATGCCACCTTCCTCCTTCCCTTGTGGTGTGGGAGTGTGTGTATGGGAGATAGTCAGAGTGTGTGCACAGAGTGTGGCCCGCCTCCCAAAAGCGAGCTGCTTAAACCCAGGGTTAATCCATAGGAGTTTGCATGGAAAGAGCCACGTTGAACTGACAACTCCCAAAGGGCCTAAATACTCTTTGCAATCATGAACGCATTGCGATGACCCTTGGCCAACTTGGCTTCTCGCTTACCAGCTAAGCGAGAGCTCCTCCGGACCCTTAATTCTAAGCGTTCTTGCCTGCTCATTAATTTACTATCTTCAAGGATTTCTTTATCTTGGTCCAGCTGGGCTAGATCACCGTGGGAAGACTGAGAAGGCGAAGACAATTCCACCTGGCCGTTATCTATCCCACTGACATTCTTTCCCCCTGAGAACTGACTTAATGTTTCCCCTGCTGCACTGTCTGAAGCAGGCACAACATACATCTGAATCCCATCATCCTCTTCATCAGGGAACTCTGGCTCACAAGACCCAGAGGGTTCAGTTTCAGACTCAGAATCAAACTGAGTCACAACACAAGGTAAATCTATCCTGAGCTGCGACAGTATGCAATAGACTCCTGCAGTGGGGAGAGGATGCCTCCAGGCAAGAACAGCCAGGTCACCTCTATGCGGATACCCTCACTGATTGACTTTGCAGCTTCATGGCGACTCAATGTTGTTCAAGCTTGCTAATTGCAACATCCACACTTCAAACAGACAAGGGCTCTTTCTCCCATCCTGGACATTATTCCACACATGCAAGTGCGTGCGTGCGTGTGTGTACACTCCACTTGCATAACTCACATTAGTTCCTATGAAGATGCCATTAGCCTTAGATGCAGGCGAAACGTCAGGAAAGAATGCTGCAGGGACAGATTGGAAATAAAGCCCGGAAAACACAGCAACCCAGTGATTCCGGCCATGAAAGCCTTTAACCACACAATAACAACAATAATAATAATAATAATAATAATAATACCAATTAATTATTAATTAATAATAATCAACAATAAATGCAATACTTAATGCGTAATAATTTAATTAGGAAAAAGAACAATAATAACGGTACACAAATGTAGCAAATAAATACATATATCCATTTATAACTTAAAATAAACAAATTATTAAATATAATAGAAATTATTATTTTTGAACCAGGCGGGAATCGAACTCGGAGCCTCCAAGCTTCCAAGGCTCTATTTTACTGTCACCTTCCTTGTCTCGCTTCCCATTGGCCTCAGTCAGCCAGCGAGGTGGAGTCGGTGACGCAATCTTCAGAACCCACCTCCCTTTGCTGAAATAGGCATCTCTATTGGCTAGGTTGCCTGTCAGTCAGCTAGATGGAGGCGGTGAACCCACCTCAGAACCCATCCTCCTATCTTCAGAACCCGCCTTCGGGAAAGCAGTATCTCTATTGGCTAGGCTGCCTGTCAGTCAGCTAGATGGAGGCGGTGAACCCACCTCAGAACCCATCCTCCTATCTTCAGAACCCGCCTTCGGGAAAGCAGTATTTCTATTGGCTAGGCTGTCTGTCAGTCAGCTAGATGGAGGCGGTGAACCCACCTCAGAACCCATCCTCCTATCTTCAGAACCCGCCTTCGGAAAAGCAGTATTTCTATTGGCTAGTTTCAGTGTCAGTCAACTAGATGGAGGCGATGAACCCACCTCAGAACCCATCCTCCTATCTTTAGAACCCGCCTTCGGGAAAGCAGCATTTCTATTGGCTAGTTTCCTTGTCAGTCAACTAGATGGAGGCGGGACGTCAACTTGAGAACCCACCTTCCTTTGCGGAAAGCGCTATCTCTATTGGCTTGGCCCTGTGGACGCGGTGACGTCATCTCTCAACGCGTATCTCTATTGGCTGGGCCGTTTGTCTGTCATGCTGCCTGGAGGAAAAAGAGGCGGCGAGGAGAAGGAGAAGGAGGCGGTGGCGGCGCAGGCGCTGCTGCTGCGGCGGCGAAAGATGGGCCGCTCCTGAGGGAAAGTATCCTCCGAAGAAGCTTCCAGGCCGAAGGGGCCAGCCGCTGCCGTCGAAATAAGAGCTCCCTTCGAGGTATTGAGCGGAAAGAGGCGTGGCCTATGCAGAACATCAACAAAGGGGCGTGGCTCATGAATATTAATAAGGGCCACATGAATTATTCATAAGGTAGTCTCCTTAGGGAAGCTGTGGGTGGGATATGCTATTAGGAATTACTATTTTTAATATTTCAATATTTGTAATAATAATTGCAATAGTAAAATAATGTATTGTCGAAGGCTTTCATGGCTGGAATCACTAGGTTCTTGTGGGTTTTTTTTCGGGCTATAAGGCCATGTTCTAGAGGCATTCTCTCCTGACGTTTCGCCTGCATCTATGGCAAGCATCCTCAGAGGTAGTGAGGTCTGTTGGAATTAGGACAATGGGTTTATATATCTGTGGAATGGCTGGGGTGGGGCAAAGAGCTCTTCTCTGCTGGAGCTAGGTGTGAATGTTTCAACTGATCACCTTCATTAGCATTTGAAGGCCTGGCTGAGTCTGGGAAAACCTTTTGTTGAGAGGTGTTAAGATGTGCCTGGTTGTTTCCTCTCTGCTGTTTTGCTGTTGTAATTTTAGAGTTTTTTAATACTGGTAGCCAGATTTTGTTCATTTTCATGGTCTCTTCCTTTCTGTTGAAATTGTCCACATGCTTGTGGATTTCAATGGCTTCTCTGTGTAGTCTGACATGGTGGTTGTGAGAGTGGTCCAGCACTTCTGTGTTCTCAAATAATATGCTGTGTCCAGGTTGGTTCATCAGGTGCTCTGCTATGGCTGATTTCTCTGGTTGGAGTAGTTTGCAGTGCCTTTCATGTTCCTTGATGCGTGTCTGGGCAATGCTGCGTTTGGTGGTCCCTATGTAGACTTGTCCACAGCTGCATGGTACACGGTAGACTCCTGCAGAAGTGAGAGGATCCCTCTTGTCCTTTGCTGAACGTAGCATTTGTTGGATTTTCTTGGTGGGTCTGTAGATGTTTGTATGTTGTGTTTCCTCATCAGCTTCCCTATGCGGTCAGTGGTTCCCTTGATGTATGGCAGGAACACTTTTCCTCTGGGTGGATCTTCATCTTTACTCTCGTGGCTTGTTCTTGGTCTTGCAGCTCTTCTGATGTCTGAGGTGGAGTCTCCATTGGCCTGGAGAGCCCAGTTGAGGTGGTTCAGTTCATCTTGGAGGAGGTGGGGGTTCGCAGATGCAGCACGCATGGTCTGCCAAGGCTTTAATGGTGCTTCTTTTTGACTTGGGTGATGGTTGGAGTTTTTATGTAGATATCTATGCTTTCCCTGCCACGCCTTGCTGTGGCCCAGTCTGTTGATCTGGAAAATAAAGTAATGAGAAAGTGTTGGTTTCTAATATATGCGATATCCTTATGCTTGTGGGTAAACAGTATTTCTTGTTGTTTCTTTGTCAGTGTTGATGTGGAGATTGTCTGGTTTGCCTACTCTGGAACATGCAATATATCATTGTCCTTCTTTATGGGTCCCTTTCAAATCTCTGTGTGTGAATCATATCTATCTATCTCTATGGCTGGATGGCTCTTTGTCAGGAGGGCTTTGATCATGTTTTCTTGCTCTGGTGAAGGGAGTTGGACTGGATGGCCTTAAGTATTGTCTGTTGGTCATGGGGATTCTGTGTGGTCATTGATGAGGTTCAGCATGCTCTATGATTGTAGGTGAAGTATAAATCCCAATAACTACATCCAGAGGCGGCCCTAGGTAATTTTCAACGGTAAGCAAACAGTATTTTGCCCCCCCCCCCCCAAAAAATCATTGATATATATTTTCTGTTTGTCGTGGGAGTTCTGTGTGCCATATTTGGTTCAATTCCATCATTGGTGGAGTTCAGAATGCTCTTTGATTGTAGGTGAACTATACATCCCAGTAACTACACGTGCCACACTTGCTCCCTTGCCTGGCCCACTTTGGGTCGGGAGGCGTGCCTGAAGACCCTGATGTGTGCACCAAAAGTCACCTCTTCTCCTGACTTTCTCCTCAGCCATTGGGACCAAAGAGAGAGAGAGAGGGGGAGATGCCCACCTTTCCTGAAGGTAGGCGCAAAAACAAAGGAGGGAGCGGAGGGGGGAGATACCTCCAGCCGGAGGGGCTCTCTCTCTCTCTCTCTCTCTCTCTCTCTCTTGGTCCCAATGGCTGAAGAGAAAGTCAGGAGAAGAGGCGACTTTTGGTGCGCATGCTGGGGTCTTCAGACACGCCTCCGGACCCGAAGTGGGCCAGGCGCGGCGGCTCCATCCCTTGGCCCACCCGCAGATTGGGGAGAGGAGAGGAGGCGGGTGGAGCGCCGGGGGATCGGGAAAGAGAGCTGGTCATGGGAAAGGGATCTAACACAGAGAACGACTGAGCGCCGGCTCTGCTCATGCACCTGGTGGCCGGTGGAGCAGGAACGAGAGGGGCTAGGCGAGGCTCAAGGGCCCGGCCCCTTTGGGAAGAGGATCGCCCAGCAGCGAGGCAAGAAAGTCGAGGCTCCCCCCAGACTGCTAGGGCTGTTGTGAGCTGAGGGGGCGCTCCTCAAGTGGCAGTCGAGGGGCATTTACAGAGGCGCCTCTGCTCCCCTGGCAAAAAAAAAGTGTTCTGCGACCGCTTACTTCGCGTAATGGACGAGCCGCCCCTGACTACAACTCTCAAATGTCAAGGTCTATTTCCCCTAAACTCCATCTGTGTTCATAATTGGGTATATGGAATATTTGTGCCAAGTTTGGTCCAGAGCCATCATTGCTTGAATCCACAGTGCTCTCTGGATGTAGGTGAACTACAACTCCCAAACTCAAGGTCAATGCTTTCTGTTGGTCATGGGAGTCCTGTGTGCCACATTTGGTTCAGTTCCATCATTGGTGGAGTTCGAATGCTCTTTGATTGTAGGTGAACTATAAATCCCAGCAACTACAACTCTCAAATTACAAAATCAGTTATTTTTGAGTGATGGTCACTTCTTGAGTTAGTAGTTAGCTTGTGGCCAAATGTGGTGGCAATTCGTCTAGTGTTTTTTGAGTTATGTTAATCCCACAAATGAACATTACATTTTTATTTATATAGACTAGCTGTAGCTGGCCACGCGTTCCTGTGGCCCATTGTGGAGAAATGGGAAAGAAAGAAAGGAGGAAGAGCTGGTTTCTAAGCTATCAATACACAACTTAAATGGCAAAGTGTCAACCTAATCCAGGCCCATTTCAGTCTCCTCGAGGCCAAAGGGTTATATGGATGTGTAGAAGGGCCTTGGGTTACCTGAATCCACACTGCCATATAACCCAGTTCAAAGATATTATATAGTATTATTATTGTTCTTATTATTACAGATGTATAGGTATTATTATAGGCATATAGATATTATTATAGACACAAATATTATTAAAGGCATGTAGGTTTTATTATTATAGATGTTATTTATTTATTTATTTCGTATCAAAAGCATTGCATAAATTAGTATAAAACTGATTAAAAATAGAAGAAGCACAGGGCTAAATATCTTTCGAGAAAAAACCGGCATCAGATGTATGGATATAGGTGGTATTATAGGCATATAGATATTATAGATATTATACGTGTATATAGATATTACTATGGACATAGATATTATAGGCATATAGGTATTATTATAGATGTGTAGATATTATTGACAGACAGATATTATAATGATAGATATATGGATATGATATGGATATTATTATAGACCTGTAGATATTATTGTTACAGACATATAGATATAATCTATACGAGGGGTATTTTTTAAGTAAGGTCCGTTGGAACATAAATACACAATGAAAGCTTATTTCAAAAAGTTCATTTATTTTCAGAAAGTACATACTCCACTCTATTTTTAGACATAGTTGATGGTATTCCGGAGAAAAGTGAAAACCTGGTTATTTGAACAGGCATTTGAATAAGCAGTGCAATGAATTTCAGGAAATGGAACTACGACTGACAAGTTTGGATCATGATTCTAGTTATGAGACGCCACTTGAATGTCTATTACTGTTAAATTGTTTAATTTGTTTCTGTGTTAACTGTTTTTAAGTACCTTGTTGATGCCGCATTGAATTTTTGCCTTGATTGTTCGCCTTGTTTTTGCTTGATTGTTGTAAACCGCTATGAGTCGCCTTAGGGCTGAGAATGGCGGTATACAAATGAAGTAAATAAATAAATAAATAAATAGTTGCCAAGTTTGTTCAAACACTTATCATACCTCTGAACCAATTTTAAAATACCCTCTTCATAAATCCTCGCTTCAACTGAAGCCACCAAATCGTCGGTAATCAAAGAAGGGCGACTGGAGCGGTCCTCATCATGGACGTTGTCACGGCCATCTTTGAATTGTGTACCCACTTACGCACTTTGCTTTCACTCATAACAGTATCACCGTACACTTCACAAATCTGTCGATGAATTTCTGCAGCAGGCAGGTTCCTTGCTGACAAAAACCGTATCACTGAGCAAACCTCACATGCGGCGGGTGAGTTGATAGTCTTAAACATTTTTAAAGCACAGAACAGAACCGTACAGGTTAGCTACAGAGCGGAAACTGAGCACAGTTGTTCCCGAGGCATGCCGGTACACGACGCACGCACTCGTTGCGGTATGCGTGCGAACTACTAGTGTCTACAACAAAATGGACCTTACTTAAAAAATAACCCTTGTAGATAGATAAATAGTAGACTTATAGATATTATTGTGATAGATACATAGATATTATTGTAGATCTATTATAGCCTGGGGTTGCTATAAAGTAAAAATGGATGGCCATCTTCCTGGAGTGTTTTGATTGTGCCTTCCTGGACAGCCTTTGGTAACTCACAGAGCGTACCTTTTTGTCATTTCCTTGAATACTGGACTTCATTTTCCAGAATTCCTTCCCATAACTCAATATGGATTAGCCTTATGGGCACACACACACACAGAGAATCCCTCCCGTGTGAGTTCCCAGCCAGTACCTCCATGCTGCAAACAGCCAAGACCCAAGAGGGAAAGGAAAAAAAAGGAAAGGAAAAGGAGGGGGTAGATCTGGGAGAAAAGTGAGAGAAAAGTGGCACATAAATAAAGATTTATTATTATTATTATTATTATTATTATTATTATTATTATTATTATTATTGTATGACTATCATACAAAGTAAAATGATGCCTTCCCTCTCCTCCTTCCCAACATTTGAAGAAGTTAACTTTAAGATTAATCCTTTCTTCTTTCTTGAAGATTAATCCTTTCTTCTTTCTATTTTTGACTTGATCCAAACCAAGCTGGTTTCAATTACTCTGAACAGGAAGGCAGGGATGCCCTTCGTATGCAATGACAAGCTGTGTTTTTGTTGCTGCTGCGTTTCCCTTTTCTCCTTTGCTTTCCTTGACAGGTTTTAGGTAGCTGTGTTTGGTGAATAATTCATGTTTGTCAGGGCTTTGATCGTTAATTTGTCTCTCTGTCACCGGAGCTTGTTTAATAAAAGAGGACTCATGTTGCATACTTAAAAAAAAAAAACACCACTTACATATGGCTCTGGATGCTGGAAAAATGTCTTCCGCTATGACTGGACAAACAGAAAGGTATATTTTCAAATGTGCATTTGCTTGTAGAGTCAGAAACCTGTGATTTGTCAAAGGGGAGATTGACAATGGTGAAATGCAATAAGTTCTTTTGTTAAATGGCTTTTAAAGCCAACAGAGATAGAGTTGCATGGCCTTGCATACCTATTTTATCAAGCTCATGGTGTCATTAACATTGTCGACTTATCTTGTCTTTCCTAGGCCTCACTTTTGAGAATGGCTTGACACACAGAGCCTTTTCCCTGTCATCTTCTTGCCACAGTTTCGTCTTTGTGACTTGATATTCCCTCCAAGGACATCCCTAATTCATTGGTGGCAATCCCTCTTGGTTGAGTCTGATTGCCTTCCAAGGGAAGTGGATCCATGATTGTAGAGACTTATTCTGGATCTGTATGGTCTTTCATTCATAGTGAAGACATATATTTCCAATGGAAGGCTGTCCTGACAAGGGTTTGCTTGCGGGGCCTTCTTTCTCTCTGCCTGTTTCTCCCTATTCATAGAATCATGGAGTTGGAAGAGACTCATGGGCCATCTAGTCCAGCCCCCTGCCATTCAGGAAAAGCACAATCAAAGCATCCCAGACAGATGGCCACCTAGGCTGTGAAAGGAGTCTCCACAGGACTCTGAGGCAGAGAGTTCCACTGTTCTTACCGCCAGGAAGTTATTCACCATGTTCAGGTGGAATCTCCTTCCCTGTCATTTGAACCCATGGCTCCATTGAGTCCTAGATTTCAGGGCAGCAGAAAACAAACCTGCTCCCTCTTTCTTGTGACAGCCTTTCACAAATATATCAATGGTCCTCTCATGTCTCATTCTCTTAATCTTCTCTTCTGCAGGCTAAACAGACTTATCTCTTTAAGACTCTCCTCATTGGAATTCATGGAATTCATGGTCTCCAGACCTTTGATCCTTTTAGTCACCCTCTTCTTCTGGACCCCTTCCAGCTTAGAGTCAATCTCTCTTTTAAACTGTGGGGACACAGTGTGATTCCAGGTAAAGAGGTCTGGCCAAAGCAGAATACAGAGGTACCAGGTCTTCGCATGATCTAGATGCTATATTCCTTTCGATGCAGCCCCAAATCCCATTGCCCTTGTAGCTCCTGCATCACACTCTTTGCTCATGTTCAGCTTGTATTCCACAAAGATTCCAAGATCTTTCTCACATGTTCTCTTGTCGAGCCAGGCATCGTCCCCCATTCTGTATCTTTGCATTTCATTCTTTTTCTGCCTAAGTCCAGTATCTCACATTTGTCCTTGTTGAAATTCATTTTATTAGTTCCCTGTCATCTTCTTGCCATTGTTACTTATGTGTGACTTGATATTCCCTCCAAGGACATTTCTATTCATCATCAGCAATCCCTCTTGGCTGAGTCTGATTGCCTTCTAAGGGTAGAGTCTTGGCGGCGGGTCCGTAAGTGACTGTAGATGCTTATTTTGGATCCACATATTCTTTTGCAATGAGGACATATATTTTCATAAGAAAGGCTGCCCGGGTAAGGGTTTGCTTGAGGTGCCTTCCTCTGAGACTTTTGGATCTTGACTTCCATAATCTGATTCTTGCAGCAAAAACAACTTGTTCCCCTACCACATCATTAATTCCATGTGAGCATTTTGCTTAATCCCAGCCAGAGGAGAGCTTTGGCAACTACAAGATGTAATGTATTGCTGTCAGCAACCCTTTTGGAGCTAGACCATAGGGAAGCCTGAGCGAAGGGAGATAGATGCTTTTGAACTGTGGTGTTGGAGGAAATTCCTGAGAGTGCCTTGGACCACAAGAAGATCCAACCAGTCCATACTTCAGGAAATAAAGCCCGACTGCTCATTGGAGGGAAAGATATTAGAGGCAAAGATGAAGTGTTTTGGCCACACTATGAGAAGACAGGAAAGCTTAGAGAAGACAGTTATGCTGGGGGAAATGGAAGGAAAAAGGAAGAGGGGCCGACCAAGGGCAAGATGGATGGATGGACGGTATCCTTGAAGTGACTGGCTTGATCTTGAAGGAATTGGGGGTGGTGACGACCGACAGGGAGCTCTGGCATGGGCTGGTCCATGAGGTCACGAAGAGTCGGAAGCGACTGAACGAATGAACAACAACAAAACCTGTTTGGCTGGCATGCTTTTCCTATGTTGGCCATATATAAATGGCTTTGAGTCTCATGTCTTTTTTTTTCATGTCAGGAGCAACTTGAGAAACTGCAAGTTGCTTCTGGTTTGAGAAAATTGGCCGTCTGCAAGGAGGTTGCCCCGGGGACGCCCGGATGTGTTACCATCCTGTGGGAGACTTCCCTCATGTCCCTGCATGGGAAGCTGGAGCTAACAGATGGGAGCTCACCCCGCTTGCTGGATTCAAACCACCAACCCAGTCCTGCCGTCACAAGGGTTGCGCTACCAGGGGCTCCGGTGAAAGTCATGTCTGAAAGTGGTATATAATAATAACAACAACAATAAGAATGACTTCTGGAACACAGAATGCCTGAGGACGATTCAGTGTCCAGCTGAATTCACCAGATACCTTTGTGATAGATAATGGTTGAGTGCTATTAATTATGCACAAGCTAAAGCAATCATTTAACTGTATTGGTTTTTCCATGTCCACCCAGCCTCTGGTGATGCAAAGAGTGTGGCAAAAGAGAGAAGAGACACAGAGTGCTTTGGACCTCTCTTCTGCTCCCCTTGTTGCTTCGGCTGGTGGCTTGGACGCACCTGAGCCTCACTGCCGTTCTCATGCTGGTCTCCTTCCTCTTCCCTTTTCTTTTCCTCATAGGATTCCACCGTCTGCTGGAAAAGATGGGCAACGTGGAGAGCAACGGCTCCTATCAGAAGCACCTCTTGAGATTTCCTCCTGATGAACAAGCCGGCATTGAGGTTGTATTTGGCTCCTTGTCCAGGATGGAGGTTGCTACTGCCACAAAGGCATTGAAGACGGCCGAGAAGGGAGTGACTCTGGCGACGATTAAGGCAAGAGAAGCAAACAGTTACCTTTTAGCCTCCCCATTCAAGGCAGTCTGCACGACTATTCTTCCACTTCAGTCGTACTTACTGCAGGCAGGCACGGTTCCCTCATTTGCAATCAGCAACACAACAGTTTGTTGATGTTGTGTGCCTTCAAGTCAGTTCTGACTTGTGACGACACTCAGGCTAACCCATTGCAGGCTTTTCTTGGCAAGATTTGTTTTGGAGTGCATGAAGTTAGAGATCTTGATTTAAGGAGCTAACACGTCAGTGGTTTGGGGGAAGAAATTAATCTTTATTGTAGGAAATCCACTCAAAGATAGAAGAGTTACTAATCTATGATATGAAATGCATAGGGGTGTTGCTTCACCTCTTCTTCCAGGAATTCTTTCTTGATTTTCCAAGATGATGCTGATCTTACTTAGATACGTCTTGGAAAGATTGAGAGGGAAGCAAAATTGGTGGAGAAACTTCCCTCAAACAACGAGTTTACAGTGTACCCTTGCTACTTTGCAGTTTGCTTTTTGCGGACTTGCTGTTCTGTGGTTTTTTAAAAATATCAATTTAAGTAGCGAGGGAACACTGAGCAGAAATGGGGAGGGGGGCACCTCGTTGCCACCTGGGCTTCCGCTGCCTCAGGCGGCTCTTCTTCCCTCTGGGTGTCATGAATGACTTTTCAATGACTTTGAAGCATAAGTTCTTTTTATTGCAATTTCCTGTGTGAGAGAGTACATCAGATTAAGAAAAACATTTAGACAAAGAATGACATTGGACATACAGACATACAGATTCTATGCAACTACATTGGGTTTACAATTACATTGGTTAACAAACAAAGGGGAAATACATTTTCACACAACATTCACACACATGTACATGCATTCATTCACATGCATCCAAATATTTCCATATCCTTTTCTCCCTCCTTGGAGAAACACCTCTTAGGCCAGACCCTGCTTTCCTGCAGCCTGCCAACGCATAGTTCCAAAACTTCCATAACGCCAAAACTTCTTTCCCTAAGAACTATGCCAAGGACCAGATCTGTGTTTTCCATACAGCAGAACCTGACTCCCTGCGCAAAATCTAAGACTCCAAAAGCGCACTTCTTCCTCTTCCCTTGAGAAAGAAGCCCCAAAGTGACCAGACTGCTCCCGTGCAGATCTGCCACTATCCATAGGTAGTGGATATGGAGCAGAGCATAGCAGGTGAACCAGACTCCTCAGGTCTGTCACAATTTGAGCATTATTAGACTGAGTCTTTTATAGGATTATTCTGTTGATGTAGTCCCAAAATTGTAAATTAATGATAAGACGTCTTCCATCCTGTCTCTATCTCAGTTTCCTGGCCAGATGTTTATCTTCTTGATTGGTGTTGATCTTATGTTGACTTCCTTCTTAACATAAGGAATGTTTCAAATGTTTCTTTAACTTGAAAGAACCATTGTCACAGTTCTTATCAATTCTCATTAGCAGGTTTTGATTACAGTTCCAGAAAGCAGATAGTTAGTCATTGCAGGCCTTAATCTCATACTGGTGTCTCCAAAATTATTAACTCCATTCATACATCCACCTTCCATTCTTCCATTCATTTCCACACATCATATTAAATTCATATTTGTCAAATCTGCACATTGAATTTCTTGTGACATGGGGGTGCTGGAAAGGAAGCCCGCCTGGAAAGCCGGATTAATTGTAGCAACCTGGGGTTGGGGGGGGGGGGGATCAAGGCCACCACCCAGCTCGACCCCTTCTGCTATCAAGGAGGGCACCCGCAAGCCCCTCCCAGCAGGTGGCCACCCCCAGCTCTTTATCCCTCCTCACCCTCTTTACCTTCTTCCTCCTTCTCGTCACCTCCTTTCCCGCCCACAGGCCCGACCTGGGGAAGGTAAAGAGGGCAAAGCAGGAAGAAGAGCCGGGGTCCCTCAGTTATTGTGGGTGTTACGTTCCAGGACCACCTGTGATAAGTGAAATTCCACGAAGTAGGGACACCTCCTCCATCGCCCTCTTTTCCTTCCTCTTCCTCCTCTTCGTTGCCACCTGGGCCTCTTGCCGCCGCTTTGGCCTCGCATTGCCTCAGCTGCCTCCTCAATCTCTCCAGAAGTGGCAGCAAGAGGCCCAGGTAGTGACGAAGAGGAGGAAGAAGAAGGTAAAGAGGGCGAGGGACAGGGCGTCCCTATTTTGCAGAATTTCACTTATCACAGGTGGCCTTGAACATAACACCCACGATAACTGAGGGATCCCTGCAAAAGGCCACCTTACTGGGATCTGTATGCATTTATTCGCCAATACATCACACAGTCCTAGACACTTGGGAAGTGTCCGACGTGTGATCCAATACAATAGCCAGCAGAGTTTTTGCTGTGGACTCATCTTGTTGTGTTTCAAATAATAATCATAATAATCATAATAATAATGCCTAAAGACCTTGGCCTGCACTTAAACACAATCGGCGCTGACAAGATTACCATCTGCCAGCTGCAAAAGGCCACCTTACTAGGATATGAACGCATTATTCGCCGATACATCACACAGTTCTAGGCACTTGGGAAGTGTCCGACGTGTGATCCAATACAACAGCCAGCAGAGTGTCTGCTGTGGATTCATCTTGTTGTGTTTCAAATAATAATAATAATAATAATAATAATAATAATAATAATAATAATAATAATACAATTAAAATAAAGACATAGTTAAATATAATAATCCAGATAAAAGCACAATTAAATAAAACATAAGAGTATAAAACAGCAATGTTAGAACTCAATCCAAACAATACTCAACAAAACCAGTGCATTGGGTATGACCAGGCCCTTAAAGGGCCAGACATGGGATAGGGCCAGATATTGGATGAAGTTCAGAGAACAAAATATTATCAGGGAACCTAGAGAGTGGGCATTCTAAAATGGAGACTGAAACATCCAGATTTTCAAATCCCTGCGAAAGGAGGACAGTAAGGGGGCTGATAGTAAATAATGAGCACCACTCAGAAACAGGGGAATTCCAGGCAGCAATATGGATTGTGCCACCACTTCCATCTGAGTAGGAGCAAGTGTGTCCTGAATGGCCGAATTTGACTGCTGCATTTCCTTCTTTGGCCAGGACCATGTCAAGGGTGCTCTTCCTGAATCGATGGTCATTCGGCTGTATGATGGGATGACGGGTGTCCAACTGACCGAGAAGTCGCCTGGGTCCAGTGGCCGGGTGACGAAGGAGCAGTTTGTTGTCTTTATGTCTGCAATCTTGAAAGGCAACGCTGAGGAAAAGAAGGGCATTGTCATGAAAATGATCTCCAAGGCTGGCGGGACTGTGAAGGGAAGTCAAATCCTTGAGGTAAGGAGGGGAAATATTACATGTATGGGTGGTGGAGAGGGAAAGGAGTTCACGAAAGGGTATATACATATATTTATTTATACTTCAGGAAATATATGTGTGTTTTGAGGGCGCTTGCCTTAATGAAATTTTGAGAAACTGCTGAAAAGAATTTGCAGGGAAGAGGGATATTGGACATTTTGTTGTACTTTGCGCCAACTTTCAGTTGTTAATAAAACTTTATTTAAACCCCGCTCCATCTCCTCCAGGGGGACTCGGTGCGGCTTACATGAGGCCACGTCCATCAGTGCAGTACATACATTGTAATACAAAAACATAACAATACCAGAAAATAAAATACATAAAATGCAAATAAATATAATAAACGACACAGACAATATAAAACATGCAATTAAAAACAGAGGATTTCACTGGGCAGGGCCACATTCAAGGCTAAAATTTTAAAAACTCTGGGAGATAGGATGATGCAAATAATCAGGATGAGGATCTGAGAATGAGGGAGGATTCAATTGCACGAACCATTAATAAAGTGCTTCTAAGGACATTTAGTGCAAAGTTTGGTCAGGGAGTTTCTTACATTCAATCACTGAAGGCACATTGGAATAGCCAGGTTTTCAGGTTCCTCCTGAAGATTGCTAGCATGGGGGCTTGCCTAATATTTCTGGGGAGTGAGTTCCAGAGCCGGGGGGCCACCACAGAGAAGGCCCTCTCTCTCGTCCCCGCAAGTTGCACTTGAGATGCGGGTGGGAGCGAGAGAAAAGCCTCTCCGGAAGATCAAAGAGATTGCGTAGGTTCGCCTGTCCAAATGGGCTCATTTTTGCCCTTGTTGGGAGTTCTGTTTCCTTTTTTTCTGTTTTGAAATTTGGTCTTTGTTCTGTTGAAGTTTGCAGAGGACCTGGTTCATTCTGTGGTCCACTTTCTAAACTACAGAAATGAGCTGAAGGGCTGGAATCCAAAGAATATGCAAAATTCCACCGCCGGAGTGAAAGCTTTGGCTTCCCAGCTTATATCCGAACTGAAAACAGCAGGTGAGACAAGAGGAAGGTCATGATTGTTTTGGTTTTCGTTCACAGCTGAAATTAAAATGAGGTTTGTGCAAGGAAGCAGGAGCTTAAAAGCAACATACACCCAGTTTCTAGTTCAGTCTCCTGCTTATAATTTCCCCCCAAATATGCACCCTACTGGTTCTATGCATAAGATAAGCCTGGATATTCACAAACCAGAATGTGTCCAGAGAAGGGAGGCCAAAAGGTTCCGAGATTTGAAAGCCAAGGAATGACTCTGAGGAATGACTGCGGGAGCTTGGGAGCGAGAAGGCTGAGAATGTGAGAGCTAGGTTTAAATATTAGAAAGGATGTCCCATTGTGTTGTTGAAGGCTTTCATGGCTGGAATCACTGGGTTGTTGTGAGTTTTTCGGGTGGTATGGCCATGTTCCAGTAACATTCTCTCCTGACGTTTCACCCACATATGTGGCAAAAATCCTCAGAGGTAGAGGTTTGTTCAGAAATTTACAGAAAATATACATCAATATTTATTGTAAATACATCCATTCAGCATCATATATTTCAACATCCTTAAATATACTTACAAGGTTATAAACTTGGTACTTGTTCCCTCTAGTATCAAGTTCATAACTCTGTTAGCATTCTTATATGTATCTTTATATGTGTTTATGTACATGATGTTCAATGAACTTATTTACAGCATATATATATATATATATATATATATATATATATATATATATATATATGATTAATTTTAGTCCACCAGAGGAAGGCCTGGAGTGAGGCCGAAACCAGTCGTGGACTACGGATTTTTGTTCAACTAGACGCAAGAACATACGGCGTTGATACTTCTTTGAGTGACTGTACTAAACACATATGATATTGTTTTGTGAATGCTATGATTTGGAACTGTATAATAAGTTTCACCAGTCACATTATTGGCTGAACTGTTTTATTTTTCTTTTTGTGTACAAGTGGGCTATTGCGTTGTAAGAAAAAGAGATTCCACATAAACATTAGGAAGAACTTCCTGATGGTAAAAGCTGATCAGCAGTGGAATATGTATAATGGAGTGGAAAATGTGTGATGTTTTTAAGCAGAGGCTGGGTGGCCATCTGTCAGGAGGACTTTGGTTGTGTCTTCCTGGTTGGCAGAATAAAGGAGGTTGGGTTGGATGGCCTTTGGGTGATCTCTTCCAACACAACCCTTATTTTCTGCTTCAGATGGGAAGAGGCTGGAGGGGGCTCAGGCGCTGGACGCCACCTACGACGAGAACAGCCTAGAGGATTGGCTCTTCCGGGTCCCTCAAGTCTCCGCCTTCCTCGGGGTCATCGTCCAGCACGGGCTGCTGGCTGGGCCTTCCCTCCTGCCAGGCCAAGGTGCCTCCCGCTTGCTCCCGGAGTGCCGAGGGATGAAGGGGGCCGGCTTCGTCAGCCTGCTAGACCTCCCCTCTGTGGCGTACATCAACTCCTGCCTGCCTTCGGAGCTGCGGCAGGAGTGGCGGCTGCTCTTCTCCTCCCAGCTCCATGGGGAGAGCTTCTCCCAGCTCTGCGGCCACATCGTCCACAAGGGGCCCTGCCTGCTGGTCTTGCGGGATGCCGACGGCTACATCTTCGGGGGATTCTCTTCCTGCTCCTGGGAGGTCAAGCCACAGTTCCAAGGTAAGGATCCCAACATTCTCTGCCTTTTCATTGTTTGCTGATTTCCAAACCTTGTCTTTCAAAGAGTTCGCCATTATAGAAGTGTTGGAAGAGGCACCAAGGTCCATGCAGTCCAAGGCACAGCCACATTGGCTCTTTTCACTGCTGCATCACACTGTTGTGCTTTGCGATTTTCCTGCTTCTTGGCAGAAGGGGGTTGGACTGGATGGCCTACGGGGTCTCTTCCAGCTTTAGAATGATATGGTTCTATGATATTCAGCTTGTGATAGGATCCAAAGCTGGAAGGGGCCTCAAAGGCCATCAACCCCTTTCTTCCTACCTGTTACAATTGTGTTGGCTCTTTTTGTTGCTGCATCACACTGTTGTCTCATATTAAACTTGTGAAAGAATTCCAGAGTTAGAAGGGACTTCAAAGGCCATCTGTAGTGAATCCACTACCAGTTAGACTTAGAGAAACCTTGGAAAAGTAGGCCCAAGAGATTGGCAGCCATCTTGGAAAAGGTGCCGGGGGGGGGATCAATTTTGGCCGCTCATTTCCTAGAGGGGGTGTCCTTAGTAAGAGCAGCTTTGGAGGGAATTCGAGAGAGGAATGTGATTGGCTAAGTTAGAGTGGGCGGAGCTTAACTTGGCAAGAGGGGAAAATTGTCTTTAAAGAGAGATTTTTAAATCCCTGTCAGGAGATTGAACTCGGGTGTTAGGATTTTGGAGTGGTGTAGAGGGTTAGAGAGAAAGGCCTGAGATTGGCCAGTTTTGCTAGCAGGGACAGCTAGTGAGGACTTTACAGCTATTAGGAAGATAGCTGAGAAATAGAGAGATAGATCCACGTTAGGACTATCTGTGCTGGTTTAAGAATTATTGTCAGAGAAACTATCCTGTCAGTATTCTTGTGTGGCGGGAGAAAGGACAGTTTCTTGTGTAACTAAGTCAGAACTGTTTATGTAACTACACGCTTTCAAGAAAATCTCTGAAACAGCCAAGCTTTGTACCTAAATTGTTCCTGTTCTTGTAAATAAACTTCATTGATTATTTCTCATTACATCTGACTCAAGTGTGCCTCTAGGCTTAAAGGTTCAAAAGCAGCTTTAAGCAGTATTCAAGAACTTAATGGTGGCAGCGTTTGTTTTAAAGAACTATCTTTGAAAGGGTACCTCAGAAACACAAGCCGAAGGGCTAATACCATCACACTCTTTCATAAGTTACCTCAAATAAGACAAGGGTTTATCAGCATTTCTAAGTGGGTGAGTGCCAGTGCGCTTTCAAAAAGGGTTTTTTGGCCAGGAAGAAAGTGCCAGCTTTCTTTACAGCTTTTTGGTTTGGGGGCTTGTGAATCTCAGAAGCCACATTAAAATCTAAGTGGTGTCTTGCTGCTTTTGGGAATTATATTTATTTCTACAAAGAAAGCCTCACGGTCCTTTATAGTTTTGGTGGGATTAAATAAGAATCCCCCTACTGTGTTATATTTTGGTGGAACAGCGTTGGGGTTTTTATTATCAAATACATTTCCCTATATCTATTATACCATCCAACCCTCTTCTGACAGTCAGGAAGACACAATCACAATGATTTTTATGCTGCTGTATCACAGTGTTGGCTCTTGTTTAGCTTGTGAGAGAATCGAAAGGACGCCAAAGGCCATCCAACCCCCTTCTGACATGCAGGAAAACACAATTGCAATGGCTTTTTTAGTTGCTTCATCACATTGTTGTCTCATATTCGGCTTGTGATAGAATCCTAGAGTTGGAAGGGACTCAAAAGGCCATCCAACCCCCTTCTGACAGACAGGAAGACACAATTGCAATGGTTTTAAAGCTGCTGTATCACACTGATGGCTCATATTCAGCTTGTGATAGAATCCTGGGACCATCCAGTCCACCCCTTTCTGACAGGCAAGAAGACACAATCACAATGGCTTTTTTAGTTGCTACATCACACTGTTGGCTCATGTTCAGCTTGTGATAGACCCCAGGGAGCATCCAACCACCTTCTGGCAAGGAGGAAGACACAATCACTGTAGTTTTTAGGGTGATTTATCGCACTGTTGCCTCATGTTTAGTTTGTGATAGAATCCTAGTTGGAATGTACCCAAAAGCACATCCAGTCCAGCTCCCTCCCGCCCGGATAGGAAGACACAATCAAAGCCCTCCTAAGAGATGGCCACTCAGCCTCTTTTTAAAGCCCTCCAAAGGAAGAGAGAATGGGAAGAAGACAGTTGAATATGTCTTGCCATTGTGCTCCAAATCCAAGAAGCAAAGAGTTGGAAGGGATTCAAAAGCCCATCCAGTCCAACCTTCTTCCACCAGATTAGGAAAACACAATCAAAACACTCCCAGCAGATGGCCAAAGAGCTTCTGTTTAGAGATCTCCAAAGAAGATAGCTCTCCTGGACTCCAAGGGAATATATTTCACTGTTGAACAACTCTAACTGTCCTCACCAGGCTGACCCTGCTTAGGGAAGGTTTGGCTCAATTTTGAAATCATGATCACTCACGATATACAAGATGGCAATTCTTGCCCAGTAGGTGTCAGTCTTTAGCTTTGATTCTGCAGTATTTCTCTAAGGAGAAATACTTGTGTTTCTGAGGTACCCTTTTAAAGATAGTTCTTTAAAACAAACCTCCACAAAGCATAGGCTTTGGAAATGTATGGGAGAGACCAAGAGCACCTAGGAAATGATCCCAATGACACGTCTTGTCTGTTATGTATTTCCCTCTTAATCTCTTCGGGCCTCTGTGGTTTACAGGCAACAACGAATGCTTTCTCTTCTCCGTGTCCCCTGTGCTCGGCGTGTTCACTCAAACGGGTTACAATGACCATTATATGTACTTGAACCACGGGCAGCAGACGATGCCGAACGGACTTGTGAGTATGAAGCATTTCCTGACAGAGCTGGTCTCTGAACGGGACTCTTTTGGGGGCTACAGTTTGCATTAGAGTCCTATGGCTCGCATTTTGTTTGGGGATATATATATGTGTGTGTGTGTGTGTGTGTGTGTGTGTGTATACACACATATGATCAATGAAAAAAGGTCTCAATGCTCATTATGAAAATTGGGGGGAGGGGAATAGTTTTTGAGTGTGTTTCCGAAATTACGGACCTAAAAAAAACAATAACTATAATGAAGTAATGCATTATTCATTACTTTATTGGTTAAGTAGTTGATCAAGTGGGGAAACTTCAGGGGCTCATTTATCCCTCATTTTTAGAGCTATCATAATGAAACTTGCTATAATTATATGACACATTAGGGCCAGCTAATCTTCTCGCAACAAAGGATTCCCCCAGGCAGGAAGCAGCCAGGCTGTGAAGCTGCAAGGCTGTCCAGCGCCAATCAAAGTGCTCTGAATTCCTTTTAAAAAAACCCTCAAAACACCTTTAGCCCTTCCATGGCTTCAAAACAACAACAAGCAACTTAGCAAGCTCCCACACCAGTGATCTTCCTCCCCCTCTCCATATGGGAAAAATGGAGATTCCAGTCCATTTAAACTACTCCAGCACATTTACTTTTCAGAGAATTAGGACTCTCCCTTGTTCCCTCATCTTCTGCAATTCTTCAAGATGTTCTAAACACTTTATTTCTCTAAAATGGATTTTGAAAAGGCACCTCCATGATCCCTGGCATTGCTCCCAATTCTTCAGATATTTTCATTGTGTTGTTGTAGGTTTTTCCGGGCTATATGGCCATGTTCTGGAGGTAATTTTTCTCCTGACGTTTCGCCTGCATCTATGGCAAGCATCCTCAGAGGTAGTGAGGTCTGTTGGAAGTAGGAAAAATGGGTTTATATATCTGTGGAATGACCAGGGTGAGACAAAGGACTTTTGTCTGCTGGGGCTAGGTGTGAATGTATCTTATTACTATAGATAATTGCTATATTTTTATTATGCTTTATATATGTGTGTGTGTGTGTGTGTGTGTGTGTGTGTGTGTGTGTGTGTGTATATATATATATATATATATATATATATATATATATATATTCTGCTTCAGTGTGAATCTCCTTCCAAAAGACTGGACTCAGGCCCCATCTACACTGCCATATAATCCAGTTCTGACTTCAGATGATCTTGTTTGAACTGGGTTATATGGAAGCGTAGGCTCATATAATATAGTTCAAAGCAGATAATCTGCATTCAGAAACTGGATTATATGACAGTGCAGATCCAGCCTCAGTGGTCCATTGGTTTGGTCAGGATGATAACAATGCTGGTATCCTTCTAACTATTGGTCAGTTGGTCATTTTCTATCCCTATTTGTGCTTAGTCAGAGCTAACTTTCTGCCAAATCTCATACATCAGATGCGTTTTCCCCTTTCCTTCCAGGGAATGGGCGGGCAGCACGAATACTTTGGCCTCTGGGTGGACAGCAACTACGGGAAGGGACACAGCAAAGCCAAGCCACGGTGCACCACCTACAACAGCCCCCAACTCTCGGCCAAGGAGAACTTCACCTTCAATGCCATGGAGGTGTGGGCGGTGGGAGACCCCCCGGGAGACATCAACGTAAGTGACCCCTCTTGCTTCCAAAATGGCAAGACAAACCCTTTCCATGCATCGAGGGGGTGTTCAACATGGCCAGTGCAAGGGCTTGGATTTGACCATTGGCACCCCAGAGTGCACCCTGGAAGTTGGGTCTTTTACGGTATTTTCATCTTTTGTTCTGTGTATCTTAATATAGAATGTTTACAATGGCGTGGTTTTAGCCATGTTGTGCCACCCCTTGAGCCATGAGGAGAGGTGGGTAAGAAATATAATAATAACTGGGCCTCCTAATTGTATCAGCCAACGCCTCCAAGGTGGTTCAGAAGACTCAACATGAGAACATTAATAACCACAGAAATATAACAGCATCTAAGATTCTTTGCAAATAATAATAATCACCATCATCGTATACATACAATGGATGATTATGAATACATATGATGGAGGAAGATGCTGTACATGAATCCAAAAAGTGTGGTAAGGTGCACAGCAGGAATCAGCAAGCCCTTCCCTATTCGAGTCAGAGTCCATCCAGTATTGACTCTGCCACCGTTGCTGTTCATGGGTGAAATCGTCAGAGACACTACTGTATGTCAACAACAACAATAATAATAAAACTTAATAATAAAACTTTATTTATACCCCACTACCATCTCCCCAAGGGTCTTGATGCGGCTTACATGAGGCCAAGCCCACAGTACATAATAACAAAAGCAATAATGAAAAAAATCAATACAACACAATTAATATAATTCACATAAACAATAAACAGTAAACAATAAAACACAAGCATTTAAAAACCTATGGCCGGGCCAAATGTAATAGATTAAAAAAAGTAATTTTTTAAAAAATTAAAAAATAATGCTGGGCATGAACAAGGTAGGATATGACTGGCATAGGGCTTCCAAGGAGAGATGAGGGAAAGCAATCAATCCTAAATCAGTGGTAAAGTGCATTTTGAGGGCATATTACTCAGAGTTTTCCTTATTCTGGGAAGGCACACTGGAACAACCATGTTTTCAGGCTCCTCCTAAAGACTGCCAGAGTTGGGGCATGTCTGTCCTTGGGGAGCAAGTTACAGAGTCGGGGGGCCACCACCATGAAGGCCCATTACCTTGTCCCCACCAATTGCACCTGTGAAGGAAGTGGCAGTGCGAGAAGGGCCTCTCCAAATGATCAAAGAGATTGTGTGGGTCCGTACACAGAAATGTGGTCACGCAGGTAGGCAGGTCCCAAACCATTCAGGGCTTTGTAGGTAAGAACCTGCACCTTGAATTGGGACCGGAAAATGAACGGCAGCCAGTGGAGCTCCTTAAATAATGTTCTGTTAGCCGCCAACTTGTGGGCAGAGTTGCAGACTCAAGTGCAAGTGTGGAAAAATCATCTGCAATATTTTGGACTACCGCTCAACATCTCAAAAACCGAGTCCATGGAATTTGGACCAACAGAAGAGGATGGCTCCATCAATATCAATGTCAACAAAATGCCTCAGCTCAAAGATCACTTTTGTCAGCGACATACTATCAGATGCTCATGGGTGTGTAAATGCCTCATGGATGAAGAGGAGAGCAACGACAGGCGTAATTGTGTTATATTAAATGTGTGGTAAGAATATCCTAATCCATCTAAATTCAAAAATCTACAGGACGGTGGTGAGACCAGTCACTGTATATGTCACTGAGTGCTGGCCAACCACTAAGGCCATTGAGCAGACACTGCACACATTGGAAATGTGGATAGTCAGGTGGTCAATGGGTGTCCCGAAGGATAGGATTCCAAATGATACAGTGTGCTCCATTTTCGGAGTTGCTCCAATCGCCAAGAAGATGAAGGAATCCCACCTGAGATAGTTTGGAGGTTTGCAAAGCAGTGATGAGGGCTCCGTGGCAAAAACTGCACTGAATATGGAAGTTGCAGGCGCCAGGCCACGTGGCAGACATATAACCTGCTGGCTCGACCGCTTGAAACACGACATGGCTGAAGCAAGACTCACAACAAGAGACGCGACCGATAGGAACAAGTGGAGAGCAAGAAGCAAACAAGCAGACCCTGCAAATTTGTGGAACAAATGCTAGGAAGAAGACCAATGTCATACACAGCCCAAACAAAAAATAAAGTTTTGCTGTTGTCTTGGTTTTTAGGCCTGTTCCTGGGTTTGTTATGGGTCCTGATTCAGAAAATTGCTTTGGATAGACCTCATCAACTCTAGTTTCTTAGATGGGGTTATCATGTTTTTCTATTGGTGGCGTGTAGATGGCATATCTTCCATATTTCAAAAACTAGAGCTGGAATCAGCAGATCAAATAGACCCCAAAACAGGTCTAACATTTGTGGCACCAAAATGTGTCTTGGCCACAGTTCTGCAATCCCCAAAGCATTGCAGTTCAGAATGAAAGAGTGAACAACAGGGGATGTAAAGCTGCCTGCTGATATAACACGACCCCAATTACTGTGGGCCTTTATACATGGTTCTGAGCATCTGTGTCTGAAATGGTTTTTCTAAGGATGTACTAGATCCTCAGAGGGTTGTTTGTTGTTTATGATTTGCTTCTATTTTGCTGTAATATGTTGCCCAGGCTTGGCCCCATGTAAGCCGCTCCGTGTCCCCACTGGGGAGATGGTGGCGGGGTATAAATAAAGATTATTATTATTATTATTATTATTATTATTATTATTATTATTATTATTCTAGGGAATACCTCCCCCAGGTATTACGGAGATATTACCTAGCAAATCCCAAATGCTCCTTTATGGGTCTCTGCCAGAGGAGAGTTCTGAATGTTTCCCAGACCCCTTCCCTGGTTTTGTTTGCTTACTTGCTGTTGCGATTGTTATCTTTCAAGCTCTGAATGAAGTCATTTGCTTTATGTCTTTTATGATGTGGTTAGTTATTGGTTGTCCTTTTCTGGTGTGTTTTACAAATTTGGGTAAGCTTTTAAATGTGTTTGTGTTCCCTGCGATGTTTAATCTCCTTTGTCCTCTGCCCCGGTGACCTGAATGAATGCGAAAGTGACCTTTCCAAGTCAATAATATAACAGCTATTTTAAAGTCAGTAGCTCCCACCCTCAGAACACACACTTCCTCTCTTTCCTTGTTCCTGTCTCTTAAAACAGTTCAGCTCTGGCAATAATAATAATAGTAGTAATAATAATAATAATAATAATAATAATAATAATAATAATAATAATTTGTTGCAGCTATTTTCTTTCTGGAAAAGGAAAAGCCACGTATGCTAGAAGGAAATGTGGGAAAGATTCAGAAAGAGAGCCAAAACAATATTTTTCTCCCTCTTGTGATTGAGGGTTACATCTACACTAGAGAGTTAAGGCAGTTTGATACCATTTTAACCACCATGGCTCAATGCTGTGGGATTATGGGAGCTGTAGTTTTGTCAGGCACCATCCCTTTTTTGGGCAGAGAAGGTTCAAGATGGTTCTGGCCCAACTTACCTGTCCGAACGCATCTCCCCTTATGAATTATCTAGGACGTTAAGATCATCTGGGGAGGCCCTGCTCTCTACTCCGCCTGCGTCACAAATATGTTTGGTGGGGACGCGAGACAGAGCCTTCTCAGTGGTGGCCCCTTGGCTATGGAATGCCCTCCCTAGGGACATTAGATCAGCCCCCCCCCCCTTTTTTGACTTTCCGAAAAAAAGGCAAAAATTGGCTATTCGAGCAGGCGTTTGAAAAGGCCGTGTAATTAGACATAGGATTATGGAACAATTGGACTATGACATTGGATTATGTTTTTATTTAGGAGATGAAATGATTGTTTTTACTACTGTCATGGTTTTAATTGATGTGTTAATGCTTTTTAATGTTTTAATGTTTTTATGATGTTGTTGACATTGAATTGTTGCCTTGTGAACCCCATCATAGAATCATAGAATCAAAGAGTTGGAAGAGACCTCATGGCCCATCCAATCCAACCCCATGCCAAGAAGCAGGAATATTGCATTCAAATCACCCCTGACAGATGGCCATCTAGCCTCTGTTTAAAATCTTCCAAAGAAGGAGCCTCCACCACACTCCGGGGCAGAGAGTTCCACTGCTGAACGGCTCTCACAGTCAGGAAGTTCTTCCTCATGTTCAGATGGAATCTCCTCTCTTGTAGTTTGAAGCCATTGTTTCGCGTCCTAGTCTCCAGGGAAGCAGAAAACAAGCTTGCTCCCTCCTCCCTGTGGCTTCCTCTCACATATTTATCCATGGCTATCATATCTCCTCTCAGCCTTCTCTTCTTCAGGCTAAACATGCCCAGCTCCTTAAGCCGCTCCTCATCTATATAACTCCTAGGATGCCTTTGCATTTCGTTTTTTCTGCCTAAGTGGAGTATCTTGCATTTGTCCCTATTGAACTTCATTTTGTTAGTTTTGGCCCATCTCTCTAATCTGTCAAGATCGTTTTGAATCCTGCTCCTGTCCTCTGGATATTGGCTATCCCTCCCAATTTGGTGTCATCTGCAAACTTGATGATCATGCCTTCTAGCCCTTCATCTAAGTCATTAATAAAGATGTTGAACAGGACCGGGCCCAGTACGGAACCCTGTGGCACTTGGCTCGTCACTTCTTTCTTTCTTTCTTTCCTTTCTCCCTTCTTCACCACTGAGAAGGCCAATTTCTTCCCTAGCAACATCATAGAGGGACACTTCACCTAGAAACAACCTTTGCAGGACAGACAGATGGACAGACAGAACCACATTGACTTTTATATATATAGAGAGAGAGAGAGAACTGCAACAATACAAGTATGCGTCTTCTGCTTTTTTTAACCTTGCTAAGAACATCATCCTGAGTATTTTCTTGCTGTTTCCTACCATGGGCTCCTATACAGCACTAGCTACATTGCTATAGACACCAACTATCCCTATACAGGTCACGGTCAAGCTGTGCCAAAGCCTTTTCTATGGCTCATTGAGGCTGTTCCAAGGGAAAGTCACATTGCTTCTCAGTTGCTCGGCAAACAACAGAACAGGTTTGGCAAGACGGCCAGACACACAGCAGCCTGCTTCGCTGCTCCTGCCAAACAGGTTGCGCCAGGTTATTAAACAGCTTCTTGAAAGGGATGGAGAAGCAAGGCTGCATCACAGCGTAATCTTTGGTCACGAAGGGTTTTTAAAAAATCTGAATCCTAAGGTGGGCGAGGGGAGGAAGGAAAGAAGAAGAAATGCCAATATTTTCATTGGAAAGACATGGATCTTTCTCTCCCTCTTGCCCTCCATTCATGCCTCTTTGAATTCCGCAGCACTGCTGGTCACAGCTGAACTCCAGCTAGAGCACTCAAGGGCCAAGGCTTCCCAGTTCTCAGTGTCTATGTCACAGTTTTTAAAGTTAGCTGTAAGCCCACCTTTAAATCTCTTTTCCTGTTGTCCCAGCATTTCGTTTTCTGATAATAATGATAATAATAATAATAATAATAGTGGCAGATACTAAATAGGGCATCTACTTCAATACCCTTCTGCGTTCATGCAGGAGAAGCAAAATCAAAGCACTCCCAACAGATGGTCACCTGGTGCCTTTGTAATAATAATAATAATAATAATAATAGCAGCAACCCCAGGGGCCAACCAGTCCAACCCGTTTCTGACATGCAGGTAAATCACAATCAAAGCACCCCCAACAGATGACCATTCAGCCTTTGTAACAATAGCAACAGAAACCCCAGAGGCCATCCAGTCCAAACCCTTGTTTTTTCCAGCAGCTCCAAACTTTTAATTTCCCTGCATTTCTGAGGAGGAGGAAGAAGGTGGAAGCAGCACTGCACTGTGGAGCCCCTAGCGATCACATTTGGCAACCCCTGCTCTACTCTGTTGTTGACTTTCCACCCTTTCTTCCTCCTCCAACTTCTCTTTTTGGGTTCTGTTTCAGGTGAAAGATCCCAAGAGCATCCTGGATGCCGATCCTGAGGCTCAAGCCTTGCTGGAGATGATTGGAAAGAGCCGCCAGAGCGAGGGATTGCGGGTCCCGGACGAAGACGGGGACAACAACCACTCCGAATAAAGCCTGGAAGCTTTTGCCTGACCTCGAGCGCAAAGTGGAGAGTTTTGGGGGGAGGGTCTCTGATCTTTGTATTTCCCATTCGCTTGAGTGGTCATTGAGATGGCTTTGCTGGAAGACAAAACAGTTGGATATATCAACAGGGGTGGGATGGAATGGGGTGGGAGCCTGGTTTGGGTATAAATTGGAGTTATTGCTCAGCTAATATCGTCAACATTGATGGATCATGGAAATTGAAGGCCACAACTATATAGATCAGGCATAACTATATACACCGGCTGTTAGGAATTGTGGGAGTTGAAGTCCAAAACACCTGGAGGGCTAAAGTTTGCCCATGCCTGATATATTATTGCTGTCTTCCATGAAAACCAAACCAAAGCCAGTTCTAATTTGGAAGATTAGAGGAAAAGTTCTCAGCTCTAGAATTAGATTAAATGTTAGGAACCAGAGCAGTCTAATTGGGTCAGATTTCAGTTTATGGGTGTGGAATCATGTAAGGGTGCAGATGGAATGTTTCCTTTTTGGTTTCCAGTTAATGTGTGTAATCTGAAATTTGGGAAACTGGGACTACAACTCCCAGAATCCTGAAAATAGGACAGAAGACTGGGCTAATTTGCATGTATGTGTTGCCAGCTAGGCAGTTATTAAGGTTAGTCCAGATCGATGTTTACGAATCATGGCTCCGATCTGCCTCCCGAGGCTCACGTTTTAGTCAAGCCTAGTGAAAGCATCGGAAAGCTCCAGGATTAAGTGTCTTTGATAGGTATTTCCGAACAATAAACATTCAAAGGATTTGAAAGCTTATTCCAGGGTTTAGAGCTAATGGGGCTAGGGAAAAATCAGAATTTTATGTGGTTGCCTGCAATTGAGAGTGCACACTTCTTTGCCATGTGAATCATGCAGCGAATGCAATTATATGTCAACTCATGTTGAGAATCAGTTATATCTATTGATTGAATCAACTCATGTTTAAAATGAAAGTGCTTGAAACAGAGAAGACTGTCCTACTCTAATGACATTTTGTGTTTAGATGTGTGGTTTTTAATGTTTATACCGCGATGCCACTGTCTTTTAGATCTGCCAATCTTAAGCCTTAATGAGGACAGACTTTGGAGAAGGTAAGGTTGTTGTATCGGCTGCAAAGACCGTGATGAAACTTTTCGTTCCCTCATCCAAATCACGTTTAAGAATGTATTGAAGCAATTAGTAGGCACTACAGCCTTGCTTTATTTATTAATGAAGGTATTTCTAAGACAGTCTTCCTCTCAACCCAACTCAAAGCAGTTTATTGCATGGTAGTATTGGTGGTAATAAATCTACCCAGTTGCCAAAGCGCATAGTAGTTTCAGAACTGAATTTCCATCCAGCTGTGGAAGTCTGCTGAGCAAGTCGCACTCTCTCAGCCTTCAGAGAAGGCCACACTAAGCATCTTCAAAATACAATTTGTCAAGAAGAGCCTGCCATAGGGTTGCCATAACATTAGATGGAGCCATCTTGTAGGGACAAGGAGCTGCGCACGATGTGGCTTTGAATATAGACATTCAACAGAAATGTCCAACTGCCTCTGTATGGGAACTTCTGCACCAAGTGACCCTTCCAGCTAAGAACTCTAGTCACCTGTTAGCCCTTAAGACATGTTTTATTAACAAAAGGTGTTATTGCAACTTAAATAAATAAACGAAATGATGATGGTGGTGTCATGGATTCACAGTGTGGTTCCTGTGGGCCGGTTGTCTTTGTAGAACACGTCATTGTAAGACGAGAAACAAGCAGTCTGGCTCTTCTGGAAAGCTTTAATGGATCCGTCTGTGAAAGGGGGAAAAGATCTCATTGGTTGGTGATTGTTTCATGGATCTCGCATTGTATGCAGATAGTTTCTCTGGATCAAAGAGTCTTCCAGGATTTGAAAATGTCATTGAAACACCACACCTGCCTTCATGGACCACCGAAAGGTGGGTTTGCAAGTCACAAAAGCACACGTGAGTCTTCAAGTTGCCACAAGTCTCTCTGTGCTTTGATTTAGTCTTGCAGTCACACAGCTTCCAATGGGAAATGGTCTTTCTTGGACTGGCTGCAACAATACCTCTCGCCAATTTTGGCCAACTCCGAAAGGATAAAAACCGAAGACGCCAAGGCCACAAGGAGTAACAAGTCTACCAATAAGAGAAAAAAAAACACATAATTACTATCACAAATGGATAAAGTGCACTCTGAAATCTTCAGATAATTTTTTTTAAATGGTAATGACTCGGCATCCGTTTCTGATTTTGAACTTGGGCTTGGATTGGAGCGGTGTCAAATGTTCTTACTATGTTCAGCCCAGGATCTGTATGAATTGGCTGTGTTTTATTCATACAGTGCCCCCAATCACATACTTCAGATACAGAAGTATATAGTCACTCGTTCAAATATTGACTCCAGTTGAGTTGCTCCAGCTTTCTATGAAGGAATAAAGGCATTCCGTGCTCAAGCTTACCCAAAGCACCCAAATTCTCTGTCTGGAAGATCCTCTGCAAGGGAGGAATGTATATTACTGCCATCTGGCCCAGAATGGACCCCAGGACGGAATATAAGAACATGCGGTTCCGGAAAAGGCCGATTTCTAATATCAGTTTGGTCTAGAGAGGGGAAAAAATACAAGAAAATGAATGGAAGCAATATTGGGGTGGGGGATGCCACACAAAAGGAGCAAGCCAAAACATGGCTATAACTTTACATAGGTTGAAACAGCAGAAGGCAATTAACAAGTCACCAAAAAGCAGAGGAAACATCAGGCATGGGCAGACTTGGGCCCTCGTGGTGTTTTGCACTTCAACTCCCACAATTCCTAACAGCCTCAGACCCTTTCCTTTTAATTTTCCGTTTCCTTTTCCACTTAAGTGGCTGAGGGGGGGAAAGAAAGGGCCTGAGCCTGTTACGAACTCTGGGAGTTGAAGTCCAAAACACCTGCAGGGTCCAAGTTTGCTCATGCCAGGGCTAGCATCTATTCATGAGGTCCACTTAACACTTTCATTTTGCACCTATTGTAAGCATTTCTATCGTAATATGTTTTATTTGACAATTGCTTGGTTTATCTGGGGTAAAACACCCCTTTCTCACCTGAGAGCGACACGTCAAGGCATTGAAGAGGTCAAAGAAGACAAAACACGTGAAAGTCATTGTCGTGGTCCGTGGGGTTATGCCACTTTCTGGAATCTGGAAGTGAGAAGAGGCATCGGTCAGAGAAAGATCCTCTTTTTTTTCTTGCCTGGAAGTTTGGAGAATGTACAAAGTCAAGGTCTCCTGCCTCACAATGGTCTTTTTGTTTGCAAAGTCACAGCCACCTTGACGTTCTCCTAAAGGAAAGATTAGAGGCACAGTTCTGCCAAGCAGTGTACGCATAGCCTTAAATCTACATGCAGCGATGGATAAGCAATAGGGCTGGTGCAAGCGATGAAAAAATGTTTCAAAACCTGTTACAAAATTAGGGGGCACCAGCATTTTGTTTCTAAAGTGAACATTTCGTGACTATAATGAGAGTAACGAGAGTAACAAAATTTTGTGACTTTTTTGTTATAGGAATTGCACAAGTGGGGAAACTTCAGGGGTTCCTTTCTACCTCATTTTACAGCTATTGGGGTGAAACTTGCTACAATGGGCAGAACATATTGACCACTGTGAGCCCATCCAGTTTCAGAATGTTTCACTTATCCATGAATTTTTGGGGAATTCTCCAAGTTTTTATAAACAACATTCTTAAAAACAAACTACAAGAGCAAACTCCTTGAGTTTTTTTATTTATTTTTTTTTATTTATTTATTTATTTATTTATTTATTTGGGGTTCTTTTACCCCGCCCTTCTCACCCTGAAGGGGACTCAGGGCGGCTTACACAAGCAAAGGCACAATTTGATGCCTGCATCATAAAACAATCATACACAAAATTACATCAATACACAGTTAACAACAATTTATGCATTATAACCATAAAATCAATAAAATCAATAAAACCAAATACAAACCCAATTTCTCCTCTTACATGGTCAGCGTTCGCTAACTCATAGATCTAGTTTTACGTTCCACTTCATCAATCCTGCTGGTCTTACTCGCCTGGTTGTCTGATTTAATTGCCGGAGTGCCCAAAGGCCTGGTCCCATAACCAAGTCTTCACCCTCCTCCTAAAGGCGAGGAGGGATGATGATGCCCTGATTTCCCCCGGGAGTGAGTTCCACAGGTGAGGGGCCACCACTGAGAAAGCCCTGCTCCTCGTCCCCACCAGCCTCACTTGTGACAGTGGTGGGGTCGAGAGCAGGGCCTCCCCAGATGATCTCAGACTCCGGGGTGGGACGTAGAGGGAGATACGTTCAGACAGATACACTGGACCGGAACCGTACAGAGTTTTGTAGGTCAAAACCAGCACCTTGAATTGTGCTCGGAACTGAATCGGCAACCAGTGGAGCTGGCACAGCAGGGGGGTGGTATGCTCCCTGTATGTCGCTCCGGTGAGCAATCTGGCTGCCGCTCGCTGGACTAGTTGAACTTTCCGAACAGTCTTCAAGGGCAACCCCACGTAGAGAGCGTTGCAGTAGTCTATTCGGGATGTAACAAGAGCGTGGACCACCGTGGCCAGATCAGACTTCCCGAGGTACGGGCGCAACTGGTGCACAAGTTTTAATTGCGCAAAAGCTCTCCCAGCCACCGCTGAGACCTGGGGTTCCAGGCTCAGCGATGAGTCCTCTACAATGACACAAGGTATGTGAAATAAAGTCAAAGGAGGAGGGAGCAAGTATGTTTTTTGCTGCCCTGGAGACTAGGACACAATGGAGAAATGGCTTCAAACTACAAGAAAGGAGATTCCACCTGAACATGAGGAAGAACTTCCTGACTGTGAGAGCTGTTCAGCAGTGGAACTCTCTGCTCTGGAGTATGGTGGAGGCTCCTTTGGAGGCTTTTAAACAGAGGTTGGATGGCCATCTGTTGTGGGGGAGGGATTTGAATGTGATTGTCCTGCTTCTTGGCAGAATGGGGTTGGACTGGATGGCCCACGAGGTCTCTTCCAACTCTATGATTCTATGATCATTCCCCCCAACTTTCAGAAATATTAATGCATCTACTGGTTTTAGGGAATTTTTAAAAAGTTTTGAATTTTTTTTAAAAAAAAGTCACAACAGTTATCTCATTGACTATCTCTGTCTCATATGAACCAATAGAACTTCCATTGAGGGATTCCTTCCCAACCCAGCACAGAGATTGACTTACAAGAAGTCTCAACCCATTCTCCTTTTTGCAGATTCTCCTTTTTGCAGATTGGCTGGATGTGCAACAGAGGATCACATCTCTCCCTCTCCTGATTGGGCTTCCTGATGCTATGCAGAATTCTGGGAAATGTAGTTCAGGGCAGGGCCTTTGGAGTTATCTGGCATTGGGCTCCTTGCCTTCCCAAACTGTATTTCCCAGAATTCTGTGCTTTCTCCATCTCTTTCTCAGCAAACTCTGCTTTCTCCCTGCTGCTTCCCTCACCTCATGGTGAGAGACCATTCATTTAAAGAAGAAAGACAGCCTTTTGGGCTTTACTTTGCTTTCTTGCGCTGAACATGACATTGACTTTGGGAAGTTTTCGAGGTTTGCAAAATGCAAGCGAAAAAGTATTGGGTCAGTTTTGATTCTTACAGTTTTGGTGTGAGCCACAACCATATGTCATATATTTTCTTGTAAGAACGAATTTAACAAATTTTATCCAATTTACGAGGACTATCAAAAATATTGCACACTCCTAAAAAGCGACAAGAAGTTTTGTTAAAATCCAGAGAAACAAATCAAACCAGAAAGATGTTTTTTCTATAGGAATCTAAACATAGCATATCCATTGAGGAGTATCTTGCCGAACCCGTAAGAAATGTTGCCCCTCTGTGAAATTTCCCTTCATTGCTCAACAATAACTTAGAATGTCAGCTAAATATTTAGAGATGTGACTTGGGCCTCCTCACCTCCTTCCAATAGACAAACATGGTTCCGCTGATGATGGCAGTGGCCGAGAGGAGGATCTTCAGGACCAAAGACTTGCTGAGAATGGTGTCCGTGATGTTCCTTGGAGGCTGCCTGATGGCGTCCTTGTCCACTGGTTCGACACCCAAACTGTTCTCAAGTCCCAGAAAAAGACACGTGATTATAAGGATACAGATTCATAAGCCATTTAACCTTGTCAAGACACAAATCACACCATACATTCAGTAGCAGTGGGTAGTGTCCATGTTTACTTTTTGGGAGGTGAAATAATGGCAAATTTCAGTCCTGTGGAATAATTTAACCCATAAACTTGCAGTTCACCTTCCATATTTGTGAGTTTAATTTTTGCAGATGCCTTGTGTTGTTATATTATCTCTAGAAATCGTGCTGGAGAATCTTGATTCTTAGATAATTTCTCTAGGTATTTGTAGGTCTCCCAGTTCAATTTTATGGTCAACCTCCTCCATTTGTAGGTCCAGTGTGATCCTATGGTCATCTTTCATTTGTAGGTTCTCCGGTTTGATTTTATGGTCAATTTCCTCTGGTGGAAGTTGACCATATATTGTCCTGGAAGACCTACAGGTTCTAAGGAAAGCATTCTCATAAGTAAAACAAACATTTTTTCCATTCACTCTTTTTCACTTTCATTGAGGATCTGCACTCATTGCTTTCATGGAAGTAGAGGGCTTACTGTCATATGAGAACGCCATTAAACTACGCCCAGATTTTGAAACTATTTGAGATAAGAGAAGGAAAAGGTTCACACTGAGATCTTTCCCACTGCCCTGATACTACCATTCCCCTTTTCTCACCTTTGAGCTGGGGGACCGTCCATTATAATATTGATCCACAAGATCTGCATGGCATTGAGTGGATTTGGCAAATTGAATATGGTAGACAGAGCGATTAAACTTAGAGCGGAGATGCTCCTGGTGAGAAGAAAACAAAAGATGTGCAATTCAAGCCTTTAGTGAAGACTCAGATGTCCCAATGGGGGTTCCTTCCAAAGTTGCAAAAGTTACTTTTCAAAACTCCCAGAATCCTCTCCCTTCCCCAAAAGTAATATGTAAGCATTAGTTTAGCCTTACGTGCTGAGCTGAAAGCGAACAAAATTTTTAATGTTGTAAAATATGCCTTTCCCTTCTTCGATGGCATTCCTGGTGGAAAGGAAAGAGAGATATTGTGTAATTTTGCAACTCCAGTGGTTTCTTAGCCCTTTTAAATTGGCCTGTGGTTGGTCAGAGAGCCAACTTGGCATAGTGGTTTGGAATGGGACTATGAAAACCAGGGCTTGAATTCTCATTCAACCACAGAAACCTGTTGAGTGGCCTTGGACAAGTGATACCTCAGAGGAAGGCAAAGCCAAGGAAACTACGAAACATTAACTTTCGGATCCCTATAAGTTAGAAATGACTTGAAGACAACGACAAATCTTCACCTAAGAGACACCTACATGATGGTTGAGAAGTCATCATCCACGAGGATCATGCTTGCAGCCTCCTTGCTGACGTCAGTTCCTGCCCGCCCCATTGCGACCCCAATGTCAGCTGATTTTAGAGCAACAGCATCGTTCACTCCATCCCCAGTCATTCCCACAATGGCTCCTGCCTGTTGCAAAGCCTGAAGAAGAGACAAATGAACATAAATATCAGTATCCACCAAGATAGATTCCATGTTCAGATGCAAATGATGGCTCTTGGTGGGAAAACACGCAGAGACAAACAGATTAATGCATATTTTCTATCAAGAAATGCATTGAATGCCCAGCATAGAATCCTTGAATTTGTAAATATAGAACTTGGAGAATTTGGGAGCATTGGCCATTTCAGCTGAAACCTAATTGTGAAACTCAAATAAACCCTCATTATGTACAATGTATTCAATATTAGTTCAAGGATAGTTTTTCATGCTGATATGATCACATCTAAACAATGATAATGAACAAATATGCAACTGCAAATAGTTGAAATAAACTCGGTTAGCGTATCAGGGAAGATATATTTTTTGGTTGCTGCAATAATCGTCAGCCAGTCAATAACATATATTTTATGTTGCCTAACATAACCTCCAATGAATGAATCAGAGCATTTTGAGAGTTACATGAATTAATAGCTTCCTCTAATTAGCCTTTCCAGAATCATTACAAAACATAATGAAAGAGATATAGAATCATAGAATCAATAGAATCAAAGAGTTGGAAGAGACCTCATGGGCCATCCAGTCCAACCCCCTGCCAAGAAGCAGGAATATTGCATTCAACTCACCCCTGACAGATGGCCATCCAGCCTCTGTTTAAAGCTTCCAAAGAAGGAGCCTCCACCACACTCCGGGCAGAGAGTTCCACTGCTGAACGGCTCCTCACAGTCAGGAAGTTCTTCCTCATGTTCAGATGGAATCTCCTCTCTTGTAGTTTGAAGCCATTGTTCCGCGTCCTAGTCTCCAAGGAAGCAGAAAACAAGCTTGCTCCCTCCTCCCTGTGGCTTCCTCTCACATATTTATACATGGCTATCATATCTCCTCTCAGCCTTCTCTTCTTCAGGCTAAACATGCCCAGCTCCTTAAGCCGCTCCTCATAGGGCTTGTTCTCCAGACCCTTGATCATTTTTGTCGCCCTCCTCTGGACACATTCCAGCTTGTCAATATCTCTCTTGAATTGTGGTGCCCAGAATTGGACACAATATTCCAGGTGTGGTCTAACCAAAGCAGAATAGAGGGGTAGCATGACTTCCCTGGATCTAGACACTATGCTCCTATTGATGCAGGCCAAAATCCCATTGGCTTTTTTGCCTACACATCACATTGTTGGCTCATGTTTAACTTGTTGTCCACGAGGACTTCAAGATGTTTTTCACACGTACTGCTCTCGAGCCAGGCATTGTCCCCAATTCTGTATCTTTGCATTTCGTTTTTTCTGCCAAAGTGGAGTATCTTGCATTTGTCCCTGTTGAACTTCATTTTGTTAGTTTTGGCCCATTTCTCTAATCTGTCAAGATCGTTTTGAATCCTGTTCCTGTCCTCTGGAATATTGGCTATCCCTCCCAATTTGGTGTCATCTGCAAACTTGATGATCATGCCTTATAACCCTTCTAACCCTTCATCTAAGTCGTTAATAAAGATGTTGAACAGGACCGGACCCAGGATAGAACCCTGCGGCACTCCGCTCGTCACTTGTTTCCAAGATGAAGAGGAAACATTAGTGAGCACCCTCTGGGTTCGTCCATTTAACCAATTCCAGATCCACCTCACCGTAGTTTTGCCTAGCCTACATTGGACTATATATTAGTAGATCAGCTGACCAACAAGTGGAGAACTGCTGTGTTTACTAGTTCACTGCTGCAAATGTCAACCAAGGCAAGCCACAGCCAACAAAGCAAACAATGCTAATTTATACACTATGAGGACAAAGGACAAAGGAAAGGTGAAACAAAAAGGGAAAAACACAGAGATAATTTCAGCGTATTTCCTTCCATTCGCAATGCAGTGTGACCCCCTTTTCTGCAGAGGAAATACTGTATTCCAGGTCCTGAAACCATGAATAATTGTGAACCCTGAATTGTGGCTATACATGGGCTGGAAGCAAAGCATAGGATCACCATGGGGAACCTAGAGATGGCCACAAACACTTCCATGGGGAATATTTTGGAGCATGCTTTTCAACCATGGATATTGAGTCTGTGGAGAAGGGGAGGAGTCATACTGTAGTACAATGCCAAGGGCAATGGAAGAAACTTTCTCATGTGTTGCTAGAAGATACCAATTTGAGCTTTACTAGAAAATCAGACATAGATGATTAGTTCCCTAATTTGCACAGTAATGAGTTGTAAGAAGAAGAGAAATCAAAGGAGCAAAATGGAGCAAAATGGCAACAACCAACTGGGCACATCAGGAGCAAAATAATAATCACAATGGTGCAAAATCTCATTATTATAGTATGGCCCCAATATCTACCACTGACATGTTCCCAGACTTCATGTGGTTTCACAAAAAGATGGATAATAATGGATCCTATTGAGACGAAGGATGTCTGACTTAAGCATGTTGCCAGATGTCAATATGAGGAACATACTATATTCCAAGAAGAGATACAAGGATGGCACTCGTTTGGGGTGAGGAAATACCTTTATGATCTTTAGTTTGTGTTTGGGACTTGTTCGGTAGAAGATGGAAACCTAGACCATGAGGAGAGAAGAAAAAGAGAAGTATGTGAGCCTGCTGTAATTTCAACAAGAGTCACCATTCTTCACACAATCCCTTCAAGGGCCATTACATTTTGGACCGTTGACGACAAGGCCGACTCGCTGATGTTCTCCAGCATCTCCCCAGACATTGCTTTCATCTTCCCATTGCAAAGGCCAATATTCCTTCCTGGAATGAAAAAAATAAACATTGCGTTATAGTTGATTGTTTCAGTCAAGAAAATATTAGTTGGTGAGGAATTTCTGGTGACCAAATCCGATATGGAATGGTTGGATTTAAACTGAACTTGCATAGTCATCAGTTAGAGATGCCATAGTAACATCTCACATTGTAGAATGTGTGCTGAATTGGACCATATCCTCTCTAAGGTCCATTCCAATTTGCAAATTCCATAGTCTGCATCCATGGTTTGTTCCAATTGGATGACATTAAGTGGGCCACATGCTCTCAATCCCAGAATGCCCAATGATAGGTTCCCCTTAGGATCACTATATGGTGTAAATGACTTGAAGGCATGCAACAACTAAAACACATGGTCTTGATAAATCATTGGTGATCTGGGGAGTACCTGCCCAGGTAAGGGAAAGTGAAGAGCATCAATACTACACTGGAAGTTCCAAATATGAGAAGGAGGTCAACCCAACTGTTATTCCTAACAGTTTGGTTTCCTGCATTTGGGGAAATCGCAGGGGTCAGCACACCCGGAGTGCAATGGATGAGCCTCACCCTGGGAAAACCAAATTTATGGGATTTACAAAACCATTCAAGAACTGATTCAAGAGATTTACCCTTATTGAAAAGTACTAGAGAAAAAGAGCAGCACATAAAAATCATAAACTTCTGCAGTTTTGAGAACTCCAAAAACATTTGTTGTTAAAAACATTGTAAAGAACATCTCAAGAACATCCACAGGTTGGAGTGAATAAAACATATCTTTTCAACATCTTGAGATGTTGTCCTCTTTTGATTTTGTGGATATCATTGGGTGCTTCCTCAATTTCTCCCCATTTTTGAGAATAGTAACTGGATCAAGGCCTACCAATGAAGCTTTGGTATCTCACTCACCAATGGCCAGTGCTGTTTCCAAGGCATCTCCAGTTATCATTTTCACTGATACTCCTGATTTAATGAGGACTTGAACAGCTTCCTTCACTCCATGTCTTGGTGGGTCAATGATGCCAGCAAGGCCTAGAAACGTTAAGCGGCCAAGCTCCGGTCCAGATGCCAAAGCAAGCACTACGAATAAAGGGACAGAGGCAATGTCTTCTTATTTCATTGATTTCAGAATATTCCTGTTGTAACTTTCTCCAAAATGCTTGACAAAAAAACCAAAAAAACAGATAGAGAGATAAAACCCAATGCTAGAAGAATATACAATTGACCATCCACATTTGCAGGATTAACTTTTTGCAGATTCGGTTATTTGTGGACGGGATTAATATTATACAATATACAGTGATACCTTGAGTTAATGATTTTTAACTGGGTATTTTTAAATAGTTTAAATTTAGTCCTGTTTTCATGTGTGTATATTTATTGCGGGAGATAATGCAGGGTATAAAAAATAAAAAGTTTAATTTGTTCAGTGACTGAGCTCTTAACTCAAATTGCTCTTATCTCAAAACAATTTTTTTCATTGAAATACACTGAAATTCTATTAACCAGTACTTGCTCTCTGAACCTCCCCATTTTATTATGTATTTTTAAGCTAAGAAAATGTACTTTATCAATAATAAATAATGTTTACATGCACATTCACATGGAACAATAAAGAAAGAAAGATCAACTTCAAAATGGTGGAAGCACAAAGTTGTCGCAAGGAAGCCCAACACACAAAGTGAAGAGACAGAAGCATCCTATCCTTCTTCATCCTTTCCTTCTTCCAGCGTCCCTCCCTCTCTTGCTCTTTCTCCATCTCTCTCTTCATGAAGCCAAATAGGCCAGGAATAAAAAATCACACAAAATCAACTAACCCAAACAGGCCCGTAGCCAGGATTTTGTTTCGGGGAGAGCTGAGTTTGATTGGGGGGGGGGGGGGGCTGAGTCTGAGTGAAAGAGGGTCTACCCTAGCAAACCTTTTGTATCATTACCCCAATACCCCCATGCATATGGGATATATTGAGCATGGTGATCAGATCATGATATGAATAAACATAACAGTTTAAATAATGTACCAGTAAGGCCTTCTCACGGACCACCATGAGAAGCCCCCCAAAGCCCCCCCCTCCCCCGTCTACATGCCTGAAACCAAAGATCCTCAAAGCAGACTCCATGATTTTGATTTGCGGGCTGTACAGTGGTGGTGGGAGTGTGGAGGGATGAGTGTGTTGTTTTTGTGATGTGTGTGCGGAACGCATTTAATTTTGTTATACAATGGCAATAAGGTTATTCTATCTCCCAAAGCGGACAAGAGCATGAGGCCCAGAGGCTGCTTCCTGGAAGCCCTCTTGCTGTACCACTTGCTCTTAATTCAAAATGCTGCTCTTACGTCAAAGTGAAACCCAACGATGCCTCTAAACTCTTAAGTTGAGTCAAGGTTCCACTGTATTCTCATTGCAGATCAGCATGTTTGGGGATTTATGGGTTTGATACCCAGCATCCTGGTTGGCATGAGGCTCAATGTTGAATCTTAAGGTGGACTGACCCCGCAATCCAAGGGATCCCATGCTCTTTTCCTCTTGAATATAGACTGCTCTTTGTTGCGGCGTCAATGGTAGAGAGATGCCTCCACTGTTAAACATGGTACAATGCTGCATCACTTCCTCCAAGGCCCCCTTCATAAAGTAGACGTCTTCCTGGCCCTAGAAGATACAAGGAGGTGAACAGAGGTGAACGGAGATGCCCATATTTTTTCACGATTGAGTAGGAAGGAATCATAGAATCAAACAGTTGGAAGAGACCTCATGGGTTATCCAGTCCAACCCCCTGCCAAGAAGCAGGAATATTGCATTCAAATCACCCCTGACAGATGGCCATCCAGCCTCTGTTTAAAGGATGCATCCACACTGCAGAATGAATATAACTTGGTCCCACTTTAACTATCACAACTCAAGAAAGGTAGGGGAAATCAAATGAAATCATTCATTCATTCTTTGAGCAACTTGTTCTGTGGATTTTTTTTTTTTCGTGAAAAGCGATTACATTTTCGTACCTGATTTTTCAGTGCGCATTTCACGGCCATCCACTTCTGTTCGGAGCTAAAGGGAATCTCCTTCCTTCTGATATAAGTGTCCTTTATGTCGCTCAGTTCCATCTGTAACAAACATTGGAGATGATGGGGGGGGGGGGGGGGGGGGGGGGGGGGTTGGAGACACAAGGAATTAATCCTAAACATCTTCTCCTGAAATTAAAGCTAAAAGTTATTGGGACAAAACAAAAAAATGGGTAAATGCAGGAGAGTTTCAGGAGCAGGACTTGAACGTCTTTGGATCCTTTCCCCTCTGAGAAAATCAGTTCTTTGGATATTTCATGATGGGCCATGGACACCCAACCTTGCACAAGTCACATTCTCTTATTACCAATGCATCACATTCATTAAATATTACTGAGCCACTACTTCAGAAATGGCAACCTACTGTGTTCATCACATGACTTAGGCTTCAAGTGTAGGGTAGAGAGATCTTGGCATTTAAAGAAGGGTTCTCTTTTTAGACTTTCTCAGCTGGTGGGCAAGTGACTTTTTAAAAAATTGTCCAGATAGAGATGGACAAAATGGCCAATTCTGTCATGTGATGGTATTTGTTGTTCTCTGTTTTCTAATGATACGGTTTTGCAATGCCCCTTGGAGAAAAAGCTCCACCATTACTTTATGCTCACGGAGAAGGGAAGGTTGGCAGTGTGTTGTGTTCCTTTCTGTCTCATGCACTTTCTGGGGGCCTTCCTTCCTTCCTTCCTTCCTTCCTTCCTTCCTTCCTTCCTTCCTTCCTTCCTTCCTTCCTTTTTTCCCTTTCTTTCCTTCCTTCCCTTCCCTTTCCTTCCTCCTTCCTTCCTTCCTTCTCCTTCCTTCCTTTTTCCTTCTTCCTTCCTCCCTCCCTCCCTCCTTCCTTCCTTGTTTTGTGTGCCATGTGCTACCTTCTCCTTCTTTCCTTCTTTCCTGCCTTCCTTTCCTTTCTTTTGTGTGTTGTGTGTGCCATGTGTTGCCTCCTCCTCCTCTCCTCTCCTCCCCTCTCCTCCCCTTCCTTCCTTCCTTTCCTTCATTCCTTCTGTGTAATGTGTGTGCCACGTGTTGCCTCCTCCTCCTCCTCTCCTCTCCTCTCCTCTCCTCTCCTCTCCTCCTCTCCTTCCCCTTCCTTCCCTTCCCTTCCCTTCCCTTCCCTTCCTTCCTTCTCCTTCCCTTCCCTTCCCTTCCTTCCCTCTTCCTTCTCTTCCTTTTTCCTGTTCCTCCTTCTCCTCTCCTTCCTTCCTTCCTTCCTTCCTTCCTTCCTTCCTTCCTTCCTTCCTTCCTTCCTTCCTTCCTTCCTTCCTTGTTTTGTGTGTGCCATGAGCTACCTTCTCCTTCTTTCCTTCTTTCCTGCCTTCCTTCCTTTTTTGTGTTGTGTGTGCTGTGTATCACCTCCTTCTCCTCTCCTTCTTTTCCTCTTTCCTCTCTTCTTCCAACATGGGGAAGAAAGGAGAGAGAGAGAGAGGAGGATGATTGTTGTAATGGCGGCAAAGGGAGAGCCCCCAGATGCCTCCTTCCCTCCTCCTTCTCCTTCTTCATTTCCCCCCAAGGGCCATCTAGTCCAACACCCTTCTTTCTGCTATGTAGCAAAAGCAAAAGCAAAGCATTCCCAACAGATGGCCACCCTGTCCCAAGATAACTACAACAACAATAACAACAATAACAATAATAAAGAAATAGTTTCCTGGTTTACACGTGTTATTTCCTGTTTGACTGTGTGGCCTTTCTTTGAAAGTAGTTGTGCTCCAGAAACTTCATTTTTGTGCTCACATGGCACATGGCAATGTTAAATTGGTGGAGATGCTACAAGATATTCAATCATTTGTTTCATAAACTTTTCTCATGTGTTTAAGATAGAACCAATTACAAAATGACATTGATAACCTAGGAACTGAAATCATGTTCCAGGGGAGGAAGTGTTTCTGTTTGCAAAGAAAACGGGGGTGGAACAGCAGGTGGGAACACCTCTCTCCAATGTGATTGTGCTGGTACGGCTGTACCAGGAGCTCCAACTTTATTTCTTTCTGTTAAAGTTTGTAGTTATAGGACAGGCCTCCTGTCCATCTTAATTAAGCTTTTGTTCCGCCCCTTGTTCAGGCTTCTGGGAGGGGAAGGAGCCATTTTGGGCAGTCTCACACAAGGTAGCTAAACTATAGGATGTAGACCAGTTCGTCCTGGAGAAAAGCTTTCTTTCTTAAGAGCAGCCAGGGAAAAAGGACCATCCAGAGAAACTGAGATCCACTGAACTCCAGCTGAAATATCTTCAAGCCTCGTCTGGTAGGTCTACTCGATACCCAGATGCACTTGGATTCGGTAGTAGCACCCACACCGATGAGGCATAGATAGAAAGCAGCCTGGGAGAGGTTAAAAAGGGTTTTTCCTACAAAGAAAGTTCAGTTGATCAAAGTCAGGTGCCAGTCCATTGAAGACTAGACTAAGAAAGCCTTAAAGTGTTGTTTGAACATTTTTTGTTTGTTCTATAATAAAATTTTTGTTGTATCATTAAAGACTCTAAAGACCATCACTTCAGAAAAATCCCTGAGAACCTCTCTTTGAGGCGCCCCTGGCTTCCCACTGGGCTTAAAGTATACGTCCTATAGAAAAGTACAGCTGTTACAGGCCCAGCGCACGACAGAACAGTGATGGCAAATCAACTGCTGACTCCTGAATGGATAGTTGGCTAGTGTGTGATGGAGGTATCAGTAATCATCCTACCTTCATTGCCAAGGCAATCAGGGCCCCTTCGGTTGGCTGTCCCATCACAGTTGTCTTCCTGATCTCGGCATTATTGGCAACACAGCCAGCCTGAAAAAGATCCATTTATACATGGAAATGAGGTGACGCATGGATGAATTAGATGTATGCACGTAAAAGGTTTACATCCTATCATGCAGGGATATCACTATGGGTTTGGTGTGTGATGCTCAATGTAACAATGCTTAACACAAATCTAACTGCAGGTGCATCTACACTGTAGAATGGAGGCAGTTTGGCACCACTTTAACTGCAATGACTCAATACTATGGGGATTGTAGTTTTACAACCAAGATTGCTAGGGCTTCGCCAAATTGCAAATCCTAGGATCCCATTGCATTGAATTGCATTTGTATCCAGCTAAAACTGTGCAGAAGAGAACTACATTAGAACATTCTTCCAGCATTCTCCAAAAATATTCCACCTCTTACATACTTGTGCACCGTCATTACGGAAGAAACTCTTTCAATAATAGTCACATTAGCCAAGATTATGGAAAGATGGGAAGCATTGCGACCTACAAATTGGGATCCAGCCTCGATTGGGAAAGCAAACAATGTGCATAATAGCGATAGGTTGTTCTGGCAGCAATTCCAAAAGGACTGGCAAAATGTCTGCATGAAATCACCACAGAAACACTAAAACAAAACAATAGTAGTAACACAGTTCTGCTTGGAATGCACCATGTTATCCAGTGATACCTAGATCCTTGGACAGGATCCAGATCATGAGTGGTAACAACAACTGGTAGGCTGTGAAATTGAAAGAGTTGTAAATTCTGTTCCATACCTCCACCAGTTTTCCGACTGAGATGTTTGAGAATTCTTTAATGATGTGTCTGGATGGCAAGAGGCACACCTTCCCATCTCCATTGTACCCAACTCCACTCACCTGGGAGAACACAAATGAAGACAAAACAGATAAACCTGAGGGTCGGGACCCTGGAGGGGTTGCAAGGGAGTTTTTAGAGGGGTTGTCAAAGACCACCAGAAGGTCTTAGGAGCCCCTGTGATAGAGAAGGCTGAAGATTTCTCTGCCTGTCTTCCTTTTCCTTTTGGGAAACAGACAGCGAATCCACCCACCAAAATTGTGCCTAATTTAGTCCAGATCCATTGTTGTTTGGATTCACAGTGCTCTCCGGGAACTACATCTCCCCTAAATCACTGTCAATTCCTCCCAAATCCTTCCAGTGTTTTCTGTTGGCAATGGGGGTTGGCAATTTCTGTGTGGGAAGTTTGGCCCAATTCTATCATTGGTGGGGTTCAGAATGCTCCTTGATTGTAGGTGAACTATAAATCCCAGCAATTACAACTACCAAATCTCAAGATCTATTTTCTCCAAACTCCACCAGTGTTCACATTTGGGCATATTGGGTATTTGTGCCAAATTTGGTTCAGGTCCATCATTGTTTGAGTCCACAGTGATCTCTGGATGTAGGCAATCTAAAACTCCAAAAGTCAAGGTCACTGCCCACTAAACTCTTCCAGTATTTTCTGTTGGTCGTGGGAGTTCTGTGTGTCAAGTTTGGTTCAATTCCATTGTTGGTGGGATTCAGAATGTTCTTTGATTGTAAGTGAACGATAAATACCACTACAACTCCCAAATGGCAAGATCAATTCCTCTCAACCCCACCAGAATTCAAATTTGGGTGTATTCAGTATCTGTACCAAATTTGGTTCAGTGAATGAGAATACATCCTGCATATCTGATATTTACATGACAATTGGGAAGTCAGATCTGGCCATGGTGGTCCACGCTCTTGTTACATCCCGAATAGATTACTGCAACGCGCTCTACGTGGGGTTGCCTTTGAAGACTGTTCGGAAACTTTAATTAGTCCAACGGGCGGCGGCTAGACTACTCACCAGAGCGTCATACAGGGAGCATACCACCCCCCTGCTATGTCAGCTCCACTGGCTGCCGATCCAGTTCCGAGCACAATTCAAAGTGCTGGTTTTGACCTACAAAACCCTTTACGGCTCCGGCCCAGCGTACCTGTCCGAACGTATCTCCTTCTACGTCCCACCTCGGAGTTTAAGATCTGCTGAGGGGGCCCTGCTCTCAGCCCCACCTTTATCACAAGCGAGACTGGTGGGGACGAGGGACAGGGCCTTCTCAGTGGTGGCCCCTCTCCTGTGGAATGTGCTTCCCGGGGAAATTAGGACTTCAACATCCCCCTCTCCTTCAGAAGGAAGCTAAAGACCTGGATGTGGGGCCAGGCCTTTGGGTAAGCTGGCAGATGGACTAAGACAACCAATAATGACCAGAGTAGGAAAGGACAATGATGATGCTAAATGGTTTACGGACTTGGATTTGGTGAACATTGACCACAAGATGTTTTTATTGCTGCTAGTACACTGTTGATTGTTTTAATTAGTTATAACTGTGATTTTATATGGTAAATTTGTGTATTGTATATTGTATTGTGGGGAGCCCCTGGTGGTGCAGTGGGTTAAAGCACTGAGCTGCTGAGCTTGTTGATCGAAAGGTCGCAGGTTTGATTCCGGGGAGCGGTGTGAGCTTCCGCTGTCAGCCCTAGCTTCTGCCAACCTAGCAGTTCGAAAACATGCAAATGTGAGTAGATCAATAGGTACCGCTCCAGCGGGAAGGTAACGGCGCTCCATGCAGTCATGCCGGCCACATGACCTTGGAGGTGTCTACGGACAATGCTGGCTCTTCGGTTTAGAAATGGAGATGAGCACCACACCCCAGAGTCAGACATGACTGGACTTAATGTCAGGGGACTACCTTTACCTTTTTTTTACTAGCATTTGGAGAAGACAATTATGCTGGGGAAAGTGGAAGGCAAAAGGAAGAGAGGCCGATCAAGGGCAAGATGGATGGATGGCATCCTTGAAGTGACTGGACTGACCTTGAAGGAGCTGGGGGTGGTAACGGCCGACAGGGAGCTCTGGCATGGGCTGGTCCATGAGGTCACGAAGAGTCGGAGACGACTGAATGAATGAACAACAACAAGCATTTGGAAGGTTGAGAAATACTGAGGTAAATGAGCCCGTTGCAAAGCCAATTGACTCTTTTGAGGTCTACATTATGTAACTTTATGTAGGCTTAGCTATGTAATAGAGTCCAATGCTTAAACCACCACAGTGAGTCGATTCTCAAAGACCAGGGTTTGACTCAAAATAAGGCAATGGCAATCCTGCCACGAACAATCACGAGAGACTCACCATAGTGTCATCATTAAGCTGTGAATGGCTTAAAGGCACTCAATGATGATAATAGCATCGGCAGCAGATGCAAAGCTTGAATGCTTGGAACGTACCTCCGCTTTGAACCCATCTGATGTAACAAGTTGAGTGACGGTCATTTCGTTGGCTGTCAACGTGCCCGTCTTGTCGGAACAGATAACATTGCAACAACCTGAGAAGAAAGCAGAGAACAAACCAATAGTGACATTCCCTTGGTCAGATGGATTCAGAAGAAACTTGCCATCGTAAACTTTGGAAGCCATCAAAGGAGTTTGGAAGGGTTGAGAGGTTTTTTGGTGGCACAAAGAAGCCAATTCTATTATTTCAAAGGAACCAGTTTCCAAGTTAGTCCATCTAGATCAAGCTTGTCCAATGTCTGGCGTGGGGGCACATTGTGGCCCCTGTTCAAATTTGACATTGGACAAACTTGATCTAGATGGACTAACAGGTCTCCCTACTTCCCTCCCTCCCTCCTTCTCTTTCCTTCCTTCCTTCCTACCTATGTACCTTCCTTCCTTCCTTCTTGGGGATAAGGTACCCGTAAAACAGGGGTCCCCAAACTTTTTGAACAGAGGGCCGGGTCACAGTCCCTCAAACTGTTGGAGGGCCGGATTATAATTTGAGAAAAAACTTGAATGAATTCCTATCCACACCTTATTTGTAGTGCAAAAAAACACTTTAAATAATACAATAATTAAAATGAAGAACTATTTTAACAAATATAAACTTAGCAGTTTAGAATAAATATAAGCCTAGCAGCTTGAAAACATGCAAATGTGAGTAGATCAATAGATACTGCTCCGGCAGGAAGGTAACGGCGCTCCATGCAGTCATGCTGGCCACATGACCTTGGAGGTGTCTATGGACAACACCAGTTCTTCGGCTTAGAAATGGAGATGAGCAGCAGAGTCCCAGAGTCGGACATGACTGGATTTAAGGTCAGGGGACAACATTTGCCCGCCGCCTCCCCCCCTTCGCCCGCTGCCTCCCTCCCCCTTCGCACACCTATCACCCTTCTCCACAGCCCGCGGGCCAGATAGATGCCCTCAGGGTGCCGAATTCGGCCCACGGACCGTAGTTTGGAGACCCCTGCCGTAAAAGGTGACCCTTCACCTCATTTAAGCACTGCCTTCTCCTCCAGTGGCTCCAGAATCGAGTGTCCCATCCAAGTGGCTCCTTGTCTCTTTCTCTCTCTTAATCTCTTTGCAAAAGTAGGCACCCGAATTGCCCTGCTTGTCCCAGGCACTTGCTACCTCCATAACTGCTGCTGCATGGCCCTTCATCCCATGTCACCATCCTGCATTTCTCAAAAAGTCTGCCCTTTGCTGCGGCTCCTCGCTTGGTAATGGAATAATAGAATAATAGAGATGGAAGAGACCCCATGGGCCATCTAGTCCAAACCCATTCTTCCATGCAGGAGAAGTGCAATTGGAGATTTTTTTAATTTCGTGGCAGGAGTGACTTGAGAAACTGCAAGTCGCTTCTGGTGTGAGAGAATTGGCCGTCTGCAAGGAAGTTGCCCAGGGGACATTGCCCGGATGTTTTGATGTTTTCCCATCCTTGTGGAAGGCTTCTCTCATGTCCCCACATGGGGAGCTGGAGCTCTCAGAGGGAGCTCATCTGCACTCTCCATGGATTCAAACCTCCAACCTGTCAATCTTCAGTCCCACTGGCACAAGGGTTTAAACTATAAGCCCTTCTTACCACAATTAACACCCTCCTGACAGATGGCCATGCCTCCTCTGCTGAAAAACTTCCTGAGAGGGAGACTCAACCAGACTCTGAGGCAGCATATGCCCCTGTCTGAAACAACTTGAAGGTTTATTTATTTACAGTATTTCTATTCTGTCCTTCCCACCCCACAGGGCACTCAGGGTGGATTACAATGTACACTTATATGGCAAACATTCAATGCCAAAGACACACAACACATATAGACAGACAGTCAGAGGCTATTTAACATTCCACTTTTCTGGCCGCCAGGGGAGCTGTCGCTTTCATCGTCCATCTGCGACAATGATGAAGTACTTCCGCATTCCCCGCATGCTTTTGCTGGAGTGCTTTGCTGGAGTATTTTTTATGGCCTCGCAAATTAGTTAAATTAGCTTCCCCACACATAGGTGGTACCTAAATTTCCTACTTGACAGATGCAACTGTCTTTCAGGTTGCAAAGGTCAACAACAAGCTACACAATTGGTCGGAAGCTCACTCCGACCTGGGATGGCTTCAAACTCATGACCTTTCGGTCAGAAGTGATCTTAATGCAGCTGACACTAAGCCAGCTGCGCCACAGTCCCGGTGCACAACACTCCTAACTAACTCGACTCTCTCATCAGCCAAAAGCAGGTCCACGCTTCTTATTGAAAGTCTGGAATGTTTATGTTGCCTAAAATCTTTTTCTTTTCATATATTGTATTGTTCTTTTATGATCGGCTGCCAATGAAGGTAGGGGCAGATATCTTCAACACTATAGTCTTACTGCACAATGCCTCTGAAACACAGGAAGCATCAAAATTGGAAGAGGCAAAACTGGCGGTAAGACTATAGTGTTGAAGATATCTGCTCCTACCTTCATTGGCAGCCGATCATAAAAGAACAATACAATATATGAAATGAAAATGATGAGCCAACAATGTGATGTGGCAGCAAAAAAAGCCAATGGGATTTTGGCCTGCATCAAGAGGAGGATAGTGTCTAGATCTAGGGAAGTAATGCTACCCCTCTATTCTGCTTTGGTTAGACCACACCTGTAATATTGTGTCCAATTCTGGGCACCACAATTCAAGAGAGATATTGACAAGCTGGAATGTGTCCAGAGGAGGGTGACTAAAATGATCAAGGGTCTGGAGAACAAGCCCTATGAGGAGGCTTAAGGAGCTGGGCATGTTTAGCCTGAAGAAGAGAAGGCTGAGAGGAGATATGATAGCTATGTATAAATATGTGAGAGGAAGTCATAGGGAGGAGGGAGCAAGCTTGTTTTTTGCTGCCCTGGAGACTAGGACGTGGAACAATGACTTCAAACTACAAAAAAGGAGATTCCATCTGAACATTAGGAAGAACTTCCTGACTGTGAGAGCTGTTCAGCAGTGGAACTCTCTGCCCGGAGTGTGGTGGAGGCTCCTTCTTTGGAAGCTTTTAAACAGAGGCTGGATGGCCATCTGTTGGGGTGATTTGAATGCAATATTCCTGCTTCTTGGCAGGGGGTTGGACTGGATGACCCATGAGGTCTCTTCCAACTCTTTGATTCTATGATTCTATAATCAATGATGGGCATCCCAAGCCACCTTGTCTCTCTCCTGAGGAATCTGTACAAGGACCAAGTAGCAACAGTCAGAACTGACCACGGAATAACAGACTGGTTCAAGATTGGGAAAGGCGTACGGCAAGGCTGCATCCTCTCACCCAACCTTTTTAACTTGTATGCAGAACACATCATGCGATGTGCGGGGCTTGAGGAATGCAAAGCTGGGGTGAAAATTGCTGGAAGAAACATTAACAACCTCAGATATGCAGATGACACCACTCTGATGGCCAAAAGCGAGGAGGAGCTGAGGAGACTTCTAATCAAGGTGAAAGAAGAAAGCGCAAAGCTGGGTTGCAGTTAAACATAAAAAAAACCAAGATTATGGCAACAATAATGACTGACAACTGGGAAAATAGAGGGAGAAAACGTGGAGGCCGTGACAGACTTTGTATTTCTAGGTGCAAAGATTACTGCAGATGCAGACTGTGGCCAGGAAATCAGAAGACGCTTACTTCTTGGGAGGAGAGCAATGTCCAGTCTCGATAAAATAATAAAGAGTAGAGACATCAGACTGGCAACAAAGATCCACCTAGTCAAAGCCATGGTATTCCCTGTAGTCACCTACGGATGTGAGAGCTGGACCTTAGGGAAGGCTGAGCGAAGGAAGATCGATGCTTTTGAGCTGTGGTGTTGGAGGAAAGTTCTGAGAGTGCCTTGGACTGCGAGAAGATCCAACCAGTCCATCCTCCAGGAAATAAAGCCCGACTGCTCACTGGAGGGAAGGATACTAGAGACAAAGTTGAAGTACTTTGGCCACATAATGAGGAGACAGGAAAGCCTAGAGAAGACAATTATGCTGGGGAAAGTGGAAGGCAAAAGGAAGAGGGGCCGACCAAGGGCAAGATGGATGGATGGCATCCTTGAAGTGACTGGACTGACCTTGAAGGAGCTGGGGGTGGTGACGGCCAACAGGGACCTCTGGCGTGGGCTGGTCCATGAGGTCACGAAGAGTCGGAGACGACTGAACGAATGAACAACAACAACATGAAATCAATGGTTAAGCTATTGAGCCAGAAATGGAAAGAAAAGCACAGGATCATATAGCTTGCTAAAAGGTAGATTTGCATGAAACCCAAAGGAGGGGATCAACAACAAATTGGATAGGATGAGATTGTTCATTCATGGTGGGGGTTTTTTGCATGGGAATGCATTCTTGTTTTGTTTTTTTCCCCAACTCTAGTTTGGCTCTCCAACAGCCTGAAAGACCATGAACTGGTCCTTGGCTTAAAAGGTTTGGACACCCAGATCTAGGTTGAGAAGGTCCTTTCTCCATTGCACCCTCATCCCTCTCCACTGACATACTTTTCCCTTACCGAGGGTTTCCACGATGGGCAGCTTCTTCACAATGACGCGCTTCTTGGCCATTCGCAAGACACCCAGCACTAAGGTCACAGTGACCACGATGGGAAGGCCCTCCGGGATGGCGGCCACGGCCAAACTGGGGACACAACCATACGTCAGTGCTGTTAGATTATTATTATTATTATTATTATTATTATTATTATTACTTTATTTGTACCGCGCTAGCATCTCCCGAAGGACTCGATGCGGCTTACATAGGCCGAGGCCTCAAAACACAATACAACAAATACAATACCAAAGCAAATTAAAAACAGTTAAGCAAAATAAACAACAACAATAAACAATACATCAAGACACTATAAAACTGGGCCAGGCCAGAGTAATGGGTACAAGATTAAAAGTGCTGATGTGGCAGGAGGTATGTAGGATTATAAGTAAATGCAATGTGCGGTGTGCAGTATCTTAGTTCTACTAAAGTGCTTCTAGGACTTGGTATTGGAGGTTCCTAATCTGAGAAGGCACATCAGAACAGCCAGGTCTTCAAGTTCTTTCTGAAGACTGCCAATGTAGGGGCCTGTCTAAGATCTTTGGGGAGGGTGTTCCAGAGTCGGGGGGCCACCACAGAAAAAGCCCTGTCTCGAGTCCTCACCAAGCGCGCTTGCGACGCAGGCGGGATCACGAGCAGGGCCTCTCCAGATAACCGAAGTGAATGCGTGGGTTCGTAGACGGAGATGCGGTCACGCAGGTAGGGTGGTCCCAAACCGTTCAGGGCTTTGTAGGTAAGCACCTGCACCTTAAATTGGGCTCGGAAAATAAACGGCAGCCAGTGGAGCTCCTTGAACAGGAGGGTTGACCTCTCTCTGTAATGAGCTCCAGTTAACATCCTGGCCGCTGCCCATTGGACCAGTTGGAATTTCCGAGCCGTTTTCAAGGGCAGCCCCACGTAGAGCGCATTACAGTAATCCAATCTAGAGGTGACCAAGGTGACCACCCCAGCCAGATCAGCCTTCGCGAGGTATGGTCGCAGCTGGCGCACGAGTCTTAATTGTGCAAAAGCCCTCCCGGACACCGCCGACGCCTGAGCCTCAAGCGTGAGCGATGAGTCCAGGAGGACTCCCAAACTGCGGACCTGTGGTTTCAGGGGGAGTGTAACCCCGTCCAGCACAGGTTGCCACCCTATACCCCGATCCGGGCATGGGCCAACGTGGGCCTTCCCTCCAAGTGTTTTGGACCACAACTCCCACAATTCCTAACAGCCGGGGTACTGTTCCCCTCTCCCAAAAGTATGAGTTCCTCATTAAATATTCAGGCGTCCATTTGTTTCTCGTTGATTTGGCAGAATGCTTAGCTAGACTCTATTCAACTTTCAATTCCCCCCAGTAAAGTTTTGAGCAGAACTATTAGTTGATACTGTGCACTTTTCTTCCCAGACATCACCTAACCAGCTGGCGACTGTGTTTGATAAGAGGGCCGGATTCCATATAAACTATAAAGATACGTCCCACACGGTCTTTTGCGCTTTGGAGTAGATATGCCTGGCAAAAGCCAATATTTGAACAAAGAGCCACAAAGGTTTCATTGCTGGCGGAAAGGTGGGAAAGGGTGTGTATGCGGTCTACTGTGCCGCCATGTAGGAAGGTGAGCTATTTATAACCCTGCTTGACATTGCAGGGAAATCCTGGATCCTGATCACAACCGTTTGGGGTGTTTGGAGAGGACAACATGGCAGAAGGCTTGAATACTGTTTTAGTTGTGCACAGGTATTAATACAATAGCGATATGCTACTCTGCTGCTGAGTACGCATGCCCAGTGTGGAACACATCTCACCACACTAAAACAGTAGATGTGGCTCTTAATGAGACATGCCGCATTATCACAGGGTGTCTGCACCCCACACCACTGGAGAAATTACACTGCTTAGCCGGTATTGCACCACCTGACATCCGCCGGGAAGTAGCAGCCAATAGTGAAAGGACCAAGGCAGAGACATCTCCAGCTCATCCCCTGTTTGGGTATCAGCCAGCACGTCAACGACTTAAATCAAGAAATAGTTTTCTTAGATCTACAGAGACACTCGCTGGAACACCCCAGCAAGCGAGAGTCCAAAAGTGGCAGGCCCAAACCCAGCACCTCAATCCGTGGGTGATACCAGATGAGAGACTCCCTCCTGGGCACACAGAAGACTGGGCGACTTGGAAGGCGCTGAACAGACTGCGCTCTGGCACCACGAGATGCAGAGCCAATCTTAAGAAATGGGGCTACAGGGTGGAATCCTCGGCATGCGAGTGCGGAGAAGAACAAACCACAGACCACCTGCTGCAATGCAACCTGAGCCCTGCCACATGCACGATGGAGGACCTTCTTGTGGCAACACCAGAGGCACTCCAAAGGACATTTAACCAACTACCAAGTTTGCAAAATCCGTGTGTTTTTTTTCTTTTTCTTTTTAATCTGTGTGTTTGTTTTGTTCTGTTAGAATTGTAACACAATGGTATGGTTGCTGATGATACGATAAATAAATAAAATTAATACAATAGTCACCTCGTCACATTGAAACATTTCCCCGTCATCGTAGGACCCTTCAGCCTCTTTCCAAGCATGAAGAGGCATGACATGAGTTAAGCTACTTCCATCCATCATGCATATCCCTCTGTGGTTGGAAAGAGGCAGAAGCATCCTGCAAGGAAGGAAGTGTCATTGAAGGCCTCTTTCCAAGTTTGGAGAGGCACAGAGCTCATCACATGTTCCAGGGTTGAAAAGAGACAGAAATGTCCTGAAAGAAGGGAACTCTGGACATGGACCAGCCATCCTGTCCAGAGTTCCTATCTCTTATCATGCTTTACTCCAATATTTACAAATGAAAAACAGCTGGGATCAGAACCATCAGTTTCCTGTCCTGTTTCATTGCCCAATCACCAAGTGTCTCTTGTATTCTATGCAGTTTGATGAGGAACAATAGGATCCCATGGAAATAAGTGGTTTTAACCTGGATCATGTCTCTTGTATCCTCTGGGCTTTGATGCAAATCAATAGGATCACATTGAAAACAATGGTTTTAACCTGGATTATTGCCTCTTGCATCCTCTGGGCAACATCATACGAAAGCTGACTGGCACAACCTGGGGATCACAACCAGACACAGTGAAGACATTTGCCCTTGTGCTATGCTACTCTGTTGCTGAGTACGCATGCCCAGTGTGAAACACATCTCACCACACTAAAACAGTGGATGTGGCTCTTAATGAGACGTGCCGCATTATCACGGGGTGTCTGCGCCCTACACCACTGGAGAAATTACACTGCTTAGCCGGTATTGCACCTCCTGACATCTGCCGGGAAGTAGCAGCCAATAGTGAAAGGACCAAGGCTCATCGCACTTCAGGCTCATCCCCTGTTTGGGTATCAGCCAGCACGTCAACGACTTAAATCAAGACATAGTTTTCTTAGATCTAAAGAGACACTCTCTGGAACACCTCAGCAAGCGAGAGTCCAAAAGTGGCAGGCCCAAACCCAGCACCTCAATCCATGGGTGATACCAGATGAGAGACTCCCCCCTGGGCACACAGAAGACTGGGCGACTTGGAAGGTGCTGAACAGACTGCGCTCTGGCATAACGAGATGCAGAGCCAATCTTAAGAAATGGGGCTACAGGGTAGAATCCACAACATGCGAGTGCAGAGAAGAACAAACCACTGACCACCTGCTGCAATGCACCCTGAGCCCTGCCACATGCACGATGGCCAGATACTGGTCAAAGGACATTTAACCAACTACCAAGTTTACAAAATCTGTGTTTGTTTTTTTAATCTGTGTGTTTGTTTTGTTCTGTTAGAAATGTAATACAATGGTATGGTTGCTGATGACACAATAAATAAAAATCCTCTGGGCTTTGATGCAGAATCATAAGATCCCATGGAAAGAAGTGGTTTTAACCTGAATGACTGCCTCTTTTATCCTATGGCCTTTGATGCAGAATAGTATGATTTCATATAAGTGAGCTAACCTTGATAACTGTCTCTTGCATCCTATTGGGTCCCATGCAGGTCAATAGAAACCCATGGAAAGCAATGGTTTTGACTTGGTGCCAGTCTTCTTTAATGTAAGGGGCTTTGGGCAGGGCAAGGGATCTCTTGGTTTTTGGATATTGTTTTTTTTCCTCCTGATTACATAACAAAAAAGTAACACTGACCTCATGATTAATGTAAAAGGAATGTATTGCCAGTTCTTAGGTTTCCACGTGTGAATGTTGACAACAGAAGAGGAGTGATTCTCTTTCCCTTCTCAACCTGATGAACTCGTTTGACATCCATGTTGGATATGCTTTTGACTGAACTGTGGTTACTAGAAACTACAGATATGACCAAATGCCATTAAATTACCAGATGTCTGGTCCCAACACGCCATAGAGCTAGGTTTGCTAGGTTCCTCAATGTAACTTTATGGTATCTTTGGCGGAAAGCATGCCATAGAATTGCCTGGAGGACCCAACACATTACAGTTCCATGCATAAAGATAGTGCCACCTCCAGAACTTCTGGTGGACCTTAAGATGTCTTCTCCACTGTCCTTACAGCTATAGATGCACAGATGTTGTGTAGATGTCTCTTGACCTCTCCAAATCATGAATTTTCCATGTCAGTTCCATCTAGGATCTTGGGCTATAGGTGTAACAATGTAAACTATTCCGGCCCAGCTTACCTGTCTGAACGTATCTCCTCCTATGAACCAGCTAGGAGCTTAAGATCATCCGGGGAGGCCCTGCTCTTGATCCAGCCTGCCTCGCAAGTGCAATTGGCAGAGACAAAGGACAGGGACTTCTCAGTGGTGGCCCCCCGGCTATGGAACTCCCTCCCCAGGGATATTAGATCGGCCCCCTCCCTCCCGACTTTCTGAAAAAAAGTAAAGACTTGGCTCTTTGAGCAAGCTTTTGAGAATGCAGCGGAATAGATAACATGGAACTATGAATGATGAACATGGAATGGCCAGACAATGTTACTGGATAACGTTTTTAACAGGATGACACCAATGATGATATGTTTTAACAGTTTTTATATATGTTTTATATTGTAATGTTGATTATTTTTTAATGGCACTTTTATGAATGCCTCACATTGAATTGTGCCAATCTGTAACCCGCCTTGAGTTACCGTATGGCTGAGAAAGGCAGGCTATAAATATCATAAATAAATAAATATACATAGGTAACAACAGTTGGTTTTGATCAGGTTGGTTTATTTTCCTGTCTGGTCCAATATTATCTGTTCTGATGGAGGACAGTTTCCTAAATTCTCAGGTTGAGGCTCTTTCAAATCAGCCAAAGATGCCATGAACCAACCTCATGACTTTCTCTGGATGCAAAGTGGTTTTTCCAGCACGGAGCTAAACTCACTCATGCAAATAAATCATTAAATTTGGTATGCGGCCAAACCAGCTTGATGTACGTATATGTAGTTAAGTTATATATCCCGATGACTACATGTTTTACAAGATACCTGGGACATTTCCTTATACTGAGTCACCCAGGTACTTATCTGCTCAGCCTTGCCTATACTAACGATGGAGAACCTATGACCCAAAGGTCAGTTGCATCACATAGATTGAGGATGCCTATCTATAGCACAGATGGCATGTAGGAGTTTGGAAGAATATTCAAAAATATTGGGAAAGTGGTTGAAAAACATGAAAAACCCTGATAAGTTGTTTACTGCCTGAAAGTTTACTTCTGGAATGAACTTCCTGGTTTTTTTAAAAAAACCTCTTATAAGGAACTAGCTGCCCCCTGCCACGCGTTGCTGTGGCCCACATGGGGGTTTTGTGTGCGAGGTTTGGCCCAATTGTATCATTGGTGGGGTTCAGAATGCTCTGTGATTGTAGGTGAACTATAAATCCCAGCAACTACAATTCCCGAATGTCAAGATTCTATTTTCCCCAAACCCCACCAGTGTTCACATTTGGGCATATTGAGTATTCGTGTAGAGTTTGATCCAGATCCATCCTTGTTTGAGTCCACAGTGCTCTCTGGATGTAGGTGAACTACAACTCCCAAACTCAAGGTCAATGTCCACCAAACCCTTCTAGTGTTTTCTGTTGGTCAGGGGTGTCCTGTATGCCAAGTTTGGTTCAATTCCATTGTTGGTGGAGTTCAGAACACTCTCTGGGATTTATAGGTGAACTATAAATCCCAGTAACAACAACTCCCAAATGTCAAGGTCTATTTCCCCCAAATTCCATCTGTGTTCATATTTGGAGATATGGAATATTCGTGCCAAGTTTGGTCCAGATCCATCATTGTTTGAGTCCACAGTGCCCTCTGGATGTAGGTGAACTACAACTCCAAAACCAAAGGTCATTGCCCACCAAACCCTTCCAGTATTTTCTGTTGGTCATGGGAGTTCTGTGTACCAAGTTTGGTTCAATTCCATTGTTGGTGGAATTCAGAATGCTCTTTGATTGTACGTGAACTATAAATCCCAGCAACTACAACTCCCAAATGAAAACATCATAAATTTTTGAGTGATGGTCACTCCTTGTGTTGTGAGACGTTTTGTTGCCAAATTTGGTGTGATTTCGTTCATTGGTTCTTTGGTTTTTAAGGTACTCATGATGCACAGAGCATTTATATATATATATAGATGGGTGCTGGTTGCCAAAGGTCATAGAAAGGTAAATCTCTACATTTTGTAAAATATGTTTGAAAATGTAGGAGTGCTTCCTTTACTCCCACCCTAATATTGAGTGAACCAAGCATTTGAGAGAGATTATGGAAATGGAAAGGGTCTGTCATTTAAGGCCACCCAACCCATGGCCAATATCTTCTCCATTGCTATCATATTTTGGCTCACTCAGTAAATGATGAAACTCTACATGTGAAGCATTAGTGTTGCTTATAAATCTCCATATTAAACTATGTCCTATATTAAACATAGAAACCCACGGTGGAGCCGTGAGTTAAACCACTGAGCTGCTGAACTTGCTGACCAAAAGGTCAGCATTTAAAATCTGGGGAGCAGGGTGAGCTCCTGTTGTTAGGCCCAGCTTCTGCCAACCTAATAGTTCAAAAATGTGCCAATGTGAGTAGATCAATATGTACTGCTCTGGTGGGAAGGTAAGTGTGCTCCATGCTGTCCTGCCAGTGGCCACATGACCTTGGAGGCATCTACAGACAACTCCGGCTCTTTGGCTCAGAAATTGAGATGAGCACCAGAGCACACAACTAGACTTAATGTCAGGGGAAAACCTTTACCTTTATATTCAACAAGACTTCCACAGCCTTACCTCACTCCGATGGTGAACATGCTCAGAAGATGTTTCCCTTGCAACCAACCAATCAGCATGAGAAGACCTTGAAAGACAGAGAAAGCTGCTTGAGTTCACCAACATGGTCCTGAATCAGTGAAGTAACCAGCTCATCTAATATGATTAAGGTAGCTTTGATCTTAGACCCATTTGTGTGACCACGACCATTAATATCACCATCACCATCATTATACATAATCAATCTTTCCCCACTGATTAAACTCACCAATGATGCCAAAGGAAGCAAGCGTTAGCTGCTTCCCCAGTTTATCCATGTTTTTCTGGAGTGGCGTCTTGGGGGTCTTGATTCATTAATCCAAGGAAATAAAAGAAAGGGAGGGGGAAGAGAGGCAAAAGAAGGAAGGAAGGAAGATCTATTTATATAGCGTGACATGATTTTATTTATTTATTTATTTATTTATTTATTTATTATTTGAACTTATATGCCGCCACTCCCCTGGGGCTCGGAGTGGCTTACAAGAATGGCTAAAATCGAACACAATTTAAAAACAATTTAAAACAATTTAAAAACAGCAATATCAAACATTAAAAGCCTGTCGAAACAGGTATGTCTTACATGCCCTGCGGAAAGCTGATAAGTCCCGCAAGGCACGGACTTCAGGTGGCAGAGTATTCCAGAGTGATGGTGCCACTGCTGTAAAGGCTCTGCGTCTGGTTGCTGTTAGACGCAAGGTCTTGACACTGGGAATTTCCAATAGATCTTGGTCCTCAGAACGGAGGGATCTCTGGGGTTGGTAGGGGGTGAGGCGGTCCCTCAGGTACATCGGCCCCAGACCATGCAAGGCCTTAAAGGTGAGTACCATCACTTTGAAAGTGATCCGGTGCTCAATTGGTAACCAATGCAGCTGCAGTAAGATTGGTGTTATGTGGCATCTCATCGGAATTCCCGCAAGAAGCCGAACAGCTGCATTTTGTACCAGCTTGAGCTTCCGGATCACCGACAGAGGAAGGCCAATGTAGAGGGCATTACAGTAGTCCAGTCTTGAGATGACGTAGCCTGGATCACCATAGCTAGGTCGTCCCTGGACAGGTAGGGGGCCAGCCGTCTAGCCTGCCACAGATGAAAAAAGGCGGTTCTGCTAACGGCGGAGACCTGGGCCTCCATCGTCAGCAGAGGGTCCAAAAGGACTCCCAGACTCTTTACCAATGATGACGGGCGTAGCGCCTCGCCATCCAGGGTAGGCAGCTGGATATCCCCACTGCCCGGTTGACCCAGCCATAGGATCTCCGTCTTTGCTGGATTCACCCTCAACCTGCTGGCACGCAGCCATCCAGTAACGGCCTCGAGGCACTGATGGAAATAATCGGGTACAGAGTCCGGTCGGCCTTCCATCTTCAGCACCAGCTGAGTGTCATCGGCGTACTGATAACACTCCAGCCCAAAACCTCGAACCAGCTGAGCAAGTGAGTGTCATCGGCGTACTGGTAACACTCAAGCCCAAAACCTCAAACCAGCTGAGCAAGTGGTCACATATAGATGTTAAACAACAGAGGGGAGAGAATGGCCCCCCGAGGAACCCCACAAGATAGAGGGGACCTCTCAGAGACCAGGCCTCCCCTCTCCACTCACTGTCCACGGTTGTGAAGAAAGGAGGACAGCCAATTTAAAGCTGTCCCCCTGACTCCAACAACAGCAAGGCGGTGGGTCAAAAGATTGTGGTCGACTGTGTCAAATGCTGCTGTGAGAGCCAATAACACAAGCAATAACATGATGGAAGTAATTATATCATGTCTCAAGGTTCAGATATCCCTCATCCATTGGTTCATGGACATATTATTATTATTATTATTATTATTATTATTATTATTATTAACACAAAATGATGAGTGCACAGCAAACAAGATCACTCTACTGGCTATTGTATTGGATCATTTGTCAGACACTTCCCAAGTGTCTAGGACTGTGTGATGTTTCGGCAAATAATACGTGCAGATCCCAGTAGGGTGGCCCTTTGCAGCTGACAGATGGTAATTTTGTCAGCACCAATTGTTTTTAAGTGCAGGACAAGGTCTTTAGGCACTGCACCCAGTGTGCCGATCGCCACTGGGACCTTATTATCATCACAAAAGCACAGTATGTCACAACAAACGAGATCTATATGCTGGATTTCATATCACAAAATCACAAGTCGAACACTTTCCAAGCGTCTAGGACTGTGTGATTTATTATTATTATTATTATTATTATTATTATTATTATTATTATTATTATTATTAGCTGTCCCCTGCCACACATTGCTGTGGCCCAGTCTGGTGATCTGGAAAATAAAGTAATGAGAAAGTGTTGGTTACTAATAAATGTAATTCCTTTATGCTTGTGAGTTAACAGTATTTCTTGTTGTTTCTTTGTCAGTGTTGATGTGGAGAGTGTCTGGTTTGCCTTCTCTTGAACATGCAACATATCATAGTCCTTCTTTAAGGGTCTCTTTCAAATCTATGATACTATATCTGTGTGTGTGAGAGAGAGAATCATATCTGTCTATATCTATGGCTGGATGGCTCTTTGTCAGGAGGGCTCTTATTACATTTTCTTGCCCTGGTGAAGAGAGTTGGACTGGATGGCCTTAAGTATTTTCTGTTGGTCATGTGGGTTCTGTGTGAGAAGTTTGCCCCATTTCTGTCGTTTGTGGGTTTCAGAATGCTCTTTAATTGTAGTGAACTATAAATCCCAGTAACTACAACTCCCAAATGTCAAGGTCTATTTCCCTTAAACTCCATCTGTGTTCATATTTGAGCATATGGAATATTCGTGGCAAGTTTGGTCCAGATCTATTATTGTTTGAGTCCACAGTGCTCTCTGGATGTGGGTGAACTACAATTCCCAAACTCAAGGTCAATGTCCACCAAACCCTTCCAGTTTTTTCTGTTGATCATGGGAGGCCTGCGTGCTAAGTTTGGCCCAATTCCATCATTGGTGGAGTTCAGAATGCTCTTTGATTGTAGGTAAACTATAAATCCCAGCAACGACAATTCCCAAATTACAAAATCAATTTTTTTTTAGTGGAAGACATACATTGGGCTGTTAGGTGTCTTGTGTCCAAATTTGGTGTCAATTCCCCCAGTGATTGTTGAGTTCTGATGGTATCACAAACGAACATTACATTTTTATTTATATAGATTATTATTATTATTAGCAGAGACATCTCCAGCCCATCCCCTGTTTGGGTATCAGCCAGCACGTCAACGACTTAAATCAAGACATAGTTTTCTTAGATATACAGAGACACTCGCTGGAACACCCCAGCAAGCGAGAGTCCAAAAGTGGCAGGCCCAAATCCAGCACCTCATTTCATGGGTGATACCAGATGAGAGACTCCCTCCTGGGCACACAGAAGACTGGGCGACTTGGAAGGCGCTGAACAGACTGTGCTCTGGCACCACGAGATGCAGAGCCAATCTTAAGAAATGGGGCTACAGGGTAGAATCCTCGACATGCGAGTGCGGAGAAGAGCAAACCACTGACCACCTGCTGCAATGCACCCTGAGCCCTGCCACATGCACAATGGAGGACCTCCTTGCGGCAACACCAGAGGCACTCCAAGTGGCCAGATACTGCTCAAAGGACATTTAACCAAATACCAAATTTGCAAAATCTGTGTTTTTTTCCTTTTTCTTTTTAATCTCTGTGTTTGTTTTGCTCTGTTAGAAGTTAACACAATGGTTGCTGATGACACGATAAATAAATATTATTATTATTATTATTACCCCCGCCTTATCTCTCCTGCAGGAGGCTCAAAGTGGCTTAACATAAAAGCACCAGCATACAATTTTAAATATGCAAATAATGCAAACATTAAAACAGGATCAAACCAGTTCTATAACATTCTCAGTTAAAAACCATCCAAACATATTCAGAGTTCAAAACCACAGCACATAAAGTGAAAGCGAGACCATTCCAGTTTGGAAACATCACTTTACAAGATACTACATCACAGCTGACCCTCCACATTGATGGGTTTAACTTTTGTGGATTTGATTATTATTCAAGGATTAAATTAATATGGTCTCTCTGCGAAATCCCGAGGTACTCTGGGATGACTCTATGAATGGTATTAATCATGGGATTTCTTTCAGAACGACAAAAATTGCAATGGAAGGAGCCCTCTTCATCCATGTCAACATGTCATATATTCTGATGGAAGCAAACACTTCAATGGCCACTCTAGCAGTCTTCTATATGGATATTGTGTTACTTCTTATGGAGATATTAGCAGGTTGAGTTGCGTGACCCAAGCTCTTTTGCTACACTCCTTACCTCTTCTTCTTGCATCATTTTGAACACTTCTCCAAACTGTGAATTTTCACCTGTTCCAATAACAACGCCCTGAATGAGAAAAAGAGAGACAAAGTTCATGTCTTCCTTAAATTCTTACTCCAGATCTGCAAACTTTTACCCTGCATGAAAATATTAAAAAAACAATGGCACTCCTCTCCCAAGTTGTTCCCTGGACTCAAAGTTGTACTTTTAGACATCTTGGTTTATGCACCAAATGATATAAGATGCAGAAAATCTGTGATTGGCATTCTTGATGTCTTGTTTATTTGGCTAAAATCAGTCCCTTTTGGATCAAGGTGAAGGTTTTGGATGGACAGAGTCCACATCCTATAAGGATACGTCACTGATACTTCACTTAAATCTCAAACATTAATATTTATTTATTTGTTGTGTCAGGGCAACCAGTCAATTATATTACATTTCTAACAGAACAAAGCAAACAAACAGACAAAATACAAAATTTGTGAGTTTGGTAGTTGATTAAATGTCCATTGACCAGTATCTGGCCACTTAGAGTGCTTCTGGTGTTGCTGCAAGAAGGTCTTCCATTGTGCATGTGGCAGGGCTCAGGTTGCATTGCAGCAGGTGGTCAGTGGTTTGCTCCTCTCCACACTCGCATGTCGAGGATTCCACTTTGTGGCCCCATTTCTGAAGGTTGGCTCTGCATCTCGTGGTGCCAGAGCGCAGTCTGTTCAGTGCCTTCCAAGTCACCCAGTCCTCTGTGTGCCCAGGGGAGAGTCTCTCATTTGGTATCAGCCATTGATTGAGGTTCTGGGTTTGAGCCTGCCCCTTTTGGATTCTCGCTTGCTGAGGTGTTCCAGCGAGTGTCTCTGTAGATCTTAAAAAATCTTAAATCTATTTCTAGATTTAAGTCGTTGACATGCTGGCTGATACCCAAACAGGGGATGAGCTGGAGATGTCTCTGCCTTGGTCCTTTCACTATTGGCTGCTACTTCCCGGCGGATATCAGGTGGTGCAATACTGTAATTTCTCCAGTGGTGTAGGGCGCAGACACCCCGTGATAATGCAACATGACTCACTAAGAGCCACATCCACTGTTTTAGTGTGGTGAGAAGTGTTCCACACTGGGCATGCATACTCAGCAGCAGAGTAGCACAGCGCAAGGGCAGATGTCTTCACTGTATCTAGTTGTGATCCCCAGGTTGTGCCAGTCAGCTTTTGTATGATATTGTTTCTAGCACCCACTTTTTGCTTGAAGTTCAGGCAGTGCTTCTTGTAGGTAAGAGCATGGTACAGAGTGACTCCCAGGTATTTGGGTGCGCTGCAATGCTCCAGTGGGATTCCTTCCCAGGTGATCTTCAGAGCTCGGGATGCTTGTCTGTTCTTGAGATGAAAGGCACATGTCTGTATTTTAGATGGATTAGGGATCAGATGGTTTTCCCTGTAATAGGCAGTAAGAACACCTAGAGCTTCGGAAAGCTTCTGTTCTACCATCTCAAAGATCCCTGCTTGAGCAGTAATGGCACGATCATCAGCATAGATGAAACTCTCTGTCCCTTCTGGCAGTGGCTGGTCATTTGTGTAGATGTTGAGCATGGATGGAGCAAGCATTCATATACAGTGTCTCAATAATCCCAAAAGGAATATCTATAAATTTTGGGTAGAACATTGCACTGTAGATGGGAGTGTTCTCATGGATAATCCAATGGTCCATCCAGAACTTGAAGAAGGTCCTATTTAGATTACTGATCTTGTTGCATAGGATGGTCTGAGATATCTATCTAATCCACAAAAAAGAACTTTCATTAACAAGGTCGACCACTTATGGATCTGTCCATAGATCCTGATAAATGTCCAGCTTGAGTTCTAAACTTCATTGGAACCCACCTAATATGTTTCTAGGTAGGTCCTGGATTTTGGAGTCTTGTTGCTGATAAGAATTCTGCATCGTACAAAACCGAAACAGCCAAGTTGTTAATGTCCAGTACTTCTATAAACAAGTGACCCATAGAAGGATGACATTTGCTACTCACTTTCCCTTTACCGTATCGCACGAGAGTTCCCATGAAGGCCACGTTGCTGAGGGTCATCATGTCTCCAGGCTCTGCTAAGATATTGCCATTCTTAATACAGGGCTCTGCTTCTCCTGTAAAACTGGACTCGTCCACCAAGAGATCTGTCACCTAGTGAAGGCAAAGAAGAATTCATTCCCACCATCCCTTTATCGTTTTGATAGTCCTTTCTTTCTTTAAAAAAAAAACGAAACTGAGAAATGAACACTGGTATTGTTGTTTCTCCAACTGGAACTCAAGGTACCTCCAAGAATGGGAGGTGGACACCAAGAAAAGAGATCTAAGTCAACAGGTGAATGCATGTGGATTATGGAAGTTCTGCACTCCAATTGTCCATCTCCAGATTTCCAAATCCCAAAAGGTAAGAAGCATGAAGTCATATACTGCATTTGTATCAAGTTGTCCCTTACCTCAATGAGCCTTAAGTCTGCAGGAACCCTGTCTCCCATGGAAAGGCACACAACATCTCCTGGCACCAATTCCCGAGCAAGAAAGTGCTGCAGTTTCCCTTCCCGCAAGCTGCATTTTTAGAGAGAGATTAAACAAAAACAACAAAAAAAGATTTTTAAAAGATAGATAATGCATTGTTAGACATTGGCTGTAAGCCTATTGTGTAAAACTGGTGGAAAATACTGCTCTAATGGACATGTGGGCACACATCTGCTGAAGGGTTTAGTGTGGGTCATGTGGAACTGAAGGGACATACTGAATTGTTATTGTTGTTGTTTTTGTTCTTAATGTCCCACTTAATCTCCCCTGAAGGGGATTCATACTGAAGAAGTGGAGTCATGACTTTATGATATTTATGACGACGGGTGCATCATTCGCTTTTGTCCCTGTCTGATGGCAAACAAGCAATGGGTATAAATGAAGATAGGAAGCATGTGTTCTTTCTCTTACCATGATTCTCTTGCTTCTTGCTGTATATTTGTTGCTGATATCTGTTACCTACATCGTGAGTATATCTCTGTATGTGCCACTGACTGATAGGATGTGTATGTATACATTTGTACATAGAACAACGTGTCAAGACGAAAAACTGAGTCAAAGAGTTTTCTTAAACAATGAGATGCACAAGGTCAGATGATGCAGCAAAACTCTGCAGACAACTGATAAGGACTCTGCTATGTTTGTGTTGATTTTTAAGGCTTGCCTCTGAGACACTGTCCGGTGAACAGTGTATTTAGGGAGGGCATGATTGAAAGGAAAAAACTAAAAATCACACACCTATCCCGTCTTCGACAAATTTGAAAGTGATTGTCAAAATGGACAAAGAAGTGTTGAAGGTCGTCCATGAAGCTCTCAAGAACATCTCAGCTTCCCCTTTTATTCTACCTTTCATCTCCATAGCAAGAAATAAAGAAGAAGGAAAGAAGGAAAAGGAGATAAGGAGCCATGGATAAGATTATTTAGAACATAAGAGGACTTTTGGGATCAGACTAAAGGCCAATGTTAACTTTGAGAGGTCAACTAGATACCCATGGAAAGTTCACAAGCAGGACATCAACACAACAGTAGTTAGTCCTCTTCATATATCCCTATAACTGGCATGCCTTTGCACACTAATTTTAATAAAATCAACATAGTGAGTTGTAGCCAATGATAGATGCCTATGAATGTGTCATTTGTAGATCTACGTGGTATGGATTTTTCCCATTCATGTTTAGTTGAGTCAATACATGGCTTGAAGGCACATGCAGGACTCTCCTCCAGCACCATATCTCAAATGAGTTAGGTTTCTTCTAATCAAACTTTCTTCATTGTCCAGCTTTCACAACCAGACATAGAAATGGGAAATACAATGGCACAGCCCATCCTAACTTTAGTGTTCAATGACATATCTTGACAATTCTTCTCTAATTCCTTCTTGGCTGCCCTTCCAGGTCCTTATCTTCTCATTTCTTGACGGCAAACTCCATTCTGGCCCAAGGAGTGGATAATCTTGGATTAATCTTGGGTAACTCGACCATAGGAATGGAACAACGGAAATGGTATTGGATTGCGAACTTGACGATGAGACGACTCGGAATGGTTTGTAGTTATATTGATGTTTTTGATGAGTTGTTTTGATAATTATGTACTGTGGATTATTTTTTGTATGTTGTATTTTGCACCTGTTTTTCTATGTTGTACATCGCAATGAGTCGCCATTAGGCTGAGAATTGCGGTATATAAGCAAAGTAATAAAGAAATAATAAATAAATAAATAAATAAATAAATATTTCAGTGTCTTCACCATCTACTCTAAAGTTATGGAACGATCTGTGGTTATTTTCCCCCTTTAATATTCCATGGTAAATCTGCTGTATTAGTGTGACACAAACACAGAATATTGAAAAACCCATTAATAAAGATAGGGATTTACAACGAGAAAGGTGATACGATTTGGAATGAGGTTGTGCAACTTCAGATGGAACCGTTGTTATTGTTTCTTGCATTGGTTAGCCAGATGTCAATCCAAAGCAAGTCATAGAATCATAGAATCATAGAATCAAAGAGTTGGAAGAGACCTCATGGGCCATCCAGTCCAACCCCTGCCAAGAAGCAGGAATATTGCATTCAAATCACCCCTGACAGATGGCCATCCAGCCTCTGTTTAAAAGCTTCCAAAGAAGGAGCCTCCACCACACTCCGAGGCAGAGAGTTCCACTGCTGAACGGCTCTCACAGTCAGGTAGTTCTTCCTCATGTTCAGATGGAATCTCCTCTCTTGTAGTTTGAAGCCATTGTTTCGCGTCCTAGTCTCCAAGGAAGCAGAAAACAAGCTTGCTCCCTCCTCCCTGTGGCTTCCTTTCACATATGTATACATGGCTATCATATCTCCTCTCAGCCTTCTCTTCTTCAGGTTAAACATGCCCAACTCCTTAAGCCACTCCTCATAGGGCTTGTTCTCCAGACCCTTGATCATTTTAGTCACCCTCCTCTGGACACATTCCAGCTTGTCAATATCTCTCTTGAATTGTGGTGTCCAGAATTGGACACAATATTCCAGGTGTGGTCTAACCAAAGCAGAATAGAGGGGTAGCATTACTTCCCTAGATCTAGACACTATGCTCCTATTGATGCAGGCCAAAATCCCATTGGCTTTTTTTGCCGCCACATCACATTGTTGGCTCATGTTTAACTTGTTGTCCACGAGGACTCCAAGATCTTCTTCACACGTACTGCTCTCGAGCCAGGCGTCCCCCATTCTGTATCTTTGCATTTCATTTTTTCTGCCAAAGTGGAGTATCTTGCATTTGTCACTGTTGAACTTCATTTTGGCCAATCATCTCTCTAATCTGTCAAGATCGTTTTGAATTCTGCTCCTGTCCTCTGGAGTATTGGCTATTAGGCCTGGGTAACAACGGAAAAATTTGTTTCTAAAATCGATTCGTTTTTTGGGGTTTTTGCGTTTCGTTATTTAAAATAATTACAAAATTTTCCTTTTAAAAAGTTCGATATTTACGAAATTTCGTAAATGTGAAAAAATTACAAAACATTAACGAAACGATTTCCGAAACAATAACGAATCGATTCGTTAATGGCGGACGCGACCGCGAAATACGCTAAAAAACCTCCAAATGGGACAGGGGGAACTTCTGAAGCTTCCCTCTCCCTCTGTTGTTGACTGTTGGTGTGATATTATAATTTTTTTTCACTAATAAAACAAAAAACAACCATAAAACTTGCCCCAGACATGCGGAAATAATAACGAAACGACCTCAAAACAATAACGAAACGAATACATAACGAATTACGAAGCATTTACAAAACGTATTTAAAAATTCGTTTTTTTTTAAATTGCTCCAGAATGGTTTGTTATCGCTTCGTAATCAAGAAAATTAACGAATTATTAACGAATTATGAATTAACGAAACGAAACCGCCCAGCCCTATTGGCTATCTCTCCCAATTTGGTGTCGTCTGCAAACTTGATGATCATGCCTTCTAGCCCTTCATCTAAGTCATTAATAAAGATGTTGAACAGGACCGGGTGATGAATCCATCTTGGGTTTTAGTATGAACTTTAAGGGACTAAGGTCTGCAATAGGCACATAAATTGTCCAAATTTTAATGATCAATAGCTTTCCAAACAACTGACATAAAATCACCAAAAAGATTGAGCACTTTAGTTAAAGTTCAGACTAAAACCTGGAACAGGTTCATCTCCACCACCAATGTAAATGCTCATGAGCAGAAGATTGGAGGAAAGGAAATCTATATAAATAAAAATGCAATGTTAGTTTGTGGGATTAACATAACTCAAAAACCACCGGATGAATTGACACCAAATTTGGACACAATCCACCTATCAGGCCAATGAGTGACCATCACTCATAAAACACTGAAAAACACAGCAGAAGGGACAAAAAAAGCAAAAAAAAGCAATGCACAAAAACGACTCCCCCGGCAAACAAAACACACAATAGCATATCAACACTCTCTTTCAGACTACAGCTCCCAGCATCCCCTAGACCAGGCCCAGCATCCCCTAGACCAGGAGGATGATCCCAATGCACTGCTTCCAAGATGCAAGCTTTCTTCTCCTTGGATCTCTTTGAGGGCATTCAAATTCCTGCATATTTCCAATTTCCTATTCCTGGACTGCAACTCCAGATATATAGATTAGATAGAGATAGGTAGGTAGGTAGGTAGATAGATAGATCGATCAGGAGGACTGCTGGGAGTTGCAGTCCAAGAATAGGTAGAGAAGGAAGAACGGGGAAAAAGAGGAAGGGAAAGAAAAGGGGAGAAGGAAGGAAAGAGGGAGAGAAGGAAGGAAGGAGCGAAGGAAAGAAAAAAGGGAAGGAAGGAGAGAAAGAAAGAAGGAGAGAAAGAGGGAGGGGAGGCTGGCCACAGCAACGCGTGGTGGGTACAGCGAATATAGAACAAAATGATTCTCCAGTTACTTACCAGTTACATTCGGGAGGCACTAACTTATTGAGTTCTTCCAGGGATTTCTCAGAGCGGTGTTCCTGTGAGGAAGGCAAAGAACACACCGTTGTCCATTCACTTTTTGTCTTATTAATATCAATAATGTAAGGCAGTGAGAAAAAAAGGATTTACCTGTATGAAGGCCACAGTGACCACAATAATGACAGCCTGGTGGAGGAAAAAGAGATAAAAAGGATGGGGACATAATCACATAATATATCACAATATATTCCACAAGGTGTGATCACTGTATTAGGTTTGCATTGCAAAGAAACAACATGAATGCATTTATTAAAATAGCTTATACAAAAGAGTGGTGCGTAATTAATCCATTGGAACAATAAAAATAATGCGAATGCTAAAAGCATATAAAAGCGCTTCAATCAAAAACCAGGACAGTTTAGAACAGTGGTTCTCAACCTTCCTAATGCAGTGACCCCTTAATTCAGTTCCTCATGTTGTGGTGACCCCGAACCAAAAAATTATTTTCATTGTTACTTCATAACTGGAATTTTGCTCCTATTATGAATTGTAATGTCAATATCTGATATGCAGGTTGTATTTTCATTCATTGAACCAAATTTGGCACAAATGCCCGATAGGCCCAAATTTGAATACTGGTGGGGTTGGGTGGGTGGGGGGGAGATTTTGTCATTTGGAAGTTGTAGTTGATGGGATTTATAGTTCACCTACAATCAAAGAGCATTCTGAACTCCACTAATGATGAAATTGAACTAAACTTGGCATACAGAACTCCCATTACTAATAGAAAATACTGGAAGGGTTTGATAGACATTGAGTTTTGGAGTTGTAGTTCACCTACATCCAGAGAGCACTGTGGACTCAAATAATGATCAATCTGGACCAAACTTGGCATGAATGCTCAAATGGCCAAACGAGAACAGTGGTGGAGTTTGTTGAAAATAGACCCTGACATTTGGGAGCTATAGTTGCTGGGATTTACAGTTCACCTGCAATCAAAGATCATTCTGAACCCCACCAATGATAGAATTGAGCCAAACTTATCAAACAGAAGCCCCATGGTCAATGGATGGTCTTTGGTGACCCATTTGACACCCCCCTTGCGACTCGCTCAGGGGTCCTGACGATGCCGAAAGCGCGAGGTGGGCGAGGGGCTTTGTATAAAATCAGGCCTCGTGCCAAGGACCCCTTGCCCACCTCGTGCCCATGCCGAATGGCAAAAGCACGAAGCAGCCAAGAGGATTTTGCGCAAAGTTGGGCCTCGCGCCAAGGACCCCTCACCTGCCTCGCGCCCACGCCGAATGACGAAAGCGCAAGGCGGGTGAGAGGCTTTGCGCAAGGCCAGGCCTCGCACGAAGGAGCTCTCACCTGGCCCGCACCCTTGGGGCGGGGCCAATGGAGGCAGCCTTGTGACCCCTCCAAAATGGCCAGCCGACCCCCCTGGGGGTTGCGACCCCCAGGTTGAGAACCGCTGGTTTAGAAGCAGTTGAAACCAGTTAGGACGAGCAGATTTTCATGAAAATTGTTACCACTGGATGCAGTAGCAACAAATGGGATGAATGCATCTGCACTGTAGAATTAATGCAGTTTGGCACCACTTCCAACTGCAATGGCTCAGTGCTATGGAATCACTGAAGTTGTAGTTTTACAAGGTCTTTAGCCTTCTCTGCTGGCATCACACCAAACGACGACTCCCATCTTCCATGATTCCATGTCATTGAGCCATTGCAGTTAAAAGTGGTGACAATCTGTTGTAACTAAGGCAGTAATGTAAATAAAAGATAAGAGCTGCTTGTTGAAGCAGAAACAACTGTCTGAAGTCAGTTAATTGGGTGACAAGAAGCAAGCTGACCAGCGAAGTGCCTTGATAGTTTGCCCATGCCTGGTCTGGACTGTGCTGTCGCATGCTGGGCCTGTGCATAAGACTGTAGACAGGACATAAATTCTGTGTGCCCAATGGGACGCCGGGGCTGCCTCAGATTAAAGGCCCTTGGATTTCATTAAAACAGAGTCTTTAGATTGCTTAAAGGTTCAACAAAGTTCTTTATTGATGAAAACAAACAAGTACTTTAAAGCTTTCTTAACAGTCTATTGGCTCTCTCTCAATCTTGTCCACGGGGAACAGGCACTATCTTCATAACTGTATACTAACTAATGGGGAAATCCTTAACTTCTAATCTGGGCAGTCTGTACTTGCCTCTGTTGGCCTCTGTTGGCGTGGAGCCCCTGCACCCGGTACCAACTGCGTCTGGCTTCCGCGAGAGACCCTTACCAAGCAGAGCTTTGTAGACTTCCAGGGGGAAAAGAATTCAGGTTTCCATGATGGCTGGCTGAAGTGCTTTGGGACCGGATTCCCTCAGCAAAGGAGCTGTAATGCTGTATAACCCCGACCAAGCTGTAGAAGACTAAGCTTTCTACAGGAGCTCTTGGTATTATGTCCTGCATGAAAAGCTTCTCTGTGGACTGAACCCAAATTGGCTCCTATTCCCTCCAAAACCCAAAAAGGGGGTGGGACCAGGGAACCTAACTATAATTGACAGGTGGCTTGCCCTATGATTGCAGCCTAAAGATGGCACTTATCTGCAGAGTCCCTGAAACTTAGGACTGCAACAAACATTCAATGCAAAGCAAACAAAATTGGTACAGTTGTACCTGCACATGGACTGTGTAGGATCTCTCCAACTTCTGCCAAATTCAGCAGATAGGATTTCAGAACTTGGATAACTCTTTTACAGTTCAGACTAAAACCGGGTGCAGATTCATTATCCTGCTGGTGTGGAAACGACCAATTCACTACCAGTGGCTTTAGGATCAAGAGTCCCTACTTAATCATAATAACATTAGAAAGAGATAACTCACCATTGCAATACTCACGGCATCTTCATACTCTTTAGTAACCACACTTACTAAAGCAGAGGCCAGCAGCAAAAGGATCAATGGGTTCTTAAACTGAAAGGAATGAACAAAAGGATTTAAAACAAATTAATGCAGTATGATGGGTTTTGTTGTTTTGTTTTGGCACTTTTAAGTTGGCGTAAAGAGTGCATCTCCACTGTTGAATGAATGTGCTATCGAATCCTGGGAGTTGTAGTTTGACAAGGCCTTCTCTGCTAATGAGTTCTGATACCTGCACCAAACTACAACCCCCAGGGTTCCATAGCACTGAGTCATGGCTGTTTAAACTGGTGTCAAACTGCATTCATTCTGCAGTATAGGTGCGTCTCCAGCAACTACGGCATAGATTGATATCGAAGTTCTTGAAAACAGGTTGAGCCAATGTTAGAAGAGATTAGATCATCATCTCCCATTAACTTCTATGCACATCAAGCAGGAAGACTTCCTGGTGAGTTATATGTACATACCTTTGTCTGCCTTGTGCTTTTAAAAATGAACTGGAATATGTGTCTGATTTCAATCACTGAGAATGAAACCAGCTCCTGAAAAACCAAAGAATAGGTTGTGTCTCGTCCAATGGAATAAAACTCTCTTTTACCTGATCGAGGTATTTTTTCCATATTGGTTCCTTCTTATCCACCACAAATTCGTTCCAGCCATGTTTGATCCGGCGCTGAAGCACCGAGAAGTCGGAAAGTCCTTTTTGCAAATCAACCTAAGGAGAGGAAACAAGCATTGATCACAGCCAGGAAAGGTTCCTTTTTGGAGAACACCATCCCTAGAATTCTGTGCAAGAAGGTAGCTCTTCTGCTCTCCAGTTCAAACTGCATTGAACTGCAGTAGGTAAAGGTAAAAGTTTTCCCCTGACATTAAGTCCAGTCGTGTCTGACTCTGGGGATTGGTGCTCATCTCAATTTCTAAGCCGAAGAGCTGATGTTGTCCGTAGACGTCTCCGAGGTCATGTGGCCAGCATGTCTGCATGGAGTGCTGTTACCTTCCCGCCACAGCGGTACCTATTCATCTCCTCACATTTGCATGTTTTTGAACTGCTAGGTTGGCAGGAGCTGGGCCTGACAGCGGAAGCTCACACTGCTCCCCGGATTCAAACCTATGACCTTTCGGTCAACAAGTTTAGCAGCTCAGTGGTTTAACCCACTGCGCCACCAGGGGCTCCTGCAATACATGGGTCTATATGTTGACGATGTAATACAGTTTGAACTGCATTATAAGGCAGTGTAGACCCAGCCTAAGTTGTTTTCCTCTTGGAAACTCCAGATACATCTACATCAGGGGTCCTCAAACTACAGCCTGCGGGCCACTTCCGGCCCACCAAGGGCACTTATCCGGCCCCCGGAGGAGGAGCGTCCCCCCTACACACAGTGCCCCTCCCTTGGCTGGCTCATGCTCTCCGTCAGGCCTGATGGGCAGCGTGAGCCAGCCAAGGGCAGCTGCTCCACATGGCCTACTCATGCGTAAAGCACCTTGCGAGGTGCTTTACACGCGAGTAGGCCACGCGGTGCTGCTCCTCCCTTGGCAGGCTCATGTTATCTGTCAGGCCCGATGGGCAGCGTGAGCCAGCCAAGGGCAGCTGCTCCGCGTGGCCTACTTGCGAGTAAAGCACCTCGCGAGGTGCTTTATGCGTGAGTAGGCCGTGCGGTGCTGCTCCTCCCTTGGCAGGCTCACGCTGCCCATTGGGCGTGATGGGCAGCGTGAGCCAGCCAAAGGAGGCTGCCCTGGCACTCCATGCAGTCATGCCGGCCACATGACCATGGAGGTGTCAACGGACAACGCCGGCTCTTCGACTTAGAAATGCAGATGAGCACCACACCCAGAGTCAGACACTACTGGACTTTATGTCAAAGGAAAACCTTTAACTAGGAAAATTGTGGACGATCCAGGGTGGGAGAAAGAACTCTTGTCTGTTGGAGGTAGGTATGAATGTTTCAATTAGCCAGCTTGATTACCATTTCATAGCCTGACAGTTTTTAGAGAGAATCCTTTGTTCAGAGGTGATTAGCTGGCCCTGATTGTTTCTTGTCTGGAGTTCCCCTGTGTTTGAGTGTTGTTCTTTATTTACAGTTATAATTTTAGAGTTTTTTTTAATACTGGTAGCCAGATTTTGTTCAGACTAGAAATAGGAAGATTTCCCATTCTCTGCTCCTGGAATTACTGCCTAAAGAGGGCTCGAAAGAACCCCCTCTAAGGGCCCTTCCACACAGCAAAATAAGATATGTGCAATGTGCAGAGGAATTTTTTAATTGATTTTTTTTTTTAAAAAAAAAAACAACAACTATAGTTCGGCCCTCCAACGGTCTGAGGGACAGTGAACTGGCCCCCGGTTTTAAAAGTTTGAGGACCCCTGATCTACATTGTAGAGTGAATGCACTTTGGCACCACTGTAACCACAATGGATCAGTGTTATGTAGAAGTGGTAATCTGACAAAGTCTCTGTCCTTCTCTGCCAAACAGTGCCGAATTACAACTTCCAGCATTCCTTACTTAAAGTGGTACCAAACTAGATTAATTTGACAGTGCAGATGCACCCCCAGGCAGCTTTGTACCTTGTGGGTACAAGGGAAAGAGCCTTCTCCGCTGTGGCCCCCCGACTCTGGAATTCACTGCCTGGAGATATTAGGAAAGCCCCTATCATGGAAACCTTAAAAAAGAGTCTTAAAACCTGGCTCTGCAGTCTTGCTTTTGAAGAGTAGCCACATAATGTTATGCTAGTGCTCCCCCAACGTTCTTGTCCCAGGAGTTTCCCCCCCTTCATGTACGAAGGTTTGCTTATTTTCCTATCTCTCTATGAGTTCTCCCTTGCAATTAGTTCTGCCCCCTTGTCTTACCTGGAGTTTTTAAATCATTTTATGTACATGCGGCCCGCTCTTTGTCTTTTTGTCATTATGCTTAGTTCCTATGTTCAGTGTATATTGTTTTATATACTTTGATGTTTTATATCTTAATGTTATGTTGTTTATTTTATTTCAGTTTGTATTGTTATATTGTATTTTTCTTCGGGCTTAGAATCATAGAATCAAAGAGTTGGAAGAGACCTCATGGGCCATCCAGTCCAACCCCTCTGCCAAGAAGCAGGAATATTGCATTCAAATCACCCCTGACAGATGGCCATCCAGCCTCTGTTTAAAAGCTTCCAAAGAAGGAGCCTCCACCACACTCTGTGGCAGAGAGTTCCACTGCTGAACGGCTCTCACAGTCAGGAAGTTCTTCCTCATGTTCAGATGGAATCTCCTTTCTTGTAGTTTGAAGCCATTGTTCCGTCCTAGTCTCCAAGGAAGCAGAAAACAAGCTTGCTCCCTCCTCCCTGTGGGTTCCTCTCACATATTTATACATGGCTATCATATCTCCTCTCAGCCTTCTCTTCTTCAGGCTAAACATGCCCAGCTCCTTAAGCCGCTCCTCATAGGGCTTGTTCTCCAGACCCTTTATCATTTTAGTCGCCCTCCTCTGGACACATTTCACCTTGTCAATATCTCTCTTGAATTGTGGTGCCCAGAATTGGACACAATATTTCAGGTGTGGTCTAACCAGAGCAGAATAGAGGGGTAGCATTATTTCCCTGGACCTAGACACTATGCTCCTATTGATGCAGGCCAAAATCCCATTGGCTTTTTTTGCCGCCACATCCATGGGGCTTGGGCCCATGGAAGCCGCTCTGAGTCCCCTTTGGTGAGATGGTGGCGGTGTAAAAATAAAGTTTATTATTATTATTATTATTATTATTATTATTATTATTATTATTATTATTACCTGCAAGATCTGGGCTAGCTCTTCTGCGTGGCACTTGCAAGCTTCTTTGGGAGGCAAAGCGGTCACTTCTTTCTCCTCTTCAGCCAATTTCGGCTCCGATTCCTCATCGGTCTACAGAATGTAATGCAATTGTTAGATGCCTTGCGATGCAACAATGATAATGAGAGGTTCTTTTAATTATTATTATTTCTGTGGGCTATGTTTTTTCCAGAAAAGGCATTGACTGATGGTGGAACCAATGCGGTTGGCAAACAAAGAGAAGGAAACCCAAAAGGTGAGAGTGTTGTGTTTGCATTTGAAGCGAGTGGCAGCCACCTTGGCTAACCTTTGTCCTTGTGTAATGTAAGCTAAGCATAAGACAAAGGCATGCAGCTGGGGAAATAAAGCTATTCATTTAAGGAAGCTGAGTTGGCAGCATATAGAAGTCTTAGGGCTTCATCTACACAGTAGAATCAATGCAGTTTTGCTCTATTTAGACTGGCTCAATGCTATAGAATCCCGGGAGTTGCAATTTGGCGAGGCACCAAATGATGCAATGAATCATAGAATCCTTGAGTTGGAAGAGACCTGGTGGGCCATCCAGTCCGACCACATTCTGCCAAGAAGCAGGAAAATTGCATTCAAAGCCCTCCTGACAGATGGCCATCCAGCCTCTGCTTCAAAGCTTCCAAAGAAGGAGCCTCCAACACACTCCGGGGCAGAGAGAGAGTTGCACTGCTGAACAGCTCTCACAGTTAGGAATTTCTTCCACATGTTCAGGTGGAATCTCCTTTTTTTCCTGTCATTTGAAGCTATTGCTCCATTGCGTCCTAGTCTTCAGGGCAGCAGAAAGGAAGCTTGCTCCCTCCCCGCTATGACTTCCCCTCACCTTTTGATTCCTGGCCCTCATCATACCTCCTCCCTGCCTTAGAATCATAGAATCAAAGAGTTGGAAGAGACTTCATGGGCCATCCAGTCCAACCCCCTGCCAAGAAGAAGGAATATTGCATTCAAATCACCCCTGACACATGGTCATCCAGCCTCTGTTTAAAAGCTTCCAAAGAAGGAGCCTCCACCACACTCTGGGACAGAGAGTTCCACTGCTGAACGGCTCTCACAGTCAGGAAGTTCTTCCTCATGTTCAGACGGAATCTCCTTTCTTGTAGTTTGAAGCCATTGTTTCGCGTCCTAGTCTCCAGGGAAGCAGAAAACAAGCTTGCTCCCTCCTCCCTGTGACTTCCTCTCACATATTTATACATGGCTATCATATCTCCTCTCATCCTTCTCTTCTTCAGGCTAAACATGCCCAGCTCCTTAAGACGCTCTTCATAGGTCTTGTTCTCCAGACCCTTGATCATTTTAGCCGCCCTCCTCTGGACACATTCCAGTGTGTCAATATCTCTCTTGAATTGTGGTGCCCAGAATTGGACACAATATTCCAGGTGTGGTCTAACCAGTGCAGAATAGAGGGGTAGCATTACTTCCCTAGATCTAGATACTATGCTCCTATTGATGCAAGCCAAAATCCCATTGGTTTTTGGCCTGCCTTCTCCTTTGCAAGCTCAACATGCCCAGCTCTTTCAGCCATTCCTCCAGACCCTTGATCCTTTGAGTTTCCCTCACATATGCCGTCTGACCACGGCAGAATGCTAGGGTAGATCCTGAGCCCCCACCTGAATCAAAATTCTGGCTACGGACCTGGCTCTCACAGTCAGGAAGTTCTTCCTAATGTTCAGATGGAATCTCTTTTCTTGTAGTTTGAAGCCATTGTTCTGTGTCCTAGTCTCCAGGGCAGCAGAAAACAAGCTTGCTCCCTCCTCCCTTTGAATTCCTCTCACATATTTATACATGGCTATCATGTCTCCTCTCAGTCTTCTCTTCTTCAGGCTAAACATGCCCAGCTCTTTAAGCTATTCCTCATAGGGCTTGTTCTCCAGACTGAGGATGCTTTGAGTCCCCTCTTTCTCTGGACACATTACTCCAGCTTAGATTCAGCATCTCCCTTCAATTACGGTGCCCAGAATTGGACACAGCGTGATTCCCAGTAATATGGTCTGGCCACAACAGAATAGAGCATGGAGAGCAGGACTTCCCTGGATGTAGGCACTAGACTCCCCTTGATGCAGGTCAAAATCCCATTGGCTGCCACAATTCTCAGCACCTGTTCCTCTTCCTCCCCACAAGAACTCCAAGATTTTTTCCACATGTGCTGCTCTTGAGCCAGGCCCCATTGTATCTTTAAATTTCTTTTTTTTCTTGCCTAAGTGGAGCGTCTTGCATGTGTCCCTATTGAACTTCATTGTGTTTGTTTTGGCCCATCATCTCTCTCATCTGTTCAGATCTTTTTGAATTCTGTTTCTGTCTTCTGGAGTATTGGCTCTCCCTCCCAATTTGGTCATGCCTGCAAACTTGATGGTCCTGCCTTCTAACCCTTTATCTAAGTCATTAATCAAGATCCTGAACAGGACCAGGCCTGGGACGGAACCTTACTGATGGCACTCCACTTGTCACTTCTTTCCAGGATGCAGAAGAGGAAGCATTGGGGAGAATCACCCTCTGGGTTCATTCCCATAACCAATTACAGATTCACCAAACCTGGTGTAGATGCACCCCAAGACTGGTAGGCTCCAAGTCAGTGGTGAATCCATGCTAGGTTTTACCCTGCACTTTAAAGGTTTCATTTGAGATACTGCTAAACCTTCGTCCCAAAAGAGATTCAATTTCTTGGATAGCTGTCTTCAAGTTCACACTAAAACCCAGAGCAGATTCATTGCCTGACTCATACGGCAGCAACCCACTTTGTGTGTGTTTTGTATTTAAAGATATGGGACAGGGTCCTCGTATTTCTTTCTATTATACTCTTTTCAAAATCTCCATTTCAAGAACTGGTTTCAAGAACTGGCAGTCCTACCAGGAACTCAGGGTCAAATAATCTACATCTGGCACCACCACCATGGGAATTACTCTATAATCCAGTTTATATAAGAAAGGCAAAGGGAAGAAAGAGGAGATTTGCAGCAATGGAGATCTTATAAGCTGTGGCAGAAATAAGAAATAGGATCCGTCTTTTCATATTTAAAATGGCCAACTCAGGATGCATGTGCTATTGCTCTGTGGTGTCTTGCAGGGCTCAATATTGTCCTTCTTGTTGTTACATGAAGCCGCTGGGAGAGATCATCCAGAGTTTTGGAGTTCGATGCCATCTGTATGCAGATGACGTCCAACTCTATTACTCCTTTCACCTTCTGCTAAGAAGGCTTGTTCAGGTCCTGAACCCAGTGTTTGGCAGCTGTGGTAGTCTGGATGAGGGCTAACAGATTGAAACTGAATCCAGACAAGACAAAAGTCCTCTTGGTCAGTCGCAAAGCCGAACAGGGCATAGGATTACAGCCTTGCTGGATGGGATTACACTCCTCCTGAAGATGCAGGTTTGCAGCTTGGGGGTCCTCCTGGATTCATCATTGAGCCTGGAACCCTGGGTTTCTGTGGTGGCCAAGACGGCCTTTGCACAATTCAAACTTGTGCACCAGTTGCACCCGTACCTTGGGAAGTCAGACTTGGCCACAGTGGTTCATGCTCTTGTTACATCCTGAATATACTACTGCAATGCACTCTATGTGGGGCTGCCTTTGAAGACTGTCTGGAAGCTTCAAATGGACCAACGGACAGCAGGCAGGTTGCTCACAGGAGTGGCGTACAGGGAACGTACAACTCCACTGTTACGTCAGCTGCCAGTCTGCTACCGAGCACAATTCAAAGTGCTGGCTTTAGCCTATAAAATATCTCCCTCTATAAACGACCACGAAGTTTAAGATCATCTGGGGACAGAGGCGGCCCTAGGTAATTTTCAACGGTAAGCAAACAGTATTTTGCCCTCCCCCCCCCCAACCAATCATTGATATATATTTTCTGTTCATCGTGGGAGTTCTGTGTGCCATATTTGGTTCAATTCCATCATTGGTGGAGTTCAGAATGCTCTTTGATTGTAGGTGAACTATACATCCCAGTAACTACAACTCGCATATGTCAAGGTCTATTTTCCCCCAAGTGTGCCTCAAGAGCGCCCCTGGGCAAAATCAACTATACTGCGGATGCTTACTTTGCGTAATGGGTTGAGCCTCCCCTGTCTGGGGAGGCCCTGTTTTCAGTCCTTCCTCCCTCACAGGTGCGATTGACAGAGATGAGAGACAGGGCCTTCTCAGTGGTGGCCCCTTGTCTGTGGAACTCCCTCCCTAGTGACATTAGATCAGCCCCCTCCCTCCTGACCTTCAGAAGAAAGGTAAAAACTTGGCTGTGAGATCAGGGCTTTTGGGAATAGTGCAATGCACTTAAAAGATTTGGAATATGTGCAATGACTATGGAACAGCCTTTGACTATAATTAGGGATGGCATGGTTTTAATATGGAATGGAATGTTTTTTAAATGTTTAATATGTATTAATTTTAATGTTATTGGAATTGTATGTGTTCTAAGGCATGGAATAACTGCCTCTATGTAAGCTGCCTTGAGTCTCCTTCGAGGTAGAGAAAGGCCGGGTAGAAATAGGGCAAATAGATAAGTAATAAACAAATCTGCCCTATTGCTTATAGGAACCTTATTGATGGGAAAGACAGAGGGGGCTTGACTCTGCCAGACCTCAGATACTATTATGAAGTAGCCAACTTTAGTTGGCTAAAGGGTTGGATCAGACTGGAAAATAAGGAACTGCTTAACTTAGAAGGACATAATCTAAGATATGGATGGCATGCCTATCTATGGGATGAAAAGGACAGGGTGAATAAAGAATTCAATAGACATATAATAAGAGCCAGCCTTTTGGCAACGTGGAAAAGGTACAAGAAGGGGATAGAGCCCAAAATCCCCTTATGGCTGTGTCCACTAGAAGCTGTGCAGAGACCGGCCACACATACTGAATCTAGAACTTATGAAGAATATTTAGTTAAAGAGAAAGGGCAATGGACACTTAAAGGTAGAGAAGAATTGGGGATAAAAGATTGGTTTTGCTTCTTTCAATTGCATGATAGATTTAGGAAGGACGTAAAGGTAGGAATTGCCTCTAAAAAGTCAGAGCTAGAACTTATTTTTGAGAAGGGCAACAAAGGCCTCATATCCAGGCTCTATAAATTTATTTTAGAATACAATTTAATAGATAACCAGATAAAAACTGTTATGATTACGTGGTCCAAAGATTTAGGTAGAAATACTGATTTGGAAGAATGGGAACATTTGTGGAAAAAGGGGTTTAAATTTTCAGTGGCCAGCTCAATTAGAGAAAATACGTTTAAAATGTTTTATAGAACCTACATAACTCCAGAATTATTGGCTAAAATAGAGAAAACAGGACAAGGAACTTGCTGGAGATGTAAGAAGGCGAAGGGTTCATTTTTCCATGTGGATGTGTAATATAGTTAAAGAATTTTGGGAAAAAGTGGTGAAGGAAACAAACAATATGATTAACAAAAAAGTTAAGAAAAACCCAGAAGTGTGCCTTTTAGGATTATTTAGAATGCGTATCAGTGCAGGAGATGAAGAAATTTGTCAATATTGCTTTGTTGCGGCAAGACTAATAATAGCCAAAACTTGGAAAGGGGAAAAAGAGTTATCTATTAATGATTGGAGAGATAAGTTAGCAGACTATATCCAAATGGCCAAGCTGACAAATAGCAGCAGAGGAGGAGATAATGAAGAATTTGCAAATAAATGGAGCTGGCACTTGGAAAAGAAGGGTATTTGGAAAAGAAGACAAACTTGAAGATTGCCATAAAGGGGATTCAGTGAAAGAAGATATTTGGGTAGTTGTTGTTTAGGAATGCGATCCTGTTTTGAGGGGTTTCGGAGGTCAGGGGGTGGGGTTCACGGGTGGGGGATAGAGGGTTATGTAATGTTAAGGTATAAATAATTGTACAACCAAATTTGATTGTACATATGTTTGATGAGCGCTGAATGTTGACTCTTTTGTAATTTTTTTGCATATGTTTTCTTTGTTTACTTTTTCCTTTTGTTCGTTTGTTTTGTTTTCTGCATACACTATGAAACAATAAAAATTATTTTAAAAAACAAAAAACCAAATCTGCCCTATAGAACAAATGCAGATTGGCATCATGGCTAAATGCAATGAGATTGTGGAATTTGTAATTTGGTGAGTGGCCAATGCTCTTGGGCAGAGAAGGCGCAAGATTGTATCAAACTACAAATCCCAAATTTCCATTGACCAAACTACATTCATCCAGCAGTGTAGATGCACCCTGCGCCCTGAAATTGGAATCCATCGTTTCAGCTTCAAAGAAATCCCTTACTCTTATAAGAGACAATTTTTCATTTCTCTGCACCCAGGAAGTGGGATGCAGAGGTCTGTTGAACTTCACATCACCTTTCACTCCATGCAAAGGTTAAGGGAGAGGTTCTTAGGTATATATTTATTTTAGCAGAGAGACCTTCTTTGCTAGTTCCTGTTGTCCCATTCCTACCATTATTTTGTTCCTGGAGACTTTGTGTGGATGGATGGGCAAATAGACGGCAAGAGCCGTTGTCAGCCTTACGGTGGTGGTCTTTAATACTCTGGGTCTTTGGGACCGTAGCCCAAAAACATCTGGAAGGACCAAAGTTTGGAAACCATTGGATGACATTGTGCCCATGAAATGCGTCAAATACTTGAAAGGGTCGTGCTAATGTCAACAATTGCAGCAGCAATGACAGCTATTGAAATGAATTATGTCAAAGGAAGGAAGGAAGGAAAGAAGTGAGGAAAGAAGGAAATAAAGAAGGAAGGAAGAAAAAGGAAGAAAGAAGAAAAGAAGGAAAGGAAGGAAGAAAAACAAGAAGGAAGAAAAGAAGGAAAGAAAGGAAGGAAGGAAGGAAGGAAGGAAGGAAGTTATGTTGATTTTCTTGATTTCTTAAATTCCAGTTATTACACAACCTCCTCCAGCCATTGCAAACAAGAGATTCATAAATTCAGTCAGCTCTTTATATCCACAGATTTGGCATCCATAGAGTCATAGAATCATAGAATCAAAGAGTTGGAAGAGACCTCCTGGGCCATCCAGTCCAACCCCCTGCCAAGAAGCAGGAATATTGCATTCAAATCACCCCTGACAGATGGCCATCCAGCCTCTGTTTAAAAGCTTCCAAAGAAGGAACCTCCACCACACTCCGGGGCAGAGAGTTCCACTGCTGAACGGCTCTCACAGCCAGGAAGTTCTTCCTCATGTTCAGATGGAATCTCCTTTCTTGTAGTTTGAAGCCATTGTTTCGTGTCCTAGTCTCCAGGGAGGCAGAAAACAAGCTTGCTCCCTCCTCCCTGTGGCTTCCTCTCACATATTTATACATGGCTATCATATCTCCTCTCAGCCTTCTCTTCTTCAGGCTAAACATGCCCAGCTCTTTAAACTGCTCCTCACAGGGCTTGTTCTCCAGACCCTTGATCATTTGAGTCGCCCTCCTCTCGACACATTCCAGCTTGTCAATATCTCTCTTGAATTGTGGTGCCCAGAATTGGACACAATATTCCAGGTGTGGTCTAACCAAAGAGGGGAGTCAACCATCCATAGGTTGAAAACATTCTTAAAATTCCCCAAAGCAATCTCTGGTTTTGCCATTTTATATAAGGGGTACTATTTTACTATGTCATTGTCAACAATGGGACTCAAGTATCCATGGATTTTGGTATCCACAGGGGTCCTGGAACCCAAATAACAGCAACTTTTGTTGTTGTTGTTGTTGTTGTTGTTGTTGTTGTTATTCCCCAATTTTTCTCTTCACAAGGAGACTCAAAGCAACAAAACCCAGCAGATACTAAGAACCCATTGTAGTGGAAGGTGCACCAGGGTGCATGCTATGTAAGCGTGTTATCAACCAAGCTTGGAAACATTGCTGTTTGGAGAACTACAATTCTAACACAAAGGCCCTGCTGGGTGGTCAGTTCTGGGTATTGTAGTTTAAAAAGCCTTCCCAAGCTCCCAATGGCCACATTCATGCATCTCTCATTTCACATCCATGAAGAACCCAGTTTAGTCCAACAGAGGCCAAAAAGAGTGTTAAAGTGTATGCACATTGTTGAATAAATGCAGCTTGACACCACGTTCACTGCCATGGCTCCATGTTAGGGAATCGCGAAAGTTTTAGTTTCGCTAAATTTAGTTTAGATAAATGGCCTGTTGGAATTTAAAAATAGTTTTGAAAACAGTCTTTAAGCATGAGTTTCAGACGTGTGTCCTTTGTTCAATTTCTATGTTGTGTATTTTAACATGTATTTTAATATGCAGTTTTTGTAGAAATACATTCTAGTGTGAGTATTTGCATTTTCACAATATTTATGTGTTTTAATTATACTGTAAGCTGCCTCAAGTCACAAGGAGAGGCGAGTAAGAAATACAATTATTTATTATTATTAATATTATTATATTTACATGTACATAACAGCACAGCACACATGCATATTACATCCAAGTCTCTTTGGGTTGTCTCTGAATATAATTGGAGATAGTATAAGGTTTTATTATATATTATTATATGTATTATTATTTATTGTGATATTATTATTATTATTATTATTATTATTATATTTACATGTACATAACAGCACAGCACACATGCATATTACACCCAAATCTCTTTGGGTTGTCTCTGAATATAATTGGAGATAGTATAAGATTGTTATTATATATTATTATATGTATTATTATTTATTGTGATTATATATATTGTATATTATTATTATTATTATTATTATTATTTATTACATGTACATAATATCACAGCACACATGCACGTTAGGTCTAAATGTCTGGGATTTGTCTCTGAATATGAGGCTCTTCCCAAGGGCCTAGGATGATGATGATGATGATGATGATGATGATGATGATGATTGTTATTATTATTATTATTTCCAGGTGCCCTTTAGAATTCTCTGCCAAAAAGAGCTGGTGCTTCACCATACTACAGATCCTCAGATTCCATAGCAGTGAACCATGGCAGTACAAGCAGCATCAATCCACATTCATTCTACAGTGTAGGCATATCATAACAGATGTAAGCTACAATATGTTCCATTTGGGAAGACAGAGCTCCTTACCACTTCTTCGGCCTCTTTGCTCCCCACTGGCTGGTATTTCCAGAAACTATTTTGGAACAACCTGGAGAAGATGTGTTTGGCTCCCATCTTGGCTGGCATGGGGAGGATCTGCTGCAAAATCCTTCTCTGTCCAGCTCTGCGGCTCCTTTGGCCGACGTCTTCCTGGCCGAGGCTCACATTCCCTTACCTGTCGAGGATGAAGTGAGCTTGGAAGCTGACCAGGTGGCTGTTACCTGACGCCCACAAGGCGACGCCACGCCTGCAACCTGCAACAGGTGCATAGGAGTGTCCAAGTTCCTGGCTCAGATCTACTCGGAGTGGCTGAAATACCTGGACGGATCGGTTTTCAAGAGCTGCGCTGCACTCAATTTCCAAGGGAAATGACTGTTTGTATTTGCATGGTGTCTCTCAATTGCAGTTCAAGCTGAACTGGGCAATTTGCACAGATTTTGGGAACGGTTTGGAATGCACGCCCTGAAAAAGTTCATAGTTAAGACCTAGACAAGCAACATCCGAGTTTGGTCAAGAAGGCAAAGGTTATGAATGAGAGCATGCACAAGTCAAAGAGGAGTGCAGCGGTTTGTTTTGGCTTGGGCCTACTGGGGAAAGTGAGATATTTCCACCAATTTTTGCCCTTTTGAAGTCTGTTTTGAGCAGGCATAGGGAAACTTTGACCCTCTAGGTCAGTGTTTCTCAACCTGGGGGTCGGGACCCCTGAGGGGGTCGCAAGGGGGTGTCAGAGGGGTCGCCAAAGACCATAAGAAAACATAGTATTTTCTGATGGTCATGGGGATTCTATGTGGGAAGTTTGAGCCAATTCTATCGTTGATTGAGTTCAGAATAGTCTTTGATTGTAATGAACTATAAATCCCAGCAACTACAACTCCCAAATGTCAAGATCTATTTTCCCCAGACTCCACCAGTATTCACATTTGGGCATATTGAGTATTCATGCCAAGTTTGGTCCAGATCCACCATGGCATGAGTCCACAGTGCTCTCTGGATATAGGTGAACTACAACTCCCAAACTCAAGGTCAATGCCCATCAAACCCTTCCAGTGTTTTCCATTGGTCATGGGAGCCAAGTTTGGTTCAAATCCATTGCTGGTGGAGTTCAGAATGCTCTTTGATTATAAGTGAACTATAAATCCCAGCAACTACAACTCCCAAATTACAAAATCAATCCTCCCCCAACCCCACTAGCATTCACATTTGGGTGTATTGGGTATTTGTGCCCAGTGAATGAAAATGCACCCTGCATATCAGATATTTACATTATGATTTATAACAGTAGTAAAATGATTGTTATGAAGTAGCAACGAGAACAATATTATGGTTGGGGGTCACCACAACATGAGGGAATGTATTAAGGGGTCACGGCATTAGGAAGGTTGAGAACCACTGCTCTAGGTGTTTTGGACTGCAACTCCTACAATTCCTAGCGGTCTACTGGCCAATGCCTGGTTTAGATTGGTTTGGCAAAGTGACTGTGAAGCAACATAGAAGATACTAGTGAGGATGTGCATGTCAAGATATGCCTCCAGGACCCATTAGAGCAGTGGTTCTCAACCTGGGGTCCCCAGATGTTTTTGGCCTACAACTCGCAGAAATCCCAGCCAGTTTACCAGCTCTTAGGATTTCTGGGAGTTGAAGGCCAAAAACATCTGGGGACCCCAGGTTGAGAACCACTGCATTAGAGAAAGACAGTCTCCACTTGCTGGCAGTTGTCGCTTTCAGGCTGTTAAACCATTCCCCAGTTGGAAGCTCTCCAAGGTCCTGAACCAGTTGCATGAAAAGGATCCAGGACTCCTTGAAACTCTGGGTTCAAACAGGCATTGGAACCCACTGACATCTCACTCAACTGAGCAGCTATTTGCAGAACTGGCCTTGGCTTAGCTATGTCTATGTTTGTCTCTCTGCAGAGTTGTATGGGGCAGGGTAGAGATATCACCAACCATCCCAGTGCATGTTGCGATCTTCATGTGGTGCTGAGGATTTTGCTTCTGGTGGGTCAATCCTCACAATGGTTGACTGATAGTAAGGAAGTAAGTAAGTAAGTAAGTAGTAAGGGTCTTGCTAAGAAGGCCTTGAGGAAAATGTCCCTCTGGTTCCTGGGGGGGGGGGGCTAAAACTATTCCTTACGATGCTCCTTGCCTCAGTGGTCGTTTTTCAAAAATTCAGAAAATAAAGTGTCTTGGGGTGGGAGAGTTGCTTCTTCGTCATGCGACTCTGGAAAATGCCACATACACTTAGAATCATAGAATAATAGAATCCAAGAGTTGGAAGAGACCTCATGGGCCATCCAGTCCAACCCCCTGCCAAGAAGCAGGAATATTGCATTCAAATCACCCCTGACAGATGGCCATCCAGCCTCTGTTTAAAAGCCTCCAAAGAAGGAGCCTCCACCACACTCTGGGGCAGAGAGTTCCACTGCTGAATGGCTCTCACAGTCTAGGCTAGGGTAGATCCTGAGCCCCCACCCGAATCAAAATTCTGGCTACGGGCCTGGCTCTCACAGTCAGGAAGTTCTTCCTAATGTTCAGATGGAATCTCTTTTCTTGTAGTTTGAAGCCATTATTTCATGTCCTAGTCTCCAGGGAAGCAGAAAACAAGCTTGCTCCCTCCTCCCTGTGGCTTCCTCTCACATATTTATACATGGCTATCATATCTCCTCTCAGCCTTCTCTTCTTCAGGCTAAACATGCCCAGCTCCTTAAGCTGCTCCTCATAGGGCTTGTTCTCCAGACCCTTGATCATTTTAGTCACCCTCCTCTGGACACATTCCAGCTTGTCAATATCTCTCTTGAATTGTGGTGCCCAGAATTGGACACAATATTCCAGGTGTGGTCTAACCAAGGCAGAATAGAGGGGTAGCATTACTTCCCTAGATCTAGACACTATACTCCTATTGATGCAGACCAAAATCCCATTGGCTTTTTTTGCCACCACATCACATTGTTGGCTCATGTTTAACTTGTTGTCCACAAGGACTTCAAGATCAATTGTCCCTCCATAATTGTGGGGGCACCTTGGCATTGAGCTATTTTTATATCTTTCCCTTCCCTAGAATCAAAGAGTTGGAAGAGACTTCATGGGCCATCCAGTCCAACCCCCCGGCCAAGAAGCAGGAAAATCAATTGTGGTGCCCAGAATTGGACACAATATTCCAGAATAGAGGGGTAGCATAACTTCCCTGGATGTAGACCAGGGATCCTCAAACTTTTAAACAGAGGCCAGGTCACAGTCCCTCAAATTGTTGGAGGACCACATTATAATTTGAAAAAAGCATGAATAAATTCCTATATACACTGCACAAATCTTATCTGTAGTGCAAAAAAAAAAAACACTTTAAAATGATACAATAATTAAAATGAAACAATTTTAACTAATATAAACTTAATAGTATTTCAATGGGAAATGTGGACCTGTTTTTGGCTGATGAGATAGGATTGTTGTTGTTGTGTGCTTTCAAGTCATTTCAGACTTACGTTGACCTTGAGCGAGGGCTGGGTAAATGACATTGGGGGGCCGTATCTGGCCCTTGGGCCTTAGTTTGTGGACCCCTGATCAAGACACTATACTCCTGTTGATGCAGGCCAAAATCCCATTGGCTTTTTTTTGCTGCCGCATCACATTGTTGGCTCATGTTTAACTTATTGTCCATGAGGACTACAAGGTCTTTTTTACACGTACTGCTCTCGAGCCACGTTTCCCCCATTCTGTATCTTTGCATTTCATTTTTTCTGCCTAAGTGGAGTATCTTGCATTTGTCCCCGTTGAACTTCATAGGAGCAGCTTAAGGAGCTGGGCATGTTTAGCCTGAAGAAGAGAAGGCTGAGAGGTGATTAGGGTTAGGGGTTACGGGATGTGTTAGGGTTATGTGAGAGGGATAAATATGTGAGAGGGAGTCACAGGGAGGAGGGAGCAAGCTTGTTTACTGGTTCCCTGGAGACTAGGACCCAATGGAACAATGGCTTCAAACTACAAGAAAGGAGATTCCATCTGAACACGAGGAAGAACTTCCTGACTGTGAGAGCCATGGAGTGTGGGGGAGGCTCCTTCTTTGGAAGCTTTGAAACAGAGGCTGGATGGCCATCTGTCAGGGGTGCTTTGAATGCAATATTCCTGCTTCTTGGCAGGGGGTTGGACTGGATGGCCCATGAGGTCTCTTCCAACTCTATGATTCTATGATTCTATGATTCATTTTGTTAGTTTTGGCCCATCTCTCTAATCTGTCAAGATTGTTTTGAATCCTGCTCCTGTCCTCTGGAGTATTGCCTCTCCCTCCCAATTTGGTGTCGTCTGCAAACTAGATCATCATGCCTTCTAAGCCTTCATCTAAGTCATTAATAAAGATGTTGAACACAAACGGGCCCAGGATGGAACTGGTGTGAGATCAGGACGTCAGATCTTTTTCTCACGTCCTGCTGTCGAGCCAGGCATCGTCCCCCATTCTGTATCTTTGAATTTCATTTTTTCTGCTTAAGTTTGGTATCTTGCATTTGTCTCCACTGAACTTCATTTTGTTAGTTTTGGCCCATCTCTCTAATCTGTTAAGATAGTTTTGAATTCTGCATTTTGATGGAGCCATCTTTGTTCAACCCATCTGATGATTGGTTGCGGTAACATTGAGGGACCTCCTTGAGCCAAAAATATCATTCTATTGTCGAAGGCTTTCATGGCTGGAATCACTAGGTTCTTGTGGGTTTTTTCGGGCTATAGGGCCATGTTCTAGAGGCATTTCTCCTGACGTTTCGCTTGCATCTATGGCAAGCATCCCCAGAGGTAGTGAGGTCTGTTGGAATTAGGACAATGGATTTATATATCTGTGGAATGGCTGGGGTGGGGCAAAGAGCTCTTCTCTGCTGGAGCTAGGTGTGAATGTTTCAACTGACCACCTTCATTAGCATGTGAAGGCCTGGCTGAGCCTGGGAAAATCTTTTGTTGAGATGAGGCATCCAGGACTAACAACTCATCCATGCAGCTGTGGACAAGTCTACATAGGGACCACCAAACGCAGCATTGCCCAAACACGAATCAAGGAACATGAAAGGCACTGCAGACTACTTCAACCAGAGAAATCAGCCATAGCAGAGCACCTGATGAACCAGCCTGGACACAGCATATTATTTGAGAACACAGAAATGCTGGACCACTCCAACAACCACCATGTCAGACTACACAGAGAAGCCATTGAAATCCACAAACATGTGGACAATTTCAACAGAAAGGAGGAGACCATGAAAATGAACAAAATCTGGCTACCATCTGGCTACCAGCAAAACAGCAGAGAGGAAACAACCAGGCACATCTTAACACCTCTCAACAACAGATTTTCCCAGGCTCAGCCAGGCCTTCAAATGCTAATGAAGGTGGTCAGTTGAAACATTCACACCTAGCTCCAGCAGAGAAGAGCTCTTTGCCCCACCCCAGCCATTCCACAGATATATAAACCCATTGTCCTAATTCCAACAGACCTCACTACCTCTGAGGATGCTTGCCATAGATGCAGGCGAAACGTCAGGAGAAATGCCTCTAGAAAATGGCCCTATAGCCCAAAAAAACCCACAAGAACCTAATATCATTCTAGTTTCAATCTCTTACTCCCAATCATTACTTAAGTATCAGGAGCTGCACTGCAACCTTCCAAAACCAGAGAAAACATTAAACGATGGCATAATAAGGAAGAGAGAATGGTCATGAAAGGGAAACCCAGAGGGCTGGATTCCACCTCAGGGTCTGTGCTTCCTTGCCCCGGGTTACTTTTCTCCATGAGGAAAGCTATTGACAAGAAATGGCCCAGTTCTTAAGCTGCAGTAACCTCAAGAGTGCCCGCATCTTCCTTTCGTCCTGAACCAAAACACTGCCCTTTTGTCTATGAAAGAGATGCCTATCTAGAGAGGAAATAGGTGCAAATCACTGTACGAAGGTGCACCTGGCATGTGGCAAAACAGGTAGGAGTCCTAAGTAGGACTCCAGAGAGTTTCTGTGGGGAACACATGCAGCAGGAAACAATTCAGGCCTCTTCAGCAAAACAGTCTGGGTTGATCTGCTTCTCAAACAGGAAATAGTAATGGACACAGGTTCTGGAATTAAGACCTTTCTAAATGGAAAAATGTGCCATTCTCATGCAATGTAAAACCAATGAATTCCTTAGGTTAAGTTTAGGAAGTAAGCACCTCACACAGAAGGACAGAGTCATGGCATTGTCTCCTTTGACAGGTAAAAATATGCCAGAGTCAGTTACCAATCTTTCCCATCATGTTGTCACTTGATTCTGTTTTGCCCCATTATCACTTGGAGACATTTCCCAGTCGTAGGACCCTTCAGCCGCTTTCCAAGGAGGTAGAGAGAGGCATGGAGCTCATCACTTGTTCCGGGGTTGAAAAGAGGCAGAAGTGTCCTGAAAGGAGGGAACACCGAACACAGGCCAGCCATCCTGTTCAGAGCTCTTACTGCCCTTTGCTCCTATCTTTACAACTGAGAAACAGGTGCGAGGGGAACTATTTATGTATGTCTCCCAATGGGAGACTCAGAGCAGATTGCAACTATCAAAAGGTTCCTGCCCTGTTTCATTGCCCAGTCTCTTGTCTCCTATGGGCTTTGATGCAGATCAACACAATCCCATGGAAAGCAATGGTTTTAACCTGGATCACTCCCTCTTGTATCCTATGGGGTTTGGTGCAGGACCATATAGGATCCCATAGAAAGTATTGTTTTTAACCTGGTGCCAGTCTCCTTCAATGCAAGGGGCTTTGGGGCAGGGCAAGGCATCTCTTGGCTTTTGGATGTTGTTGTTTGTCCTGGGAGCCTCTGGAAGCCCATTGGGTTAAACGACTAAAGCTGCTGAACTTGCTGACCGAAAGGTCACCAGTTCGAATCTGGAGAGTGGGGTGAGCTCCCGCTGTTAGCCCCAGCTTCTGCCAACCTAGTAGTTCAAAAACATGCAGTGGTGGCTGGGAGAGCTTTTGCACAATTAAAACTAGCTGCGGTCATATCTTGGGAAGTCGGATCTGGCCATGGTGGTCCACGCTCTTGTTACATCTCGAATAGATTACTGCAACGCGCTCTACGTGGGGTTGCCTTTGAAGACTGTTTGGAAACTTCAATTAGTCCAACGGGCGGCAGCTAGATTACTCACCGGAGCATCATACAGGGAGCATACCACCCCCCTGCTATGTCAGCTTCACTGGCTGCCGATCCAGTTCCGAGCACAATTCAAAGTGCTGGTTTTGACCTACAAAACCCTTTACGGCTCCGGCCCAGCGTACCTGTCCGAACGTATCTCCTTCTACGTCCCACCTCGGAGTTTAAGATCTGCTGAGGGGGCCCTGCTCTCAGCCCCACCTTTATCACAAGCGAGACTGGTGGGGACAAGGGACAGGGCCTTCTCGGTGGTGGCCCCTCGCCTGTGGAATGCACTCCCAGGGGAGATTAGGTCATCAACATCCCTCCTCTCTTTCAGAAGGAAGCTAAAAACCTGGATGTGGGACCAGGCCTTCGGGTAAGCTGGCAGATGGACAAAGACAACCAATGACGACCAGAGTAGGAAAGGACAATGACGATGCTAGATGGATTACGGATTATGAATTGGTGAACACTGACTACAAGACGATTTTATTGCTGCTAGTATACTGTTTGATTGTTTTAATTAGTTATAACTGTTGACATTATATGGTAAATTTGTGTATTGTATATTATATTGTATTTTGTGAATTGTTAGGCATCGAATTGTGCCTTTTGTAAGCTGCCCTGAGTCCCCCCAGGGGGTTGAGAAGGGCGGGGTAGAAGCACTCCAAATAAATAAATAAATAAATAAATAAATAAATAAATAAATAAATAAATAAACCCTGTTCTCCAGAATCCTCTTCCCACACTCAAACCATGTTCACTTCATTTTAAGAAGGATATAGACAAGTTGGAGCCTATTCAGAGGAGGACATTGTGAACAATAAAAGGTACTGGGAACAAAGCATTTAAGGAAAGGTCAAGGGAGGGAGTTGGGCAAGTTCAGATTGGCAAAGAGACGATACGATCGTCCTCTTTCAATATGTCAGGGTATGTTGTATGATCTATTACCTTCAAATACATCATGGTATTTTCTGTTTCCGATTACCGGGATGGTTAAAGGTGAAGCATGTAGAATGAGACAGGAATATTGTTCCAAATAGCAACTTTAATACCACTCAAAATGATGACTTTGCGAATCATAAATCCGAAAAGCATTGAAGACTCCTGCGTAGTGATAAACCAACATGCCTGTGCTTATCCAGTGTCCCTTTTGTGACTCTGTGACTCAGTTTCCCATATGCGTTCCAGCAAGAATGATAAGGAAGTACAGTACAATGAGGGTGACACTGACATGAAATGATGAGGCACCGTAACCGGATTGGCAGCCATGCGGTTGATAGGCACCCAGTTACTGAAATCCAGCATGCTACAAGAGGTCATCTTCCCACACCAAAATGACACAAGGACAGCCTTAAAGAAGGCAGAGAAAGTACCATTGTGTAGTCGAAGGCTTTCATGGACAGAATCACTGGGTTGCTGTGAGTTTTTTGTACTATATGGCCATTTTTCAGCAGCATTCTCTCCTGACAGATTTGTGGATGACACCTTCACCATTTAGACAGCCATAGCTAAACTTGGGTCCTCCCTCCAGATGTTTTGCACTTCAACTTCCACAAGTTGGATGTTGACAAGCTGGAATGTGTCCAGAGGAGGGCGACTAAAATGATCAAGGATCTGGAGAACAAGCCCTATGAGGAGCGGCTTAAGGAACTGGGCATGTTTAGCCTGAAGAAGAGAAGGCTGAGAGGAGATATGATAGCCATGTATACATATGTGAGAGGAAGCCACAGGGAGGAGGGAGCAAGCTTGTTTTCTGCTTCCCTGGAGACTAGGATGTGAAAAAATGGCTTCAAACTACAAGAGAGGAGATTCCATCTGAACATGAGGAAGAACTTCCTGACTGTGAGAGCCGTTCAGCAGTGGAACTCTCTGCCCCGGAGTGTGGTGGAGGCTCCTTCTTTGGAAGCTTTTAAACAGAGGCTGGATGGCCATCTGTCGGGGTGCTTTGAATGCGATTTTCCTGCTTCTTGGCAGGGGGTTGGACTGGATGGCTCATGAGGTCTCTTCCAACTCTATGATTCTATGAAACAATAAGGTGCCAGATGACACCTCCCAAACAAAGGATCTCCTCAGATAGCAACAGCCAGGCTTTGCAGCTGCAGGACTACTCAATGCTAATCAAGCTTGCTAACTGCAACATTCACACTTGCTTCAAACAGACCAGGGTTCTTTCTTCCACCCAGGACATTAAAGGTAAAGGTTTTCCTTAACATTAAGTCTAGTCGTGTCCGACTCTGGGACTTTGGTGCTCATTTCCATTTTTAAGTCAAAGAGCCAGCATTGTCCACAGAGGTCTCCTAGGTCAAGTGGCCAGCATGACTGCATGGAGCACCGTAACCTTCATGCCGAAGCAGTACTTATTGATCTACTCACATTTGCATGTTTTTGACATGCTAGGTTGGCAGACACTGGGCCTAACATAATTGCACAGGTAACATTATTCCACAGGTATACTACACTTGCCTCACTTCCAACAGTCTTCTGAGGATGACATTAGCCACAGATGCAGGTTTTTTTTTGTTGTGTCAGGAGTGACTCCTGATGTGAGAGAATTGGCCATCTGCAAGGACGTTGCCCAGGGGACGCCTGGATGATTTGATGTTTTTATCATCCTTGTGGGAGGCTTCTCTCATGTCCCCGCATGAGGAGCTAGAGCTGATAGAGGGAGCTCATCCGCCTCTCCCCGGATTCGAACCTGCGACCTGTCAGTCTTCAGTCCTGCCGGCACAGGGGTTTAACCCACTGCGCCACCGGGGGCTCCTCACAGATGCAGGTGAAACTTCAGGAGAGAATGCTACTGCAACATGGCCATACAGCCTGGAAAACACACAGCAACCCCGAAAGTTCCATTGCTAGAACGGAGTTTGGGAACGTTACTTTGTTGAACTCCAGAACCTCCCAGGCGGCGGGGAGTCCAAAGAAGTAACTTCACCAAGACACAATTGCTTACCAAGGTTGTTAACAATGGGATGGGAATGATGAGGTCCTTGGGCTAGTTTTGTAGTCATGAGAAACAAGGAGAGTAAGGCTAAATGAGAAGGATACTAGAAGGAGGAAACCAAAGTCCGAGACCATAAGGGAGATGCCTTAACTCCAAACTGTGTTGTACCCATGCCTTCCCACTCCACAATTCATTCGCTGAGAGAATTCGCCTTGTCGCCTGGATAGAATTAGCCGAGGTGCTTCTGTTGCTGCTTCACATAACCCACCACGTTGTTGGAACTGCCTCCTGCAAAGAAATAATGTGCAGATTAGAAAGGAACAACAATCTAAGTCCATTAAGGAGATTTAATATGCTCTCTCCAAAAATATCAAGGACTTTCAGAGTAACTCTACAGGAGGTATGGGCAAACTTTGGCCCTCCCTCCAGGTGTTTTGGACTTCAACTCCCACCATTCCTGGCCTCAGGCCCCTTCCTTTTCCCCCTAGAATCATAGAATCAAAGAGTTGGAAGAGACCTCATGGGCCATCCAGTCCAACCCCCTGCCAAGAAGCAGGAATATTGCATTCAAATCACCCCTGACAGATGGCCATCCAGCCTCTGTTTAAAAGCTTCCAAAGAAGGAGCCACCACACTCCGGGGCAGAGGGTTCCACTGCTTAACATCTATCACAGTCAGGAAGTTCTTCCTTATGTTCAAATGGAATCTCCTTTCTTGTAGTTCGAAGCCATTGTTCCGCGTCCTAGTCTCCAGGGAAGCAGAAAACAAGCTTGCTCCCTCCTCCCTGTGGCTTCCTCTCACATATTTATACATGGCTATCATATCTCCTCTCAGCCTTCTCTTCTTCAGGCTAAACATGCCTAGCTCCTTAAGCCGCTCCTCATAGGGCTTGTTCTCCAGACCCTTTATCATTTTAGTCACCCTCCTCTGGACACATTCCAGCTTGTCAATATCTCTCTTGAATTGTGGTGCCCAGAATTGGACACAATATTCCAGGTGTGGTTTAACCAAAGCGGAATAGAGGGGTAGCATTACTTCCCTAGATCTAGACACTATGCTCCTATTGATGCAGGCCAAAATCCCATTGGCTTTTTTTGCCACCACATCACATTGTTGGCTCATGTTTAACTTGTTGTCCACGAGGACTCTAAGATCTTTTTCACACGTACTGCTCTCGAGCCAGGCATTGTCCCCCATTCTGTATCTTTGCATTTCGTTTTTCCTGCCAAAGTGGAGTATCTTGCATTTGTCCCTGTTGAACTTCATTTTGTTAGTTTTGGCCCATCTCTCTAATCTGTCAAGATCGTTTTGAATTCTGCTCCTGGCCTCTGGAGTATTGGCTATCCCTCCCAATTTGGTGTCGTCTGCAAACTTGATGATCCTGCCTTCTAGCCCTTCATCTAAGACAGTGGTTCTCAACCTTCCTAATGCCGTGACCCCTTAATACAGTCCCTCATGTTGTGTGACCCCCAACCACAACATTACTTTCGTTGCTACTTCATAACAGTCATTTTACTACTGTTATGAATCATAATGTAAATATCTGATATGCAGGATGCATTTTCATTCACTGGACCAAACTGGGCACAAATACCCAATACACCCAAATGTGAATGCTAGTGGGGTTGGGGGAGGATTGATTTTGTAATTTGGGAGTTGTAGTTGCTGGGATTTATAGTTCACTTATAATCAAAGAGCATTCTGAACTCCACCAGCGATGGATTTGAACCAAACTTGGCTCCCATGACCAATGGAAAACATTGGAAGGGTTTGATGGGCATTGACCTTGAGTTTGGGAGTTGTAGTTCACCTACATCCAGAGAGCACTGTGGACTCAAACAATGATGGATCTAGACCAAACTTGCCACGAATACTCAATATGCCCAAATGTGAACACTGGTGGAGTCTGGGAAAATAGATCTTGACATTTGGGAGTTGTAGTTGCTGGGATTTATAGTTCATTACAATCAAAGAACATTCTGAACTCCAGCAACGATAGAATTGGCTCAAACTTCCCACATGGAATCCCCATGACCATCAGAAAATACTGTGTTTTCTTATGGTCTTTGGCGACCCCTCTGACACCCCCTCGCGACCCCTTCAGGGGTCCCGACCCCCAGGTTGAGAAACACTGATCTAAGACATTAATAAAGATGTTGAACAGGACCGGGCCCGGGACAGAACTCTGCGGCACTCCACTTGTCACTTCTTTCCAAGATGAAGAGGAAGCTTAAGCGGCTGAGGGGGAAAACGAAGGAGTCTGAGGCCAGGAATGGAGGGAGTTGAAGTCCAGAACACCTGGAGGGAGGGCCAAAGTTTGCCCATACCTGCTCTTTCTTCACCTTCTGTTGGACACAGACAATATGAGAACACCAACTGAATTTAAAGCAGTTGTACATTAATCACATTGAATACAGATACAGTTTCCTTAACAGGCATATTGATGGTTTATCTCTATATATGATTCCCATTCTTAGCGAATCAGGCAAGCATGGTTTAGATCCTGGAGTCTTACCAAAATATTCCTTGTAATGTTTAGGCCTTAGATTCCATCCATCTGGAGAAGGAAAAAAAGCAAAGCAAGTTTAAGCAACTCCCCAAATAGCAATTAATGCATTGACAGCAAAACATGAGTTTGGTATTTTCCTGTCTTTTTAAGAAACAGAGCCTGAGAAAACCTTATGAAATGTATGTGGTTGCAGTGGGTCCACAGGAGACTCAAAGGCACCTGCACACAAAAAAGATGCAAAGATAATTTGGAGCTCTGAACAGAAGTGCACGGGAAAACTCTTTGCACAGTGAGACACCTAGTGTTCCCAAGCATGACATGCAGGAAAGCGAAAGAATCTATATAAATAGAATCTATATAAATAAATACCAGAGTTTCCACGCAACTTGATGCACTGGCCCCGATTGGGGATGCCTTCTGCCGCGTTACCAGGGTTAATGATGTGGCATTCATATCCCGTTGGACAGTGGAGTGGCTCATCTCCATCTTCAGTGGTGCTGCAGGCTTCCGCTATGAGAAGGAACATCAGAGCGAATGGTGAGCAGGATGATGATGATGTCGACGATTACTCCGCTTTATCTCCCCCGAAGGAGACGCAAAGCAGAAGGGACCAAAACTCCATCAGATCCACCAGAAATCACTCAACTTTGTAGATGCGGATGGATCTCAGCTCCCAACCTTTCTCACCATTGCCCAGGACAGGTGGGAGTTGTTTCAGAAATATTTCTTTGCATGGTTGTAAAAGGAAAGAAAATCAACTCATTTGAAATATATTGATGGAGAAGAGTTCTATGAATCCACCCAGAGGAAAAGTGTTCTTGCCATACATTAAGGGAACCACTGACTGCATAGGGAAGTTGATGAGGAAACACAACATACAAACCACCTACAGACCCACCAAGAAAATCCAACAAATGCTACATTCAGCAAAGGACAAGAGGGATCCTCTCACCTCTGCAGGAGTCTACCATGTACCATGCAGCTGTGGACAAGTCTACATAGGGACCACCAAATGCAGCGATGCTCAAACACGAATCAAGGAACATGAAAGGCACTGCAGACTACTCCAACCAGAGAAGTCAGCCATAGCAGAGCACCTGAAGAACCAACCTGGACACAGCATTTTATTTGAGAACACAGAAATGCTGGACCACTTGGACAACCACCATGTCAGGCTACACAGAGAAGCCATTGAAATCCACAAGCATGTGGACAATTTCAACAGAAAGGAAGAAACCATGAAAATGAACAAAATCTGGCTACCAGTATTAAAAAAACTCTAAAATTACAACAGCAAAACAACAGAGAGTAAACTATCAGGCACATCAAATCACTCTCAACAAAATATCCCCCCAGGCACTTCCAAGCCATTAAATGCTAATCAAGGTGGTCAGTTGAAACATTCACACCTAGCTCCAGCAGACAAAAGTCCTTTCTCCCACCCTGGTCGCTCCACAGATATATAAACCCATTTTCCTACTTCCAACAGACCTCACTACCTCTGAGGATGCTTGCCATAGATGCAGGCGAAACGTCAGGAGAAAATGCCTCCAGAACATATAGCCATATAGCCCAGAAAAACCTACAACAACCCAGTTCTAGTCCAGTTTGTGGCTGGACAAAAAAGACAAATAAATAGGTTTTAGAGCAAACCTGAGCTTTCCATAGAATCCAAGATGACTAAACTGAGACTGATGTTTGTACTTTGGACATATAAGAAGGCATAGCTTGCTTGAAAAGATAATGTACTTAATAAAGTAGAAGGCAAAAGGGAAAGAGAAAACCATATTATAGGTGGATAGATCTCACCAAGGAACCTATGGCCTGGAATCGACAAAACCTAAACAGAGCTAATAACAACAAGGTGATGTGGAGGTTCCTTATTCATATGGTCACCACAAGTCATTTATGATCCCACAGCAAGCTGGTTTCAGGAAAGGGAAAAACTACACATCACAAGTGCTGAACCTGACACAGCACAGAGAAGATGGTTTTGAAAGGCAGCAGATTACAGGTGCTGTCTTCATAGACCTGTCAGCAGCTTATGATACAGTAAATCATCGCCTTCTCCCGAGAAAAAATCACAATATCACAAAGAACTGCCATCTCACCTACTTCATAGGAAATCTGCTACAAAACAGGAGCTTTTTTGTTGAGTTCCAGGGCCAGAGAAGCAGATGGAGGAAAAAGAAGAGTAGCCTGCCTCAGAGGAGCGTGCTTGCTCCATCAGTGTTTAACATCACAGATGATCAGCCACTGCCAGAAGGGACAGAGAGTTTCACCTAAACTGATGATTGTGGCATCACCGCTTGAGCAAGGAACTTTGAAATGGTTGAATAGAAGCTCTCCAAAGCTTTAGGTACTCTTACTGCCTATTATTGGGAAAGCCAGCTGATTCCCAATTCATCTAAAACACAGACGTGTGCTTTTCACCTTAAGAACAGACAAGCATCTTGAGCTCTGAGGATGACCTGGGAAGGAATCCCACTGGAGCATTGCAGCACACTTAAATATTTGGGTGTCACTCTGGACCATGCTTTTGACTTACAAGAAGCACTGATTGACTATCAACAAAAAGTGGGTGCTAGAAATAACATAATACTGGCGCAACCTGGAGAATCACAAACAGACACAGTGAAGACATCTGCCCTTGCGCTCTGCTACTCTGCTGCTGAGTACACATGCCCAGTATGGAATACATCTCACCACATTAAAACTGTGGATGTGGCTCTTAATGAGACATGCCACATTATCACAGGCTGTCTGCACCCTACACCACTGGAGAAATTACACTGTTTAGCTGGCATTGCACCATCTGACATTCACCAGGAAGGAGCAACTTGTAATGAAAGGACTAAGGCAGTGACATCCCCAGCCCATCCTCTGTTCGGATATCAGAGCATGCTAACAACTTTCACCAAGAAACGGTTTCCTAAGATCTATAGAGATACTTGCAGGAAAACCTCAGCAAGTGAGAGTCCAAAAGTGGCAGGCCAAAACCCAGAACCTAGACCAGTGACTGAGACTGGGTGAGAGACTCCCCCTTGGGCACACAGAAGAGTGGACTTGGAAGGCGCTGAACAGGCTTCACTCTGGCGTCATGTGATGAAGAGCCAAGTTTAAGAAATGGGGCCACAAAGTGGAGTCCATGACATGTGAGTGTGGGAAGAGCAAACCACAGACCACTTACTACAATGCAGTCTGAGCCCTGCCCCCCCAAACGAAATCCTGGCTACGGGCCTGGCTACTGGTCAAAGGAAATCTAGCATAATGCTAAGTTTTTACCTTTGTGAGGTTTTTTATATACATTATAATTATATTCTCAATTCACTTCTGACATGATAAATAAATAAACCACAAGTCCAATTTGACTTGATTAATATTAACAACGCCATCCAAAAAGACAAATGATTTTAGTCCTAGATCTAATCTAACATATTGAAACTCTGTAGTGGAATACAATACAGAGTTTTCTGTACTCTGTATCTTGCATGCAAAAATTTAAAAAAATCAAGTGTCAAAATTGTCAAGTGTGTTTTTGGACATTTGCAAAATTGTACACAGATTTCCTAGCTAAACAGTTTGTTTGGATTGACATTTTTTGCTACATCAAGGCCTTGAATATTTGGGTGACAATCCAGAGCGGATTCACCATTCTATTGGCATTGCATCCACCAAAGTCTTACCATTTTATATTTATTTAAAAATGCCTATTTTTTTTCCTTACCTTGTAAAACTTCCTCAGGTCCATCCAGCAGCCAGCCATTCCCTCCCAGCCAGCGTGGCTTCGGCTGCACCAGCCAATCTAGGACTTTGCAAAAGAGACCAAATTGCAATGCAAAAGTGTAAATAGAACCTTTGTTTCCACTGGGGATACATTCCCAGATTTGCTGCTGTTAGTGAAAACAGCAAATAATAATAAGGATTGACTTAGAATCATAAAGTCGGAAGAGAACCCAAGGGCTACCCAGTCCAACCCCATTCTGGACCTTAGTTTGAGGACCCCTGCTTTGGAGGACCCTTGAATCAGGCCCCAAAGGCAACCTCCCACATGGAAAATATACAGGTGGCTGTACCTGGTGGTGGTGGCACCGATTCCAAGCAGGCATAGATGCAGCCGTTGTAGCAGCAGCGCTTGTGCCTCTCACACTCAGAGTCGGAGCGGCAGCTGGGCACTTCGCACGCGCGGTCGGGCAGTGTCTGCGGTGGAGGAGGGCAGCGGTCGTTCTTCTGGTAAGGCGCCCCATGAGAGTGAAGGGGGTACTCGTAGTCCTGGAAGACAGGAGTAAAGAGAAAGCCCGGTGGTGGTGCTTGTGATAATTCCTCAACACTACCATACTTACTGACATCTAATGTGCACCTCCATTTTCAAAACACTGAAACCAAAAAAAGTATTTGCTGCCGAATGTGATGCGCAATGGCAAAATGTGCGCTCTTTGTAATTTGGCCAAAAAACATGCGCATTACAGTTACTGCTTGATTAGGATTCCTTCTTTAAAAACAAAAGTGTTCAAGCACCAAAGATTTCAGCAACGTTAAAGGAAAACCTTGGATGCATGTATGCTGTATACACAGGGGCGGCTCATCCATTACGCGAAGTAAGCGGTCGCAGAACACTTTTTTTGGCCAGGGGCGCAGAGGCACCTCTGTAAATGCCCCTCGACTGCCACTTGAGGAGCGCCCCCTCAGCTCACAACAGCCCTAGCAGTCCGGGGGGAGCCTCGGCTTTCTTGCCTCACTGCCGGGTGATCCTCTTCCCAAAGGGGCCAGGCTTTGAGCCTCGCCTAGCCCCTCTCGTTCCTGCTCCACCTGGCCACCGAGTGCGCGAGCAGAGACGGTGCTCAATCATTCTCCACGTTCGATCCCTTCCGCATGACCGGCTCCCTTTCCCAAGCCCCCGGCGCTCCACCCGCCTCTTCTCTCCCCAATCCGCGGGTGGGCCAAGGGGAGGAGCCGCCACACCTGGCCCATTTCGGGTCCGGAGGTGTGTCTGAAGACCCAGCGTACGCACCAAAAGTCACCTCTTCTCCTGACTTTCTCTTCAGCCATTGGGACCGAGAGAGAGAGAGAGAGAGAGAGAGAGAGAGAGAGCCCCTCCGGCTGGAGGTATCTCCCACCTCCGCTCCCTCCTTTGTTTTTGTGCCTACCTTCAGGAAAGGTGGGCATCTCCACCTCTCTCTCTCTCTCTCTCTCGGTCCCAATGGCTGAGGAGAAAGTCAGGAGAAGAGGTGACTTTTGGTGCACACGCCGGACCCAAAGCGGGCCAGGCAAGGGAGCAAATGCGGTAAGTGTAGTCACTGGGATGTATAGTTCACCTACAATCTAAGAGCATTCTGAACTCCACCAATGATGGAATTGAACCAAATATGGCACACAGAACTCCCACGACAACAAACAGAAAATATATCAATGATTGGTGGGGGGGGGGGGCTCCAAAATACTGTTTGCTTACCGTTGAAAATTACCTAGGGCCGCCTCTGTGTATACAATGAATTCAATAGGGTCCCTCCCACACAGCTGAATAAAATCCCACATTATCTCCTTCGAACTGGAATATATGCCAGAGTGGACTCTGATAACCCAGCTCAAAGCAGATATTGTGGGATTTTCTGCGAATATTGTGTCCAATTCTGGGCACCACAATTCAAGAGAGATATTGACAAGCTGGAATGTGTCCAGAGGAGGGCGACCCAAAATGATCAAGGGTCTGGAGAACAAGCCCTATGAGGAGCGGCTTAAGGAGCTGGGCATGTTTAGCCTGAAGAAGAGAAGGCTGAGAGGAGATATGAGCCATGTATAAATATGTGAGAGGAAGTCATAGGGAGGAGGGAGCAAGCTTGTTTTCTGCTGCCCTGGAGACTAGGACGCAGAACAATGGCTTCAAACTACAAGAAAGGAGATTCCATCTGAACATTAGGAAGAACTTCCTGACTGTGAGAGCCGTTCAGCAGTGGAACTCTCTGCCCCGGAGTGTAGTGGAGGCTCCTTCTTTGGAAGCTTTTAAACAGAGGCTGGATGGCCATCTGTCAGGGGTGATTTGAATGCAATATTCCTGCTTCTTGGCAGAATGGGGTTGGACTGGATGGCCCAGGAGGTCTCTTCCAACTCTTTGATTCTATGATATTCTGGGTTATGTGGTTGTGTGGAAGGGCCCTTTAACTGCCTTGGTTCAATGCTATGAATGCAGTCACGGGGCTGTAAGATCTTGAGCCTTCACTTTGGAAGAATGTGGATGTCTCATCAAACTACAAATCCCAGGTTTGTATAGCATTGAGCCATGGCAATTAAATTTGAGGTGACATCCCTCAAATCGGGACTCCAGGTGCACCCCCTGAAACATCTTCCCCTTTTGCTTTGGCTCAGCACTAAGATTATTGTATTATGCAAATATGTGCACTCAAATTTTGGCAAGGTAAGTTAGACAAAAAAAATAATGTGAGCATTAGATTCGAGTAAACAGAGTATTCAATTACTACAGTATGATCTGCGTTACTTAGAGAGACCACTAGATGGAACTGCTTAGCAATGGCAGAGATGCTACGCTTGAGATAAGTGTTGGATCACAACTCCCAGCACTCTTTACCATGGGCTGGCTGGGAGTTTTAGTCTGACAACGACAAGGCTTGCCATCCTTGGCTAACAACAGTTTAGAGACTCAGCACAACGTATATGCTGTTGTTGATTGCCATAAAGCCAGGTTTAATTTGTGTCGCTCTGAAAGTTTTCTTTTTGAGGATAAGAGTGTGTGACTTGCCACTGGATTTTCATAGCCAAGCAAGGATTTGAACTGTTTTCTCACTCAAACTATGAATTATAGAATCATAGAATCAAAGAGTTGGAAGAGACTTCATGAAGCAGGAATGTTGCATTCAAATCACCCCTGACAGATGGCCATCCAACCTCTGTTTAAAAGCTTCCAAAGAAGGAGCCTCCACCACACTCCGGGGCAGAGAGTTCCACTGCTGAACGGCTCTCACAGTCAGGAAGTTCTGAGGCCATACCTTCCTTGTTAGGCTGGGATGACAAACTCTAATATTATGCAGTATGACATGATCATGGGAGTTGTAGTTTGGTAAGTCTCCGGCACTGTTTGGCAGAACAGGCAGCCTAAAGCAGTGTTTCTCAACCTTCCTAATGCCGTGACCCCTTAATACAGTCCCTCGTGTCATGGTTACCCCCAAACAAAAAATTATTTTTGTTGCTACTTCATAACTGTAATTTTGCTACTGTTATGAATCGTAATGTAAATATCTGATATTCAGGATGTAATTTCATTCATTGGACCCAATTTGGCACAAATACCCAATACACCCAAATTTGAGTAATGGTGGGGTTGGGGAGATTGATTTTGCCATTTGGGAGTTGTAGTTGCTGGGATTTATAGTTCACCTAGAATCAAAGAACATTCTGAACTCCACCAATGATGTAATCGAACCAAACTTGGCACACAGAACTCCCATGACCAATAAAAAATTCTGGAAGGATTTGGTGAGCATTGACCTTGAGTTTTGGAGTTGTAGTCCACCTACATCTAGAGAGCACTGTGGACGCACCCAATGATGGATCTGGGCCAAACTTGGCATGAACGCTCAATATGCCCAAATGTAAACACTGGTGGAGTTTGGGGAAAATAGACTTTGACATTTAGGAGTTGTGGTTGCTGGGATTTATAGTTCACTTACAATCAAATAGCATTCTGAACCCCACCATCGATAGAATGGGGCCAAAGTTCCCACACAGAACCCCCATGACCAACAGAAAATACTGTGTTTTCTGATGGTCTTTGGCGACCCCTCTGACAACCCCTCATGACCCCTTCAGGGGTCCTGACCCCCAGGTTGAGAAATGCCGGCCTAAAGCGACTACTTCCATGATTCCATAGCATTGAACCATGACAGTTAAAGTGGGGTCAAGTTGCATTTAGGTTCAGTCACTGACTCCCCTATTTGTGGATGTTGGGTGTTGTAGTCTTATCTATATTTATATCTATATCTATCTATATTGTTGTGAAGGCCTATTATAGAATCATAGAATCATAGAAGCAAAGAGTTGGAAGAGACCTCATGGGCCATCCAGTCCAACCCCCTGCCAAGAAGCAGGAATATTGCATTCAAATCACCCCTGACAGATGGCCATCCAGCCTCTGTTTAAAAGCTTCCAAAGAAGGAGCCTCTCCACACTCTGGGGCAGAGAGTTCCACAGCTGAACGGCTCTCACAGTCAGGAAGTTCTTCCTCATGTTCAGATGGAATCTCCTCTCTTGTAGTTTGAAGCCATTGTTCCGCGTCCTAGTCTCCAAGGAAGCAGAAAACAAGCTTGCTCCCTCCTCCCTGTGGCTTCCTCTCATATATTTATACATGGCTATCATATCTCCTCTCAGCCATCTCTTCTTCAGGCTAAACATGCCCAGCTCCTTAAGCCGCTCCTCATAGGGCTTGTTCTCTAGACCCTTATTATGAAAACTAAACTGTGTGAAAATACTGATTGGTAGATTCTTAGGGACTTGCAGTCTCCTCCAAATCTCTTCTTTTGCTGGCGTTCAGATTCCTCGCTCTCTCCCTCCCTAACTCACCTCTTTGAACCCTTCTCCTTCCTCAGGCGAGCCTTCTGGCCTGCTTTTGGGTGGCTTCCTTCCGTCCTTCGTCCTTGGTGACCCTACGCAGTCCCTGCTCACAATGAGGGGAAATGGGCTTTCAAGGAAACACTTCTTGGAAAAGAACGCTGCTTTGGTCTGCATCCGCTCTGCTCTGCGGGACCCTTCCTCTCTTGGAATTCAGCCCCACCCTTGGATGCAAAGCGTAGCCAGGCCTTTGAAGGCATTGCAAAGCCCAGTTGGTGTTTCCTTGAATGTGGGAGACATGCTTGGAAAATAAGGGTATACATGCATCTGATGTTTATCCTGTAACTCCTAGACAATGTCCCACAACATCCTGGGAATTATAGGGGGGTTTTTTGGGTGGGGGGCACTCTTATTCCGCTGTGGAGAATACTAAGTAATCATAGAATCATAGAATCAAAGAGTTGGAAGAGACCTCATGGGCCATCAGTCCAACCCCCTGCCAAGAAGCAGGAATATTGCATTCAAATCACCCCGACAGATGGCCACCCAGCCTCTGTTTAAAAGCTTCCAAAGAAGGAGCCTCCACCACACTCCGGGGCAGAGAGTTCCACTGCTGAACGCTCTCACAGTCAGGAAGTTCTTCCTCATGTTCAGATGGAATCTCCTCTCTTGTAGTTTGAAGCCATTGTTCCGCGTCCTAGTCTCCAGGGAAG